TAGGAGAGTTATCTGAAAGACTACAACCTGATGTAATTGCTATCACTGAGACGTGGTTGTTAGTGGGTGTAGACTTAACTCCACTCATACCTGGGTATATCTGCATACGAGCAGACAGAGTAAGTAGTCGGAAAGGTGGGGGGGTTCTCTATACATCCGGGATGACATAGGGATCAGGTCAACGTTGTCAGAAGCTCATGACAGCGGCACCAGTGAAGCCGCAAGTTGCATCATTAACTTAAACAAAGGCACTTTAACGATCGGAGTTATTTACAGAAGTCCTGCTAGCCAAGCTGATGACTTCGTTCTAAATCACTTGAGGGCGTGGGGTAGTAGAAATAGGTGTCTGATTGTTGGCGACTTTAACGCTCCACATATTAATTGGGGGGAATTAAACTCCACTAGTTTGTATACCTGTTTCAATAGGGAGCTCACATTGACAGTGCTTGAATGTGCACTCGTGCAACATATGCATGCACCAACACGGTATCACCCTGAACATGATCCATCTACTCTAGACTTGGTATTGACACACCAGAAGGAGGACGTTGGTAACATTAGGTGCCTTCCGCCGCTTGGCAGCAGTGACCACATAGTCATTGCTTTTACGTTTAGGATTCATTCTCTCATGCACAGGCCAAAATCTGCTCGTCCAAACATTTGGAAAGCGGATATACAAGGAATCCGGAACGCAGCAACTGTGGTTGACTGGTCAGTTGATACAAGTTAGACTGTCGAGGAAGCTTGGGTAGGATTTAGGAATACACTAGATCGTGTCACTTCACCTTTTATACCTTGGTACACTCCTCGAAAGCCGTCGCATGAACCTCCTTGGATCACTAGTGAAATAAGGAGGTTATTAAGACGGCGAAAGAACTTATGGGACCAATTTGTTATGACAGGAAGGGAAAACTTCCAGAAAGACTACCGCAAAATTCGAAACCTCTGTAAGTATGCGATTAACAAGAGTCGTATAGAGTACGAGAGACGATTAGTACTAGATTGCGTTCATTACCCAAAAAGGTTTTACTCGTATATTAAACGTAGGACTAAAACTAGCAGTGGTATACCGTCACTCATAACCATTAGTGGAGAAGCGGCTGAGTCAGACGAAGGAAGGCTGAAAACCTCTCTGAATACTTCTGTGACGTCTTCTCGTCTGATAGTACCACCCAGGGATATGGCGAGGTCACTGCCATCGCCACTCAGATGCCCTCAATTGTGGTAGAGCACACAAAGGTTCTCAAACTACTGTCTAAACTGAAGCCAGGTAAATCACCTGGGCCGGATGGACTTCACCCTAAGTTGTTAATTTCCTTGGCGGATATAATATATATTCCGCTTACGGAGATTTTCCAAATGTCTCTGACGCAGGCTAAGCTACCCAGGGACTGGAAGGATGCCATTATAAGCCCTATCTTCAAGGACGGGGATAGGCAATTGGTATCTAACTACAGGCCGGTAAGTCTGACATGCATTATTGCAAAGGTACTGGAAACTATTATAAGGGATCAACTATTAGCTTATGTTGAAACACATGGCTTGTTGGCTGTGGAACAGCATGGATTCCGACCAGGACGATCCTGCTTGACAAACCTACTATTGGCTAGGGAAGACTGGGTTGAGGCCAGAGATAGGGACCATCTGTTGGACGTGGTTTTTATTGATCTTAGCAAGGCGTTCGACAAAGTATCCCACTTAGGTCTCCTTAGTAAACTGAAAGGTTTCGGACTAGACCAATGCCTATGTGAGTGGTTTAGAGATTACTTAATGGATAGAAGGCAGAAGGTTAGAGTTAACGGTGTACTATCAGGATGGAAAGCAGTATCCAGTGGAGTGCCCCAGGGAACTGTATTAGGTCCATTGCTATTCCTATTATACGTTAACGAATTACCAGGGATTCTTTCTTCATCTTCATTATTATTTGCAGATGACATTAAGATATGGAAAACTGTAAACAATAACGAGGATAGGTCGGCCCTACAAACTGATTTAGATAAATTAGCTGAGTGGTCAAGCCTATGGAGTTTGGAAATGAATGCTAGGAAAAGCGCGGTAATGCACTTAGGTCAGAAGTCTTATACGTCGTACTCCCTAGGGGATGCAGAACTACCTGATGTTAACGAACAGAAGGACCTAGGAATCATTGTCAGCAATGAAAACAACTGCAAATTGCAATGCAGCCGCAGCTAAAGCTTTTCGAATGCTATGGGCAATTCGAAGGGCTTTCAAACGATTAGACGAGGGCATGTTCCAAATACTCTACGCAACATATGTCAGGCCTCATCTAGAATACTGCATACAAGCGACGAGTCCATGCTTCAAAAAGGAGGCACATATTCTGGAAAGAGTACAGAGAGTAGGAACAAAATTAGTTAGTGGTATCTCACACCTTCCTTATGATAAGAGGATGGAGCATTTAAATCTCTTCCCGTTATCATACCGAAGGAAGAGAGGCGACTTAATTTTAGCATACCGTATACTTAAGGGTGATTTAGGAACTGACCTTTCTAACCTTTTCTCCCCTTCTAGGATACATTTACGGGGTCACCGCAAAAAGGTGCTCAAACCAAGGACGATTAAAATACGTGCAGAATTTAGATTCTCTCACAGAGTGGTCAACGATTGGAACTCCTTACCTGATTCAGTAGTATCAGCTCCATCGGTGAACGCTTTCAAAGAGAAGTTAGATCTCTGCAGAGATATACTTTGCAAGGATTAACACAGGCCACAAGAGCCTTCTATCCTTATCATCTGAATCTGAATGGACGCAGTTGCATCCTACTAACAGTGATAGTTTGTGACTTCGAGCATAAAGTCTTCATTAAGCAGATTAGTTTAGGTTATCTCTTTCGTCAAAGAGATTTCTTTACGAATTTTTGATTTGATTGAAGTCTCCAGGCAAAGAATTGCAGCCGATTTAGCATGTTGTTAAGTGTGTCTGTGTTTCAAGACGTGACAAAAAATCATCATCTTCTTGACGTATCTGATTTGTCGTCCAAAGGGCCTGAGAGTTGACTATTTGTATACATTAAATCTTTATATTTGCTTTCTGAATGTATTTCTCACCTGTCCTTTGGTAACACCAACTCGTGGTTTTCTTTACCTAGTTTCACCCATAATAGTGTTTATCATGACCATAGACTCTGTTAGTTTATACTCTCCTGCCACCTCATTAAGTGGGAGTTTTTAGGAATGGTTTTCAGTACATCTATTAGTTCTAAGGAAGCTATTAATATCCACTCATCCTTACCGCTTTGTAGTGTATTAGTATTTTAAAATAGTGCAGGGTAAATTCGTGTCTGCACAATTACCTGGCCACTTTTTAAACTATTTTTTGTTTTTCCATATTACTTCAAATATCATACAATGATGCCGTGATACTTCAAATAAACTTGTCTAATATGGAATTACATTCTACCATACTGCTCAAGTTCACTCATTCCTGCTTCTGGTCTTATATATCAGTCGGAAATATTTTGATGCCGAGTTATGTTAATATCACTCAATGTGTAAACCTACCGCTTGCTGGACACAAAATAAATTTTTCGGTAATTATTCGTGGTTGCTCCAAGATCTGGTCATTCCGCTGACTCTACCAGATAGTAGTAAACACGTAACTCACTGGCTGGAGAACTTGGATTTCGACCAGTGGTCTTCGTTTTCAAATGATGCTTCTTCTGCTTAAGCCTGTACATTTGAGTAGTGTCATCTGTCATTACACAAAATGTGCATAAAAATACTGTTTCGGACAAGTTACAGCTTTGTAGTCAACAAATTTATTCCTTTCTGTTTATTGTTTGATGTGTTTAAAATATTTAAGACTTCTGTAGTCAATTTCTGTGTAAATGTGAACTCCATCTCAGAATCTCAACACAGTTAAAATTAACTCTTCGTTAACTTCCACTGACATATATTAATGTAGCATGTGAAACGGCTAGGAATGGGAGATATTCTGCGCGTTCGATCATCGGTATCTCCGTAGGACCACTCGTGTAAGGTAGCGTCACCACGTAAGTAATCCTGAGTTCTGACGATAAGTGAAGATTGTCTTCCAATCAATTTTATTGTCTTGGGACATCTGCTTTGGTGACTTTGATATGTACTATAAGTGTCATCCAACACAATCCTCCCATACCGTTCTTTGTTTCCTAGACCTTAGACTGCACAGAGAAATCAGACAGTTCGTCAACTTATGATGCGGTGTTGTGGAATGGAAGTAGACAACACCGTTGGTTGAGGGGAATCTGAAGGTGCTACCGTATTCACTTCAAAATCGATGGTGAACATGCTGCAGTATGAAGTTACGAGCACTCTTGATTATGCTTGTTTCATTTTGTTTTTCCCCGACAACTTTTACGGTTTTTATCATGCTTTAAAAATATCTTCTACGCCACTATTCTTGTTATTGAATTCCGTCCGTATAATCTTACTAAGCAAAAGAAGAAGTAGCTGTACTTTTCTATCGGATTTCGTGGTCTCAGAATACTTAATGGTTGGTCAGCTAGAAAAATTGATGTTGAGTTCTGGTCACGCTGCACCCTCCATCAGCCAGTGGAATGATTGTGACAATTGGGATCTCGTTCCTCTCAATCCAGGTGAAGAACGTCATTTAAAGATATTCAGCCTCTGCATGTAATGAAGTCGGGAGCTGGCCAAGGAGAACATAAATTACAAAATTATTCCATAAGCTGTTTCTGGTAGACAAGAAGTACAGTTACCTAGCCAGTGTAGTATCTTCTAAAAACATCTCGAAGCGTGGCTTACAGTTTCCAGGACTCATGTTTGTACACTTTCTTGAGACACTAGTCATATTGTGGACAATCTAAAAGTGTTCAAGATAATTAGCAAATGAAAGAAAACAATGCATTGGTTTTTCCTGAGGCAGTCATCGTCAAACATTTGGAACCAAGTATATATATCCAGGAAAAGACAGTGTTCAGCCTCGTATTATCTTGGTGATTATAATTACAAAACAGTTATACAGTCACTTATTACTATTATTATTATTGTTCCCTTGGGTTGCTAGTGGAACATAGGGCTTCAGCTATATCTTATAGTTCTGTTTTATTTCTCATATGAAAGCCATTACCTTACTCTTCCGATTATTGTAAATTTTTTCCAACTTAACAATTTCTGGTTAGACATTTTGAACTCCCCCTATTTTTCATGAATCTTCCTCTAATTATCCTATGAATAGTTATACCTTTTAACAACTGGTCAGTGGTCTATTTTCACCACTTCGCACTAACGTTACGTAGAGTGAAAGGTATGTTCGAACTTTTTAGAAGTTTATATTTAAGTACTATTTAGGTTGTAAAGAGTTAAAATGAATCCATCAAATGATAAAAATGAGGTCTTATTATCCCTCTATGTTTTTTATTCTTGCTCGCTGGGAGTTCAAAGTGGAAGTAAGCATCAGTTATCAATCTGCCTTATGAGCTCTTTTAAAATTAAACAGTTTTTGTTGAATCCAAAAGAAACATTAAATGATAAAATTTTAAGCTCTACTAAAATGTACTTATGAAGACCAGTATCATATTTTTCACCAAAATACTTTCAGGTCAATTAGTGAGAACGTCGGATTGAAATCGGTTAGTGTTATCACTATTTTTATGATTTCTTGCGCTCAAATATTTCTTAAACCAAACAATTTTATATTTTCAGTTTGGCTGGACTCATGAAGGGGGCTGGTTGTCAATTCTGGCTTCAGCATTTGTCAGGTGGGTTTTCTGTTGTGTTGAAGTGGTCCCATTATCATGTCAATTAACTGCTTAAAAATTGTGTCTATTAACAAATAAGATCTAGATTTAAGGATTTGTTGATGATTACCTAGAATGGTGTTATTTTAACGTGTCTTTAACCACTGATTTTTAGCGTTTCGAAAGTCTCATCTAGTTGGTATGCACCTCCCTACGTAACTCAAACCAACAACCAATGGATATATTGGATAAATGGTGTGTTTTGTTCCGATCTCTTCGGACTCTTAAGACCTAGTCTTATGCCATGTAATATGGTTGTCAAGGTAGTTGATGGTTAGGCAGGTAAAACATAACTCAATTATCATCACAAATGATAAAATTTTCGTCCACTTATCGCTTATACATGTTCGCACTCAAGATAATTTCCTTTAATGGACCATCTTCTAAACTCGTCATGAAAATATCCGCTAAGAGAGATTCTAAAAAGACCTCATGGCTACTCCGTCTCATTGATTATTGATGACATTCAATCAAAATTGCAAATTAAAGGTCCTTCTTCTCTAGGTAGTTGGTCGGTATTCCTATATTTATGTTTTCGAAATCACATGGATAACAGATACTACGTATTAGTGGTACATTTGTAAGGATGATCAAGAGGGAAAATCGGATTATGTACTAATGGGTGGATTTTATCTGAGAAGCGAGGGATCCACTGTGAATAATGAGCAAATAATCCAACGGCTCGTTGTTGAGATTTGATATCTGTGGGTGGTTCTAGATCACGAAGAGGTTTTAGCCGATCGGGATCTGGTTTAATAACCCGCTTTGAAACTTCATAACCGAGTAATTGTATGCTTCTGCTTGAGATCACACTTTTGGAATCATTAAGGGTTATTCCATAATTGCGTGCTGCTACCATAAACTTGTTTAGATTTTTGTCGTGTTCCTTCTGAGTTTTACCGCAGATAGTGACATTGTCAATGTAGGCAAACGTGCTTGTGAGTTGTTCTTTACTGATCAATTCATCGATGATGCGTCGAAAACAAGCTACGCCATTGGTAACACCAAAAGGAATTCGGCAAAATTGGTAAAGTTTCCCACAAGTCTCGAAAGCAGTATATGGTTTATCTTCGTTCCTTAGGGCAATTTGATGATAAGCATTCTTTTAATAATAATAATAATAATAATAATAATAATAATAGCTTTATTCCAAAAACAGTACTCATGATACAGCAAGGAATTTTCAGCATTTCAGTACAATATTGCATCTAATTTACTCAAAAACGACAAAAAAATTAAAAATACACACTACATAATAGTAATAAAACGATTGTTATAGCAGCTACGTAGCAAAATACTGTGTGCCATACGGAGAAAAATATGTATAAAGTACAAGATTGTAGTAATAATAGTAATACCAACTAAAAATAAAATAGCAGAGTAACAATTAAACGATAGAAATTGTGACACCATAAAATACAGAAAGATGAACGATAAAAGGGTCGATTCACTATGCTAATTACATAGTAACTTGTAAGTTTCACGTCTAACAGTGTCTTCGTCACATAAAGTACGCGCTAAATAGGGTATTGTAGAATTTCTATACTTAGTAGTACGAGCATATATCTTTCAGATCAAGAGTGCTGAATATGTCATATTGTGCGATTTTTTCTATCATTTCGCCAATCCTAGGTAATGGGTAAGCACCCAGAAAAGTGAATCGATTGATTGTCTGACTATAATCAACTACCATCCTCTTTTTATGGCGTTCGTTTGACGTGACAAGAGCTTGAGCTCGCCAAGGAGAATTAGAAGGTTCAATAACACCTTCTTGCAGTAACCGGTTGACTTCGGTGGAAATAAAACTTTTATCTTCACAAGAATAACGCCGGGATTTTATTGCGATCGGTTTACAGTCTTTTGAAAGATTTTCAAACAGAGTAGGCAGGTCAACGCGAACACAAGGTAGACCACAGAGAGAAAAAGGCGGCTTTGATCCCCCAAAAGGAATCTCAATGTGTTTGTGAAGTTTTAAAAAATCATGTCCAAGAAGGACGTCTGAACATAAATTATGAAGAATGGAAAATTTGAGTAGATCATAAGTATGGTTTTTATAGCAGATGGATAGAAAACAATGTCCTTCAGTATGACTAGTAAGATTCGTACTTGCCATTGTGGATTCTATTTCGGGACTTATGGACTTTCCAGTTATACTTACGAACAACTGAGGAAGAGATGTAGCTCTCACTGCTTCCGGTATCCACTAGAGCTTGCATTGATTTCCCATTGACAGTAAGCTGCGTAACAGCATCAGTGAGACTTTGAGGTGCTGAAGCCACAACGAGAGATGAAATTATAGAGTTAACTGAAGATGGACTTTTTTTGTAGATGGCGCAGACCTGCAAACCTTGTGAAAATGTCCTTGCTTGCCACAAGCTTTGCAAATTGCATCACGGGCGGGGAATTGGAACGAGGATGTCTACGATTACCACAGTAAAAGCATTTGGATTCGACGGCAGCAATGGTTGTTTCATTGACGGAGGGTGTTGAATCTGATGAATGAGGTACATCATGTAAAGAAATGGACGCGCAAAGTGTACCAGGATTGTGGTATGACTGCGGTTGTTGATGTGCCATCTCTAGAGCTCGTGCTTGATCGTATGCCGCTTGGAAAGTTAAAGTACGCTGTTCCAATAGCCTCTGGTGTGTCATCGAAGACTGTATACCTGAGATGAATAAATCACGTAGTGATTCGTTACGATGTTCTTCGGCTGTAACCGCTCTGAATGAACAATCTGTAGTCAGCAACTTGAGTCGACGAACAAACTGATCCAGATTTTCGCCAGATTCTTGTTTACACGCTGCTAACAAGTGTCGAGCAAACACTTCGTTGCAAGGCTGCATGTAGAGACTCTTGAGAGTGTCGATAGCTTCTTCGTATGTTTTGCATTCAGAAATGCATTCGTACACAGAAGTAGAAATATGATTGAAGAGAATATGTAGTTTCGAAGGATTTTCGGATCCCATTGATTCAATGAAGTAGGAAAAAGTCGCAAACCAGTAATCCCACTTCTTAGCATCTCCAACTGCGTTAGGTTCTACGTCGAACCGATCAGGTCGGAAAGATCGTTCCATGAATATTGTAAAATGAATAAATTGTTACGAAGGAGATTGAGTCTTAGAACGATGAGTGATGCTTGAATCTTGAAAAGACGAATGAACCAAAAATTTAGGCTTTATTCATTTTACAATGAAGCCGGAATGGCCTAAACGTATAAAGGGAAAAAGAGTGTTAATAGCGGTAGAGATATGAATATGATTAGATACGTATTATAAGAAAAGTTCAGAACAATTCCAAAGAGGCTGCAAGAACAAATAGGATAACCCTATACAATTAATCCTGGAAATATATGTCCAGCATCACCTGCTGTGTAGCACATCATAGAGGTGGGTTACAAAGTTGGTTTCAGTAATTCCCTTAAACCCATATATAACACGGGTATGGGTCACATGCCTAAATTTGTCGAAACCTTATGCATAAAAAGCCTTAAACCTGTTCTATGTGTTTAAAAACTATTTGCCATTACTTTGAACCTACTGTGGTAATCCAGTTTTCGAACCAAAGTTCATTTCGCTTGAAAATGCTTCTACCCTTTTTTTTCTTACATCATTTTCCTACCTCTTATCTGTGACCATGACCTGTAAGCGTTTGGACTTAAGTTGATAAAAATTATAATCCTGTATGCTCTGTTTCCTATGCAAATAAGTATGACTAGTACGTGTGCTGTCAAGGGTGTCCGAAATGTGTTGCTCTCGAATTTGCCAAAGCATGTGGAATAAGATCGTTTGTTACCATGTCCATGGTTTTGTTTACATGTTAACCTTAGAAAATTGTATTAATAACAAAGTTTTTAGAGTATTCAGCTGAGGAAACCCACCGAAATACATGAATTCATTGAATACTGTTTCACATTTGTTGCCTGTTTTAAGCAAAGTTATAAGCAAGTCGTAGTTCCTAAGGAAATGAAATATAAGCTTTATTTCTATTTCTATGAATGACTGTAGATTCTGTATAATTAAGAAATACTACAGCTTGTAGATAGCACTTGTTGGAAAAAAATTGTTAAGTGAAGTCGTTTAAGTGGCCATGTGAGTGGATGTCTAATGAACCAATGTAAAACTTCCCACTACAGTACAAGAGTTCATGCTGCTCTATATATTTAGGTAAAGTAAGCAAAATAAGAAGTAGTATTTTGATAGTTTCTATTATTATTCTCACTAAAGTCTTGTCTTTTTCAGGAGAGTTGACGTGATCGGAAGGGGATATTCTGGTTACAACACACGTATGTGTAAAGCTGTGCTTCCACTTCTCTATCCGAATAAGGATTCACTAAAGGACTGTGTATTTTTCACAATTTTTCTTGGCGCTAATGATGCTTGTTTAAGTCAGCAGCAGCATGTGCCAATCGAAGAGTACAAAAAAAATCTACAATGGATGATTGAATATCTTAATGTATGTTCTTATTTTTCTGGCCCAAATTCTACTATGTATGTATTCTATGCTTAAGAAAAGGATGCATTTAGTCTATTTTGAAGGCTAAGTTTAACTTGCTGATTCGTTTTATGGAATAAATCAATAATATATGCAGGCTAGGATAATCTCGTTGCTTGGTACTAACTTAAATAGTATGAGCAAACAAAGTTATTTTTATTGGTGTTTGTTTTTAACTATTGTAGTATGAAGTGCATTTTTAAAACAACAGCGTCATAACATTTTACAGATAGAGGAAAGTAAGGGAGTCGTTATTATAAAAGCTTTTGTATCTCCCAATGAATGAAAAACACAACGATATTGTTTTTACTGACGTTTTGCTATTCAGTGCTAATACCTTTATCAAAGTATTATTAAACTATAATTTGCAAAATTTCAGTTTTTTTGATAACAACTTAATCATCGTTCACCAGCATTTGGTCATTTCTGTGTTGCCTAGTTGATCAATTGGTAAATACAACAAAACGGATGGTAGATATGGCTAGAAAGGAATCAGTGACTAAATATGCTTTCAATAAGCTTCAAATACGTCGAAAACTGTTTATAGAAAACAAAAATCAATAGCATTAACTCCTATCTTCATTTCGGACAGTATATACTAATGAACTCGGCTATTAAATTGAGTAAAGTGCTCAAATTTATGAAGTTGTTCTACTTGACTGATTTATTTAGATGTGTTCTAAAACAGGCATATATTCGTTTCTGTTTTTCAGTAGGCAGTTTACTGCAATCAGTGAAGTAATATTATTTAGATGCTGGATGTCGTTAAACCGTCAATGAAATACAAAATAACTATCAAAACAAAGAGCACTGGAGAATCTTGGACACCTTTCTTTAATTCTGCTAATGAGGTTGTAAAAATAAGTAGAATAGTCGTGTATGCCTCATTTGATATGAGATAGTGAAATAAATTCCTATGTAATGTTCCGAAGATGGAGTATATATAACAATGTTCAGTTCCCTATTGAAGCATCTAAAAGAAGATTAGTGCATTCCCGGCTGTTTTTGTAAATATCAACACCGAGATTCATCTAATGGAATTACTTTTAACATTAAATAAATGCTTGTTGTAGAGAGTGTGTTCCTGCCATCACAGTGATTAGAAAAAGTTGGATTCTGACATTTTGCCATTTTGTCGTGACCGCCTAATTGACGAAACAAAACGTTTAAAAGTTATTTTGTTATGTTGTATAAACACATGAATACAGAACGAATGAAGATGAGACGTATTATCATCTTAGAATAGTGATCAGTGTTCCAATCGATCCAACTGATAAATCCAGAAATGATGATTCCTATATCAGCTCTTGTTAATTCTTTTAGAGTGTATTCTGTCTGTCTGTTTTCGGCATAGAACTTTGCATCGACGTGTAGCACACAAAGCAAGAGAAGAAAGTAGAAGAAATGCATACTAGAGAAAGTAGACAAGGATATAAGGCAAAGGAATAGTAATAACGAAGAACAACATAGTTTCATGGGAAATTATAAGTCACAAGGAGTGGATGCATCTGCGCCAGCCACTGAGAACGATTTTGAGCCATATCACCGATTGTCTCCAGCCATTGGTTTTTACCATCCCGAAGACCCCAACCAAGAAGTGTACGCCTTCCTACGTGGCTGGCTTGAACTCACTTGTGGATTTGATTGACTGATGAAGCCATGTTTCAGTCTGACCACCACTAGGTCTTTTCCAACCTTATCCATCCTTTGTCAGCTAGCTAACATTGTCCGTCGACAAGGGCGATCGATGGCTAGGCCTGCATATGTAACACATGTCCTAACCACCCCAGTCGATATAGCTTCACAGTCTCGTCGATTGATTCTAACTGCTTAACTAGCACTCGACGAATGCTTAACTTCAATATTGCTCACCTTATCATACTACTTCACTCGGAAGATAGAACGCAGACACCTGGGATCAAAGACAGCTAGCCTATTCATGTCTTCCACTCTCAGTGGCCAGGTCTCACAACCATAAAGGAGGACGGAGCGGACTGATGAGCAGTACACCCGGCCTTTGGTCGATAGTCGAACATCTCGTCTACGCCAGAGTCGGCGTAAACTGGCAAATGCGAAACGAGCCCCCTGTATTCGTGCTGAGATTTCGTCAGAGATCAGCCCGTTGGGGCTGATGGTACTTCCCAAATAAGTGAAGCGGTCAACGTGCTCTACCACTTCACTTCCTATTTTTAAACTAGGCGTCGATGTAGTCCAGTCCTGTAACATCATCTTGCATTTGGCGGGAGCGAATCGCATACCAAACATTCGTAGATTGCTGCTCAAGGTGTTTAGAAGACTCTGCATTTCATCAGCGTCTTCGCCTAGAAGGACTATATCGTTTGCATATTCCAAGTCAACGAGATTATTCCCCGGTAGCAAGTCAATCCCTGAGTCGCTGAAGTCACCTAGGGTTAAGTCCATTAACACATCTATGATGAAGTTGAATAGAAAAGGAGATAATGGGTATCCTTGGCGGACACCATTGGTCGTCATCAGTTCAGATGACAGCTCGCCGTAAGCCCTCACCTGACTGTATGAGTTAGAGTAGAGTGCCTTAATCAGTGCAATATTATTATTATTATTGTATCCTTTAGTTCCTAGAGGAACATAGGGCTTCAGCTGCGCACCTCCATTGACTTCGGTTTTCTGACAACTTTTTCACCCTGCTCCAGGTCTGTCCACATGCTTTCATCTCCTCCTCGCATGACCTCCTCCAAGTCACCCTTGGACGACCAACTCGCCGCCTCCCTTTCGGGTTCCACTCGAGGGCTTGTCTAGTGATGTCACTTGATGGTTTCCTCAGCGTATGGCCAATCCATCTCCATTTCTTTCTGCCTATTTGTTTCACAATCGGTTCCTGATTGGTTCGCTCCCAGAGATCCCTGTTGCTGATCTTTTCTGGCCATCTGATCTTGAGTATTGAGCGGAGACAGTTGTTAATGAAGGTTTGAAGTTTGTTTGAGATGCTCTTTATGACTCGCCAAGTCTCTGATCCGTATAGTAGCACTGACTTCACATTGGAGTTGAAAATCCGGATCTTATTTTTGATGCTGAGTGCTGTTGACCTCCACACAGATTTGAGAGTAATGAAAGCTTGTCTTGCTTTTCCGATTCTGGCTTTGATGTCCTCGTCAGTTCCGCCTGTAGTTGAGACGATGCTTCCCAGGTAGGTGAAGGAGGTTGTTTCTTTCAGGTTCTTCCCATTTATGCTTATTGTTGTCTGTTGTTGTTGTGCTGTTGATGTTGGCTAGGAATCTTCATCATCTCTGTTTTATCTATGTTCACGTGAAGTCCTATCTTTGATGCTTCTTCTGCCAACTTGTTACTTTTCACTTGCATATCTTCCAGTTTATGGGAAATCAGACATATATCATCGGCGAAATCCAGATCCTCCAAGTCTTTTGTGTCAGTCCATTTTATGCCTGTTCCCTCGTTGGTTGCCGTTGTCTGTCGCATTATCCAATCAATTGCAATCAGGAAGATCATTGGTGATAGTAGACAGCCTTGCCTCACTCCCGTCCTCACTTCGAAGGCTTCCGTAAGTTTCCCGTTGTGGATTACTTGGCATGCAGCATTGTCGTATAACTGTTGGATGAGGTGTATAATTGTCGATGGGACCCCGTAGTAGCGAAGTAGTTTCCAAATGACCTCTCGATCGACGCTGTCGAAGGCCTTTTCAAAGTCGATGAAGTTGAGATAGAGAGGTGACTGCCATTCCAAGCTTTGTTCAATGATGATCCGTAGAGTGGCGATTTGATCAATACATGATTTGTTTCTCCTGAATCCAGCCTGTTCCGGACGAAGTTTTTCATCTAGGGCTTGTTTGATTCTCTCCAGGATGATGCGACTTAGTATCTTGCTTGGAATGGACAGAAGCATAATTCCACGCCAGTTTTTACATTGACTTAAGTCTCCTTTCTTTGGAAGTTTGAATAAGTATCCGTTCTTCCAATCCTCGGGTACTTTGCCCTCTTTCCACACCTTCTCCAGCAGTGGTGTCATCAAGTCCGCTGTTGTCTCTGGGTCTATTTTCAAAGCCTCTGCTGGGATTCCATCTGGTCCCGGTGTTTTCCCAGCTTTAAGCATCTTGATTGCATTCAGGACTTCTGATTTCGTCGGGGGGTCAGTGTTCACTGGTAGTTCTGCTTCCGTTGTTGGTATTGCTGGGTGCGTTGTAGGTGGCGGACGATTTAGAAGTCTTTTGAAGTGTTCAACCCAGTGCTTTCTCTGTTCCACCTCTTTGGTGATTGACTTTCCATTGTCGTCCTTTATTGGCTTAATCTGTGTCGAACGTTTGCCCGAAAGGTTCCTAGTTGTTTGGTAGAGTGTGGCGAGGTCTCCTTTGCCTGCAGCTTGTTCTGCTTCGTTTGCCATGGTTTCATAATATTTTCTTTTGTCTTCCCTGGCACTTTTCTTCACTCTTTTGTTCAGTGTATTGTAGCTTGCATTCAGCTCCTGTTTTTGTTGCTCGTCAGTGCACTGGATAATCTTTTGCTTCACTGTCCTTCTCTCTTCTATTAGTTTCCAAGTGTCCGTAGTGAGCCACTGTTTGTCCTGTCTCTTTTTTCTGCCTAGAATTTCTATGCAGGTTTGGCTCCACACCGTTTTCAAGTTGTTCCAGTGCTTTTCGACGCCGACCTTTTCGCTGGTGTTGATTTGTGTCTCGGCTTTGTCCTTTATGCTTGCAATGAAGATGTCCTTTGTAGCCTGGTCCTTCAGCTTTTGAGTGTTGAACTTGGCTTGTGGTCTATCTGCAGCTCCTGATTCCCTGAAAGCTTTTAATTTGATTTGGATTGTCCCTTGTACGAGATAGTGGTCTGAGCCAACGTCTGCTCCTCTTCTTGCTTTTGTGTCCAGTAGGCTGCGCCTCCACTTCCTTGAGATTGAGATGAAGTCGATTTGGTTTTTGGTTTGCCCGTCTGGTGACACCCATGTAGCCTTGTGGATATCTTTGTGCTTGTATACACTGCCACCAATCACCAGTTCGTTGAAGGCGCAGAAGTCGGCGAAGAGTTCTCCGTTTTCATTCATTTCTCCTAGAGCTTCTCTACCCATGATGAGTTCCCTTCCCGTATTGTCTGGTCCCAGTTTGGCGTTCATGTCTCCCATTAGTATTTTCATGTCGCCAGCTGGAGTATTGTCCATTGTTGCCTGTAGTTGCCTGTAGAATTCTTCTTTCTTCTCGAGGTCTGCGTTGTTTGTGGGTGCATAACATTGTATGATTGACACTTTCCTTCCTTTGGAGTTGAACCTGGCGGTCATTATCCTGGACGAAATCGCCTCCCATTGTATCAGGGCTTTCGTTGCCGTTGGTGACATCATGATAGCCACGCCCTCGGTGTGCGTGTGGTTATCTTCTGGGTGACCGGAGTAGATCACTGACTCACCTGTTGACAATTTGGTGAGTCCACTCCCATTCCATCTGCTCTCACATATTCCCAGCACTTGTATTCCGTATCTTTTCATCTCGTTGGCGATCTGGGCAGCTTTCCCAGTCTCGTACATAGTTCGGACGTTCCATGTTCCTACACAGACTTTTTCTTTTGGTGCAAAGAGGTTCATTTTGCTGAAGTTCTGTAGCAATTTTGTTTACAGGGTGGGGTTGCTAGCCTCACGCCTGAGAAAAGAATGATTACATTAAGTAAAAGTTTAGAGAGAAGCAACTTTTTGGGTTGCTCCCCTCAAAATCAGAAAATAACGGACAAACAATGAGAACAACATCAACAAAGGAAACAGTTCACAGAAAAAAGGGTAAAAAGCGACGACAACTCGGAATTCCCTTTATAGCCAAGCATCTCCAGAGAACTTCTCGATCGACAGAGTCGAATGCTGTCTTTAGGTCGAGAAATATAATGACTGTTGGACGCCGGTAGGAATGCCTATGTTCTAGAATCTGTCGGAGGGTGAAGATATGATCAATACACCCTCTTCCTGGTCTAAAGCCTGCCTGGCTCTCTCGTGTTTGTGCCTCCCGAGAACCACTTAGTCTATGCATGATTATTGAGCCTAAGACTTTGGATACTATATTAGTCAAGCTAATCCCTCTGTGATTATCACAGGAAGACTTGTCTCCCTTCTTGTATATCGGGATAATCAGTGAATTACACCAACCCGATGGGACTTCTTCTGATTCCCAGACGCTGCCTAGTACCTCAGTTAATCCAGACAGTAAGCTGTCTCCACCGTACTTAAATACCTCTGGAGTCATTCCATCAGGTCCCGCTGCTTTGCCTAGTTTCAGATTGGTGACAGCTTTAGTAACCTCAGTTAGGGAAGGAGGACCTGTGTCTATATACCATTCAGGAAGGTGTTGGATGCTCGGAAGGTTGAGCGTGGCGTTAGGCCAATTAAACTGCTCCTCATAGTGTTCTTTCCAGCAATCCAGTCGTCTATCCTGGGAGCTAATTATAGTGCCATTTTTTTCCGAGATTGTCTCACTAATGATTTGTCTTCTCCCACCCGTTTCCCTGATGAGTCTAAATAGTTTCCTGGTGTTGCCTATCCTCGAAGCTTTCTCCATCTCTTTCGCTTTTGTCACCCACCACTGTTCACAGTCCTTGCGGAGACTTTTCGTAAGTTTCCTCTTGTGCAGCTTTCGCTCCTCATTGAATTCGGAGCTCGCCGGAATAAGTCTTCTAGCATCTATCAGTTCGGATGAGGCGGTGGAGATCCAGTGGGTTTTACTCACCTTTGGGTTTACCTTATTCACAGCTTGTACAGCTGTATCTATGGCTGCCTGGATATTCTTCCAAGCTTCTTCAGGGTGAGCACAGCTGTCGAACACAGATATGTGTTTAGCTAGTTCTTCCTGAAATACGGATTTAGTTTCCTGATCGAGCTGGGGACGTGATGGTTTTACCGCCAGCTGTTTCCTACGTCCGTTCAGTCGTAAGCACACCCGAGCGCGGACCAGTGCATGGTCGGTATCTACACACGTGTTCCAGAAGGAGCGACAATCTCCTACCGACCCACGCCAACGATAGCTTATTGCTATGTGGTCTATTTGTGTCCAGCGTTGGTTTGATGAAGGGGGTCTCCAAGTCAAACAGTGTCTCTCCTTGTGTTTGAAGTTAGTGCTTACAAGAAACAAATGATTATCAGAGCAGAACTGCAGTAGACGGTCACCGTTGTCGGTTCACTGGCACGGGACTCCATAGGTGCCACCGACATCCTTCTCAGATTGACACAATTTCCCTACTTGAGCGTTAAAGTCACCAGCTAGAACGACTATATCTGAGCGTTTAGCCTTTCGCACCAAACTAGACAGCTTTTGGTAGAACTCATCCTTCGTTTCATCTGAACTGCAGTCAGTGGGGGCGTAGGCGGAGATTACGAAAAGGCATCGGCGAGTAGTGCAGTCCTTCCTCCTTTTTACTGACCCGTTCAGGCGGACAGCACACATCCGGCTATCTACCGGGATCCAGTCAAGCAGTGTCTTTTCTGCCCTAGTACTCAAAGCTATCCCTACGCCAGCTAATCCTCGTGAACTAGCTGTGGCATCTCCTGACACCCTCAAGGTGAATTTTGCAGATTCAACCTGTTGGACAGGTGGGGTTAGGTGAATAACCACACTAGGGTCTTGTATGCGTGTTTCTGAAACACAGCATACATCAATGGCTCGTGATGCCAGGGTCTTGGCTAGTGATGCTTGTTGTCCTATTTGGCAAAGTGTCCTAACATTAAGAGCTCCTATATGAAATTGGTGGCGCGGCTTTAAGAGGCTGTCGGTGGTGGTTTTTTGGCTACCATCGTTTTTAGTGGACGCAGAGTGGAGAGGAAATGGAGAGCCATCAAGTCGAGGAGTTGCATCAGTGGAAGGAAGGCAAGATGACAGAGATGACGATGAAGACAAAGATGAGTGAGTAATAGAGAGGTTTCGCGTGCGTTTCGGATTGTGAGGGCTATTGTTACTTCCCGGCTGCCCACACCGTGGAAGTTGGTTGCGTGACCGCAGAGCCCAGGGGACAACTGCTTGAGGCCGGTCACACGCGGCCTGTTTTTGTTTGTTCTTTGTTGTTTTGTGTGTCTCAGTAGCAGATTTATCACTCCTGCCCTGTGACACGGCAGCAGGAAGCGCGGTCGTTGTTAATCTGGGCCACGGCCGATCCGGCATGAAATTTTGTGAATTTGTTTGAATCATGGTATTGGATGGGGTAGCTGCTTTTCGTTTAACCGCTATCCAAACAACCTGCCTGGCATGCTAGAACCTCAAGAGACATAAGTCTCAGCCAGTATAGCTTGATTAGGTGATTGCGGTGTTCAAGCCCGACCACCACGTCAAGGTAGCAGCTTTCGGTCGGGAAGTCCATCAGTACATCTATGATGGAATTGAATAGAAATGGGGATAATGGGTATCCCTGACGGACACCACTAGTCGTCACCATATCAGATGGCACTTCACCGTAAGCCCTCACCTGGCTGGCCGCTTGAGTTCGACTAGAGTGCCTTAGTCAGTGAGACGTATTTTTCGGCATTCCCTCCACAGCCAACCTCAGTTTCTAAGGCTGTCACTAGAGTGCATTACTTAGGTATTACTCATAAACATTACATCATTTGTGAATACATAAAACAATGTTTATTGAGAAACATTTAAATTTAAAGTAAGGTTCAAACAGGGATTCGTATATAATTCAGTAATTATTTATTGTTTGATAACACACACTTTTCTAGTTTTCAATATACAATAGAATTTCTAGTCTGTTCTTTTTAATTCAATTACAGCAAATGGATTTACCAGTGGATCACATCCTGTTGATTAGTTTACCTCCTTTAGATGAATATAAGTGGGGTGTCACTGAAATAGCTAAAGGTGATTTATTAACAATTGTAATCTATAAATTATGAGACAATAAAAATTTCTCTTGGAAATTGGTTTCTGTTATTACAGATAAATTTGTTCCAGTAAAATGTTTTGTATATTTTGAACAGTAGTTAGTATTTATTTTATTATTATTTTTTATTTTATTTTTGGTTACAGCTTGATTCTACACTGTATTTTTGGTACAAGTATGGAATTTTCAGCATAGATATCGGTAGCCCAAATTTTGCAGGCCGACCATAGATATCGGCTGTGCGTTGGCAGGGGATCGAACCTCGGACCATGCGCATGGTCGCCGAGAGTCCTAACCACTATGCCACGGACGCACTATGTATCTAATCTATGTGATATTATTATCATTAGTAAAGTGATCTTCGAAGATGAATATGTGTTTCTGTGAAAACATAAATCTAATGGTAGATATAATCCAATTTGTAATTCACGAAAAATACCCATCCAAACGTGGAAATAAAAAATTATCAGTTCAGCGAAGAAACTCTTTTCACCGAATTCATTCACTCAGCTGTACAATCGCAATTACATTTAATTATTTTTGTATACGTGTGCACATTCAGTCTGTTTAGCATAGCGCAAAAACGAAACGAATTAGTTTTGAGTACTATTCGGGTCAACAGAAGATTACACAACAGTAAAAATCAGTAAGCTTAAACTAAAGCTTGCGCACATACTGACTGGCCAGTAGCACGCCTTATTGATCCATTGTGACTTTTTTGTAGTCAAGTGGGGATAATGTTCTTCGATTCTTTTAGATAAAACACGCATTGAACAACTTATATATCTCACCCTACTGGAGCAAGTAAATTGGCAGTTACAAGTAGAAGTAGTCGAATGCGTTAGTTTATCTTTGGATTTATTAGAGTACATTGAGTGACAAGGGAATACCAATCTTAGCGTAGAACCAAGAAATGATCTTTCAAAAAGTTTGATATTCTCTCCCTTAGACTGTCGGCCAGAAGGTTGCCTTTGAATGCTACATGCATGTTTAACATCTCCGGCATAAAGACGGGGAGTTCTTTGTTGGGTTTGGTTTTATGTGTTTATCTATGAAGTGTGGGAGTGGGTAGCCACTTTCAGTCAGTGTTTTTATTAAGAGTGATATCTTCAGCTACCGACTCAGGACTGCATATTCTTCGGTTCCTGGTCACAAGAGATTCATTTTTAAACAAAAATCAATCAATATATGTATTTTTTCAAAATGAACTCTGTGCAAGTGTGTTTTAGTTGTTTCTGTAGATATACTTAATAATGACTCTGGACTGTAAGCAGCTGATGAGAAGCCAACGAAATAAATGATAGTACCATTTTATTCTGTAAAAACCGTTGTTCTTGCTTTATGCGAATTCATTGAGGGGAAAAAATCATTCTGATTGATGTTGAATAGCACTGATGAATTATTTACTATAAATATTATTTTGTAGGGCTACCGCTCACACGGACGTTAGTTAACTATGCAAATTATGCGATTGCATGTGAAGAAGTTTCAAAATTGAGTCAGGTTAATCATATTAATTTGTTTGAGGCTATGATCAAGCAAAGAGTAAGTTTTTTATCACGCATACTCCTCTATGTATGCGCTGTTTAGCTTAATTTTTCAAATATCTTTAGTGATTAAATGAATTAATTGTTATGCATGGTGAAAGAAAGACTGCATGTAGTGGCGTTAATTGGAGCAGTTATTAATGGCAATGACTGCATCAACATGTACTGCGTCGCATAAACATTACAGACGAAACTACATTCTTAGTGCACAAGTTATCTCACAGTGATCAGTAATTTAAGTAACATAGGTTCAGTCATTTCAGTCATATGAATTGATTAGCAGTATTTTCACACTGTCTATACTGACATAATTAAATAAAAATAGGAAAATAGTTTGGCAAAGTAGTGGCTAACCATTACAGATCATGCTGGTTTGGTGTTAATGTAGTTGCCAACTTAATATGCGGTCGACACAGTCGAAGGCCTTAAAGTCTACAAAGTTTAGGTAGAGAGTTGGCTGCCATTCAAGGCTTTATTCGATTATGTTGAGCAGTGTTGCGATTTCTTCCTTGCACAACTTGTTTTTCGTGAATATCTAGCTTGTTCCATGATGATGCGGCTTAATTATTTTGCATGAGTGAATAGGAGCGTGGTATCAGACCAGTTCTTGCTATGATTTAAGTAGCCCTTCTTTGGTAAGGAGATTAACTGTTTGTCCATATTGGATATCTAGTGTACGGTCTATTTATCAGTCTTGTATGTGGCTTGATTAGTTAACAGAAAGTAACCAACACCACGTGTGTAGTCCTTAATGCTGTTACTGACTAAATTCTATCAGTCAGCTTTTCAATACGACCGCCAGGATAGGTAACACTCCATAGTAGTTAAACGGTTGAAGGCAGTCGGCAGGAAGCCCTGTACTTATGCTTCCTGCTTGTTAGCGTTCGTCAGTGGGGCATATTTACAACCTCGAATGAAATTTGGAAATTTGAATCTAAGTCACCCAGGTGTAGGACTCCCAGCAGATTGCCTTTAACCTCCTCACTGTATGTAATTTCACTAATAGGAGGTTTTGTACCAATTCTTACCGTAGCGTTTGTTATGATGATTCGATACTGTAGCACAAACACCCACGTCTTAAAGCAGGTTTCTCCTTGCGCATTTTTTTCCGTATATCCTACTCAGGCAAGCTAGTTCTGAAGTGATATACATATTAAATAGACCACCTCAATGATACAGCTCTCAACAATTACTGCAGTCTGTTTGTTTATTCAAATATTTATTTTAGTAAAAATTATTTGTTCATTACAACTGAGGTAATATTGCTTTATATTAAATAGTCTTTGTTTTCTCAAATTTTAGGATTGGGAATCTTTTCTTTCAGACGGTTTACACTTCTCTAGAAAAGGGTCTGAATTTTTGGCCAAGATTTTAGAGGCCTTCTTCGCTGACAAACTAAGTGGTTTAAAATGGTGGTTCCCAGATTGGAAAACTATAAACCCGATAACCCCAGAGATGTCTATTAATGGCGATCATGAATCTAAAGTGTGATTTTTCATTCAGAATTTTGTCAATAATACATTTCCTTACTTGTTAGTTGTTGTTGTTTTTCTGCATTCGGAAAATATCTAGTAATGTTTCTACTTTTATCCATAAATACGCTCACTAAATACTTTGAATTCGAGGTTTCACCTATTACTGACGAACAACAACCAGTATGAACCAGTGACTGGGAAACCTATCACATGCACACGAGGTTTCTTCTAGTAAGCTGTTTACGTATTTCCAAGTGATAGCAAATATATTCTTTGTGTTAGTAAATATGCCAAGTATCATATGTCAATAAGCATAACTGTGCTATAAGGTGGTAAGTAGTTGGAGGAACTACTGCTGAGATGTACATTTAACGCACAATTCATATTCACTACCATCATTTACATTACCCCCATTGCTAGGAGACTGCTTCATGGCAGGCCTGAACAGTAATCTATTAAAGCTGACTATCGATGATTCCCAACTGTATACAAGATATGTGGACAACATTTCAAGTATTTGTAATAAGAAATGTGATCATAGTCAGTTGGTTCACGTTTTTAATGACTGCTATTCGGCGATAAAATTTACTCTTCAAATGGAAAATTCCATTTCTTAATATCGCACTAACAACAGTCGACGAAACCTCAATAAGGTCTGTCCATAGGAAACCTACATGGGGCGTTTAATTGAGGAGTTTCTACAAATTTTAGTTACATACCTGAAGCACTGACATTCTAGAAGAAGAACTAGACTTGGAAAAGTTTCCTGTCATAAATAGATATTCAACTAGATTTATTGATTAGAATATCAAACCGATAATTTAGAGACGCGAGACACCGTACCAAGAATGAGACTTTATGTAAACCTACGGACGCAATTTAACTTGTGATGCCAAAAAAGAATTTCAACATCGCAAAGCTGAGAGCATTTCGCAGAAACCTGGAAGACAAAATCTTGCTTCTAACCAATTCAATGTACATATTAAAACGTGTGAAACTTGGGCACTGTGGTGGTAAGTAATTCCATATTAGTTTGTTCATTAGATATACCACACAGTGGAACAGTATTATTTACTGGATGACGTTTCGAACAAAATTTATTTTTCATAATCATATCAGTTGTAATCACACGACTTCGAAACTTGAGTTTTATAGTTTTCTTTGTCCTCTCTTATTTGGCGTCGTAGGGGTAGTAGAATTTTCCAGATATCTAGGACAGGTTTTTAATCATTCCTATTGTACATGTTTTCAGTTGATTCGATAAACAAAGCTTCTGTTATCAATCTCTCCCTCCACCCTGTGGCATCAGATTTTAAAACTGTCATATTATTCCATCCTATTGTATGGTTGTGTGTAATTGCATGTAGTGCCATAGCTAAGCTATTCTCTAGATTTCTTATCTTATTCTCTCGGGTCAGCTAATCTGTATTTGAAAACATTTATTTCCCGATACGAATTTAAAACAAGCAATAAAGGTTAATAAAGCAGGATTTAATGAATTCATCAAATTTCGGTAGAACGCGTCTGTATTTTGCAAGGTTGTTATGCCTCGTTGGTCTGACTGCCCCTGTTCTACTACTTTGACCTGACAATCATTGCAGGGTATTAGATAAACTAAATTGTTTTGTTTTAAAGGCTCCACGGGCACGATCCTTAAACCGACAAAGCTTGTTTCTAATTGAGTTTGTGGGTTTGAATATCAGCCACTTTTATTCATGCATTGCTAAGAATTTTCCGTAAGGTTCCTGTGGTTTCTTCTCTGTATGGGAGTACTACTGATGATTTTTATTCCCTGTTGTTGGTGTTGTCATTAATGTCACTGTCACCATTATCATTATTCAGTTTATTTTTACATTTCCCCACGTACTCTCTGACTAATTTAACTGGGTAATTATTAAGTTTAAAGCTTCTCTTTTATGCCTCACTTTGTGTCTTAGATTTTCCTTGTTAATACTTGGTTTTTGTGCCCTATTACTTAAACACTTCACCAATTCTATTTTTACTTACATAGGGTGAGACGATCGGAAGTCCAAATATCTGTTTCCTGTAAGTAGGAGTGTCTAACTTCCCATATTCTCTTCTGTTTACGCTGCAATCTAGCTTCGGAAGTTCCCCTTGCTGACTTTCGAATTGATAAGTGAATCGAATTGCCTCCACCATTGAGTTAGTGTTCGAAAAACCTATCACTATCCTGTGTTCTAAGTACAGTGAATGCATTGTTCGGAACGTCATCCAGTAAATAATACTGTTTCACTGTGTGATACATCTAACAAACAATTTTGGAATCAATGGACATGTATGAGTGCACCTGTAGAATGAAGTATATTGGTTTTTGGATATTCTCAACAGAAGGATAACATCATCTCTAAGAATATTCTTTGCAGCAACACTAAGAAAAGTGTTCTCCAGTCGCCCAATGATCTACAGAAGCCTTAAGGATAAGATCCCGCACCTGATCAAGTCTTTGTGAATATATCAGTTCACCTGCTGCTGTGGAGCCAGGTACATCGGTTGTTCGACGCACATCCTATCCAAGAGGATTCAAGAACACTATCCAACATGGTTGCGAAAAGGCAATAGTGGTGCTTTAAGGAGTGCCATAATTGAACACCTGATTAACACTGATCATTCCATCTCGACAAATGCCTCCTTCAAAGTAATCTGCAAAGTTAAGAGTAACCTACCAAAGGAAATACGGCTTCGTCTTCTGTGTATCGCTGAAGCTCTGGCCATTCACATAGAAAAAACCGGGACTGTGCACACAAAAGAGGATTATTCAACCACTTCTACTGTCATGTTAACAACTTTGTTGATTTTGCTTGTTTGCCTGTTTCTTTAATTGCTTATAATTCTTGTATTCATTTAGAACTCTTACGTAATTCCGTATTCTCTACTTTGTTCTTATGTGTATCCTGAGTATAACTCAATCATCAAACTATTTATATTATTACGTAACTCCCTCTTAACAATTGTTTGTGGCAACCCATCACCTTTGTTACTACACTAGTTTCATTAACATACAAATTTTCGACCGTTTTCGTATTACGTAACTCCACCTAAAACTTACTAATTTCACCTGTTTAGCTAGTTAACCAATTGTATTTTTTATTTGACAAAATTAATGTACACATACATACAAAATAACTCATATATATTTTCGATTGTACACCTAAGAAAATGAACTCGCCGAAAAGAGACTCTTCGCTGAACTGCGTGTTTTGTTTTCATTAATGCCTGGATGGGTATTATCTATGAATTTTCGATATCTCTCCTATCTAAAAGCGTCCGAGAACACTATCCCGCTTGGTTGCAACGGCTCTATAGGGTTTGTCTATTTCAACAAATTCGTGATTGAGAGTGAAAAGCAATCTGCCTTTGTATTGTTGAAAATCTAGCTATCCAGCTACGGTAGCCAAAGCTGTGCATACAAGTGAGAATTCTCTAACCACTTATATTATCACGCCAATGATCCTGTTATTTTCATTATAAAACTCTGTGCTTATGATAGTTCGCCTCTTATGTGTTTAGAATGTACACGAATGAGATTGTACAGCTAAAGAAAATGCAATCGCCGAAAACACCCTTATCCCTAAACCACTCGCTTTGTTTCTCAGTAATGCTTGGATGAGGACTATTTATGAAGTCGAACTATCACACTTTTGTGCAAATTCACGGAAGATTAAATCCTCCATACAATCTAACTAATATCTGTTGGTTGAATAGCTGTAAAAGTTTTACAAATAACTGATAGAAAAGGGTGGGGAAACAAGAAATTCGCAATCGCGTTAATTCAGAAGATCGTTACACTAACGATCATAAAAATGATGCGTAATCAACCGGTGGATTTTAAGGCGCGGAATAAATATTTATGTCGAGTTATGAAGACTTAAATAAAAAAATATCGTAATTTTACTCAATATTGTTTACTTACAATAATAAGAAAACTAGGTCGTGAATAAACACTTATAATTTTCATGGACTTTTTTCTTTGACATAACCGAACATTGGTACAGACGAAAAGCGAACACAAAAAAATAGTAAAATAGTTGCAGAAGTAGAATCTGAAGGTATCAAAAAGGACAAATACAAAATGTGATCCTCCGTTAACACTAAGGAGGAAGAAATGCAAAACTGATACAATCACCAACAGTACAGATTTATTATTTATTTGTTTCTACAACCAAGGTAGTAAACTTGGGTTCATATGTATCAAATTGGTAGGCTTTACAGCTTCATGAATAAGTTTCCAAGACTTCGGCTCAGTTCCTGAGTAATCTGAAGCAACTAAAAAAATGTAAACAATAAGTGTAGTTAGCAGGAAATTAACACGTGGTAGTAATCATTTAAAATGTAAAGGCATTTATACTGAATTAATATTAGGTAGTGTAATATTTATCTTTGATATGATTGATGTTGAATTCGATTATTGTATGGGCACATAATACGAATTCATCTATCAGTGTTAAAAATAAATTGGCAAGAAGGACTCAGTGAAGACTTTGAAGTAAAAACGTAGACGAAATAAGTGGAATCTTATATCATGTTCAGAAACATTATTGCAAATTTAATTCATTTGATTTTGTAAAATATTGTAATCAGTCGACCACGAAATCAAACTTCAACTTTCAATATTTTGTTAGTTATCAAACACAAACGACCAGTATAAGTGGACATGGGCAGTGTGGACTCAAGCTATTTTTAACACAGGAACCTACCCTATAATATTAAGATGTTTACAAAGTGTTACTGTAACAACAGAATACAAGGGCCAGGCAACAGATCGTTTATTGAGAAAATCAAGAGATATTTATAGATTTTTATGTACATTATTATTCGTTATTGTAGCAGAAGAGCAACGTCTTCTGGTTGGTTTTTCTTTGCTGAAGGTTATTCTGTACTGCCTTTGACCGTTGCTCGCTCACTCTGTTATCCATATATCCACGAATCGTATTCGCACACGCTAAGTCTGCTGTGATTGGTTTTTGAGTTCCTCAAGGTTAGGCTTTTTTCTTGTTTTTTTTCTCATGACCACGATTCGGGATGTAAGCGATGACGTAAATTGTTGCTTACAATTTCGGCCTACAGACAGCTCTCACCACACTCGTACGCCCGTCAAAGACTTCCGATTGAAGTTGATCCGGTCTTCTTGGTGCTGGCGGCTTTGTTCGTTTGTCTTGCTGTCTGCAATTTCGGTGCTCCCTGACGTTCACCCGTTACTCTTTGTTTACATTTGTGATCGTCTCTACGTGATCCCGTCTCACAGTGACAATATGTGGTCCTTCCCACTTTGAAAGCTGTTTGCCTGATCCTGGCGCACATTCGTCGGTGTTTCGCCTCACATTTTCACATGCTGCTTTCGCCCGACCTCCAAACACACACAAGTGACAAAACCGAGGCAACAACGATCAAGTACTTGATATCTCTTCAGTCGTTAATTTTTACAATCAAATGGGGGACAGTGGGGATGTAGGTCATTCGAGCAGGCAGTCGACTTTCAGCCAGTAAGCCCTGAGTTCGAATCCTGTTCCGTCCACTTCAGCCTACACTATTGGGTAGTGCCCTTAACGAGGTACATAAAAAATCCATTCCGGATAACTGAGTTCTGACACTGATAGGACAAAACACTGTTGCTCTATGAACCCTATCCTTAGTGAACAAATGGATAACTAATTTACACTAAGTGCTGTAAGTTGCAGAATTATGAAAAAATAAAGTGTAAAGAAACATAATACAACTGAATATAAAGAAAATTACCTCTTAATTTATTACTCATTGAATCGATTGTAAGATTTACTAGACTTATCAATTGTTCATTTGACATTTCTGACACAAGAGTTGGAGCATGAGTGTTTATAACTGAAGATTCATTCCCTTCGATTTCCATTGGATACTGATCAGAATAATGTTGATTCAAATCATTTTTCGCGTATACATCTTGTCCGTTCATTAATAGCTGATATGCATAAACAGCAGATTGTCTTCCTCGATGCCACAGAATATAGTCGCGACGTAAAAATGTCCGATAAAGACTAGTTAAAGTGTGATCGCGTTGTGAAACCATTAATGCTTGTGCAGCTGTAGTAAAACTGGCTGCAAGAGGTCCAACTGTTGCTGGAGCCCCAGGTAAACACACTAGACCAGCTAAATTTGGAGTGAGGCGAAATGGTACAGGTCGACAGTCGGTAAACCATCTATCTCCAAAATTACTAGTGACACCAGACTCATTTGAAAATTTAGAAGCATAGTGACTACCTGATAATTTTCTTCTAGCTGAAATTTTATATTTCCATAAAAATCAATACTTGTTAATCATGCAAATAATCAAAATAAAACTGAATAACTAGATAAAAAACCATTTTGTTTCATCCTTAGATTAATGAAGCTGTCCTCATAATAGGATGTAAGTGAAAATTCAAATACTTTTAGCTACAAGTTATTCTTACCACATTTAAAAAAAAATTACTACTAATTTATTCAGCAAAATAACTCGAATGAATAAACTGAAACGCATAGAGGTGAAAATGGAATACCGCACTGCACTCAGTGAATCTATGCAAATGTTATTCCACCGGATAGATGTGTAGACCTTGTGACAGAATTTCGTTCCACCGACTCTGGCTGGAACGACTGAAGCTACTAGCATAATCAAATGACTACCAGTCTAACCCCACCCAAGTATTATACGTGTATCGAATTTCGCAAATGTCACTGCTGAGTGAGTCTCCAGAATAAGTAGTATGGTAATAATGAAACTATATATGTATTTCAATGATTCAGGTTTCCAAATGTTGATCGATATGCCATAACATTTGAACTTCATTATAAATAATTCCATCAGAATAGCCCAACAGCATCTTTCGAAACGTTTCACAGTTTCATGAATTAATACCCATCCGTATTGCGTCTTAGTGTACAAAGAAATTTACAAATATTAGGAAAGATTAAGTACATATTGACCATCTTTCTAAATAATAGAAATAATGAGTAATTACTGACTGAGATTCTGAAGCATAGTGGTTATCTTTTTTTAGGAAAGGATTCAGATTTAATTTATTCCCGGAAGGTCCTAGGTGGGCGCATACTGATGGAGAAACCCAAACTAGGACGAAACAGCTGTTCAGGATTTTCAATGGTTCTCCAATTGATGTCAGCTGATGGTGAAATCCGACCACCAATCAAACAAAATCCCTACAAAACCAATACTTGGTAATTACAATTAGCCGTTGAGGCGTTTGGAGTAAACACAGGAGTCAGACAAGGGTGCTTACTATCACCAATGATGTTCCTAATTGTGGTGGACTGACTGGATTATGCGCCAGACAGTGGGAAACGAGCAGGCAGGGATATCCTGGACCGACATCAAGAACCTATGAAACCTGGATTTCGCGCGTGGATGATTTATGTTTGATGTCACACAAAATCGAAGACTTACAAGCGAAAACCGACAAACTGGTCGAAGAAGCAGCCAGCAAAGACAGGACTCCATGTGAACACAGACAAGACGGAGATTATGAAAATTACCAACCAACAAGAACATCATCCAACGTCAATCACCATCAACGGGAGGGATTTGAAAGAGGTTACTTCATTCACTTATCTAGCGAGGGAGCATTGTCTCAACTACAGGAAGTCGGAACGGACGAGGATGTCAAATCGAGCGAGAATCGGGAAGGCGAGAAATACATTCATCAACCTGAAACCAATCTGGAAATCTTCGTCACTCAGCATCAACAACAAAATTCAGTCGGATTTTCAATACAAACGTCAAGTCACTCAGTTCTTCTATACGGATCAGAAACTTGGCGGGTGAGTCACAAAGAATATTTCCAACAGCCTGTTGCAGACCAGACCTTTATCAACAACTGTCTTCGCTGGCTCTATACTGAAGATCAGATGGCCGGGCGGGCCGGAAAGCATCACCAACAAGAAACTATAGGAACAAACAAAACAGGAACCAATCGCCAACCAACAAATATGCAGGAGAAAGTGGAAATGGATTGGACACTCGCTGAGGAGGCCGCTCGGTGACATCGCGCGTCAAGCCATTGCTCGAGTGGAACCCGAAAGGTAAACAGCGAGTGGGACGTCGGTGTGAGGGTGACATGGAGGAGATCGTGTGAAGAGGAGTTGAAACAGTATGAACTAACATGGATGCGGGTTAAAAGTACAGGAGAAGACAGAAGCAAGTGGTGAGGTGCAGTTGAAGCCCTATGTTCCACTAGGAACCCAAGGGAACAATAATAATAACAATCAGCCGTTAGTTTTGTATGTAATCATGACAAGTAAGAATACGTCTTGTTGATAAGTGAGTATAAACCTGACAATTACATAGATTAACCACTGGGAAAATCGATTCAACCTTTCACACATTATTAGAAAAGAATATTTACAATTAGGAAGGTATTGAGGAATATGACAAGGAAAAAAAGAGCTTTTTCGTTGAATTACTTATTTGGCTTTTTATCAATGTCTGGATGAGGATTATTCATGAATTAAAATGTTTTGCGTCGATATAATATTTGAAAGGAAATGGTGTGATATAATTTTAGTCAGAACTACAACTTCAAACTTTTATTATATTTTTCTCCTGATGATATCATCTCATGGAAGCAATACAACAAAGTGTATTTTGAAGTGATTTAATTCGCCTTTGCAACAGAATTTTTAACAACTTTTGTACCTGAACTAATTTTTTGTGCAACTTTGCTAGCAGCATTATTTAAAAAAAGGGAAAATGTAAATACACTTCGCTGATCATGTATATATGGGAAGTAGATTTTTTAGTAAGGGCAGACAAAATTAACCACATGCTTAGTCAGTAAATATGAGGAATATCACTAGATGATTGAATCACTCAATACACAGGTACAAAATTAAAAACAGGTGATCGCCAATTTAAAATAGAGATAATTTAAAATAAGTGAACACTTCAAAACTAACTTATTTTCTCATTCTTTTGAATAAGCATTGTTTGCAGGAAACAAGAAAGGAAATGGGCTTGATTAAATAACCTTTCAGAACTTATCGGTGGTAATGGTTCTGGAAAACTATCACCCGGTAGGCTGAAACAGACTTGATGTGTTTCCGTATGACCGGAACGTGGATCAATGGTTAAACAACCTGGATGGAGTGCTGTTAAATGGAAAAGACGTTCCATAAGTCCATGCAAGCCAAGACTATGCGCCAGACCACGACGTAATAACCAGAAACTCTCTGAATCAAGCATTTGGTGTTCAGCCCAACGTTGAAGAAGATTTCCACGTGGGAATTCTACTTGATCAGTAAAAGACTCAGTGTTCGTAGTTTGATCATCCTTATTGAAGACCCCGAGGCTACAAAATGTGAAAAATAAATATTAACAAGAGAAATTTTACAACACTATCTCATTGAAACAGGAGACATTAAATGCAATATACCAATGGTCTTATTCCATGTATCTTCAATTAATAATGGCTTACTTTGAAAATAAAGGATCACGGACGTATAAATTCTGTGGCATTCTAGACGAAAGACGACGAAATATCTTGAAGAAATCTTGATTTGTTATCTCAGTGTTGCGGTTCAACAATGGCAACATTTTCTCATAAAATAAACATACTAAGTTTCGCGCTCCAACTGGATGTGTATCACATGATGAGTTGAGAGAAATATCATCTGTCACTCGAGCTATACCGGAAGATTTAAAATTATTCGTTTTTATCTCTTGTTGATCAGATTTAACTGACTGATATGTCTCATCTGACTTCTGTTTTGGATTAGCTTTTGAATTGACCAGTTTACAACTACATTTCTCTAAAACACCATGAAGTGTAGTACAAGCACAGTAACAACCAGTTTCTAAAGCAGCTGGACGACCAATTGCTTCTAAAGCCATTGCAGAACTTCCGACAACTGTTGAATGATGGATTAAATTGGTGGTCTGAACTGTCATCATATTTGGCAATGGTCCAGGAGGAGGAGATGGTATACGAATATGAGTCTGTAAAGAAAAAAACATCAGTTAAGCTTTTTGAAAACGTTTGATACAATAATAACAGAATACCTAGTACTGATTATGTTTAGAGAATCTATGCAGAGATCCTGCACACATAAGTAAACCGTCATCAAGTATGCAGAACTCGTTCAAATGAAATCATGTAAATGTTTGGAAAGCGAAATCAATCAATTAAAACAAACGTTCATCTTGAAAAATGGTTAGTTAGTTAAAAATCAGCCAACCAGAACATATTTCTCATGTTGTAGGTCACTAGACACATTCAATGTGTGCCAGCTGATGAAACTCTCCAGTCATACAAGTCCACTGGATGACGGCTAAATGCTAAATTCGATCAGCCACCTTGTTAACTGGAGTTAAGAAAAGGTAATTACACTACTCGGCGTCAGCATATCTAATAACTCTTAGTTTTCAGTTGATATCAATTATATGAAGGTTTACGAAGAGCTCGATTTGCGACAGACAGTTAGCGTTACTTGCAGAATGTACAATACAATTGTTTACTTAGTAGTAGTAAATCTTGTGACTGATTTCACAAATACTGTATGTTAATAAAATGCCTAATTCACCTAGAATTAGGAATAGACAAAATCTAATAGACTGTTTTTTGTACAAAAAGAAGATGCGAAAATGGGAAAGGTTGCGTATGGTATTGGCTTGCTGAACAAAAACTATTCAATTTGGTTATTAGCAGAAGAATAGCTTAATGGACTTTTACTGACCTATCATTTGAAATCGGTTTGAGCCATACTTAGAGTAATCTTTATTTAACAATACATGCATACATACAAATAATGCATGTCAATAAAAAAAGTGATATTAAATTTGGAAAAGTTAAACAATACACATGGTTAAGATAAGTATCTTCAAATGTGTTTTCATTAAACTTATTCAACAGAAAGAAAAAAATGCCCATTTCATCTTTTTAAGAAAGGGACATCTACGAAAACTATCTACAGAAAGAGTATTCAATTTACACTTAGATAAATATATGTAAAAAAAATCACACAAAAGGGTTCACCTTTAAAAACCCAGAAATTTCTGTTGCAACAGACTGATCTACACTAATATCTGTGGATAGATTAGGTTCAGCAAATGATAAAGACCATGGATGACGTTTAACTGTATCTTCAGAAGTCGATGGCACTGATTGATTACTTTGACTTCGGTTTGGTGAAACTGATGAATAACCAGCAATAACAGCAGTGGTCTTGCTAATGCTGTAAGTCTAGGATTATTAATCGAATTTCCAGATGGTAGTGGACATGCGCTCGCAATAATAACATTTGCTGCTGGCACAGAAGATCCAACTTGAGTTAAATAAAGTCCAAAAGGACCGACTTCCATTCGTCTAAAAAAGTGAAAAATAAGTAAGTATTTTAGAATGAAAAAGAAAACGACAAGTTACATTCGAACGAAGTCCTCTATGTGAAAACAGCGTATTTAACATTCATAAAAAAGGTTTTTAACTGCAAAGACAGTAATTCAATGAGGTAAGATAATTGTTATACGGCTACAGGTACAGTTTACAATGATGAAAGTAAACAGTGAAACCGGGAAAAAATCTCTTCTTATCTAGTCTAAACGCTTGTTTATTCAGTTTTCATGAAAAAGTTGTAAAGTTAGCGAACAGTTTTACCCGAACTTCATATATTTCTAATCAGCGTAAATAGCTAACCACAGCCCAATGGTGTGCACATTTCAACTTCTTGACTTGAATCAATCCAAGTAGGTCGCTGATGTATAAAACCTTAAGCAACCGTTCAGTGTCTTAAATAGCTTTGTATGTATAGTGAGTAATATCACTGGATTGCGTTGAATGCAACTTAAGGTAACTTCAACCAATCAGTCAACCTGTTAATCGAAGCTGGATATATTATAAAGCCTTTCGAGAGGAAGAAAAAGCAGAATTCTCTTACATTAGGAAAAACTATAAGGTCAGTTAGTGAAAACATTAAAAATGACGTCCTCTAAATCAGCTACTCGAATTGCGATTGATTCAAATGAATAGTTTTATATTAAAATATAATCCTTTGAACGCTTCGGTTTAAGTATGTAAATACTCCTTATGTATTTTCAGTTAATTTGATATAAAAACCATGATATCCCCGCCCTTTCGAAATTATCACTTCACTTAAATGCAGGTGATCTGTACTAAAAAGAAAAAAGAATTGGGAAAACTGAGTGATTACCTTGGAACTCTTAGTGAAAGATTTCTTTTAGCTGTTTCTGGTTGCCCAAGCAACATTGTATTGATCACTTGATACAATTGAAGTGGACCCGTTTGCCTCCAACTTACATACGCTGGTGTGCAAAAGTCATGTTCAGTTAAAAGCTCAAGATTACCAGGTTCTCTGAGCGAAATGGCATTAAGAATTTCGTAATATTTTGCACAGCATATGGCATCCATATGTGTAACGGCTAGATTCACGATTGGAGGACTAACTGGACACGCCAAATCATAGAAAAACAGTCTACCATTACTAGCTCGAATACTAATACGACGAGCAGGGGGAGAAAATTGACCAGTTGAACACCGAACACGCTCTACATATGGCATAATTTCAGCAACATGGAGATATAAAGGGATATTATTAATGAAACCACCAATTTGTTGATTGGATTCATTTTGGAAATGATGCGGAGCAGCCAGTGGGCCTAAATTTGATCCTGATGATTGAAGAAGTCCAGATTCTCCTGGAAGTTCCAGACAGGGAATTGTTGGCATTGGAGAGAAAACAGAGTATACCTGCGGTGCATTTGATGCGGTTGTTCCAGAGGAAGGTGCACTTGATGTATTTACAGAAACCATTAGATGAGGCAGCTCTAAAAGACGTCTCGCTCCATAACTGGTGATATGCGAACGATGAGGTAATTTAGCCACATGCTGTTCAACCATTGGTATCCAACGTCGTGTTAATTTCTGAACAACTGACTGAAAATTATCAAAAAATTATGTAAAATGTTCACTTTACAAAAAGTGTGATGAAAGAAACTTATTGTTTACAACGTAACATTTCACTGAAGAACAGATAAACGCCAAGCAGTTACGCATAGCCCATGAACACTAAACAACGTCACAATTGATTAGCCAAATAAATTTACTTGGATCTCATGAAATATTCGACAGTGAAATGCTTATCTAACAACTTTATGATAATCAAAGTACAATGATAAAAAACAGATATTTTCTTACCAATATGCTCTCGTTGTGTAGCTTTTCCATTTCAATTGAAAGCACCTTTTGAAGATGTTTAAAGTATGGATCTCTTTCACACTCTGAGAGTAGAATTTCAGCTGCTATGCGGTTAACTTCATTAAAAACTGGTGGGTTTGTTGATAAAGTGGATTGCTTTTGTGATTCAATGACAGATTTAGCATCATCACGTTCAGAAGTATAATCAGGATCACTTTTAGTTTTGTTACAATCAGATACGCGACAATTAGACTTGAGTCTTGGTGACTTCAACTTCTCTTTTCGAAAACTAGTAGATACCGAAGAATTTGAATCACTTTTAGGTAGACTTTGAGAATACATAGTATCTTCTGTATCTTGTTGAAATTGTAGTATGTTTCTCGGCAAACCACAATCACGACTAATTTGTTTTAATTCATTAGCTAGCCAACCAGGAATGGTTTGATATTCAAGATTTTTAGCACACCAAGATCTGCCTGGATGTAAATGAGCCCAAGCAAGACGCTGAAGATAATCTAGGACTGAGGATAATTGGGTTAAGAGGTGTTCAGCCCATGTAGGTCTCAATCGACCGCCAACTTCATTTGTGAATAAGTCAACAGCATATAACCGGGATGAATGCTTGCGTCGAAGCTAGACAACAACAACATCAAGGAAAATTAACACATTTAAATATCCACTCTTAATGCAAAAAGGCAAACAATAAGCTACAACAACACGTCGTCTATTGACTGGAAACCACCGGTGAATCATCATTTGCAATTTATGAATAAAAAAGACGATTAAAAGAATGACAGATGTGACGGTGAAGTGGACTCCTGTCACTCAATTAAAAGAATGAATCACCCAAATAAAGCAAACTAAAGCAGGATAAGGTCACTTAGTGGTATTCTTTCAGGTATAATATCTTTGGTAGTGATTTGAGTAAAACATACAAAGGAATTATATTCATTTTATGCATTTATATTTTGATGTGTCAAAACAGCGATTGACTAACGTGATAGCAGAATTCAGACATTGAGGTAGAGTATAGTTTCGTACTAGATAAGTTTATTTGATATAACAAAGTGATACAATATTATTAACTATGTGATGTTCCCAGCACAATTTATTGTTTATATTGAACGCTCTCATACGAATTCCCAATTCGCTTTATACAGTTCTACTTCCTTCCAGGATTGATGTTACGTCATTAAATACACTGAGTATTGATTTGGAAAAGAAAGAGACTTGGTGATTAACTTGTTTCTTCAACAAACTACATCGTTTTCTAGTGGTTTCATCCAAGCCCATTCTATCCTGCGAGTGTATGCATAACGATGGCTGAGATTTATAACTAGTGCTATCTGACATTTTAGATCGAGTTAAATTCTTACATCCTGATAGTCTAACTGATCCGGTTCAACTTGTTTGAATTATTTGAGCCCATAATCATCACATTATATCTGGTATGTTCAATCATTGTCTAACGGGAGCCTTAAGTTGACAGCAAGACTCTCCTTGAGAAAGTTTGTAGCACTAACCAGAATCGATGTTAAGAAAAAGATCACGTAAATGAAGCTAAAAGAAATGCAACAACAACTCAATAAGGTAAAATAAGTGTGAGAGGTAGAGGAAAATCAAATGAAGATGAGTGAAAGAGATGTCCTATCGAAAACTCTTCGGTAGTACAGCTTTACGGCAACATCCACTAGTTTACATACTTTATCCAGTACTCAAGGCCTAATTTCAACTCAGTTCACGCACTGGTTTCACAAAGTGATGTCTCTAAGATGTTCAACGTTAGGTACTTTTAGACTTTACACTTATTAAAGTAAGCAATGTAGTTAAATCAAATTTGCCAATTGCAATTTACACAGTCCGAGAAGGTGGAATTTTACCACAGTTTGTATTTGAAACCACAGCCATTCAGACCACAACATGTTTGGTTTGAACTGGTTCGTCTCTCTGAATTGAGGTGAACCGGATTACACTGCTGATCAGCCTGGCCCCACACAAACAGAACGGTTTTCCGGTGTTAAGATGGTGGTATTTCAGTCAATCAGTAATATATAGCTCAATGAATGTGGTCTTTAAACGCAATGAGATATACTAATTAAGTAGTACTTTCTGCACTCCTAGAATATATTTAAATGCAGAATAAAAATAACCAAAGATGAGTTGAGATAAAGAGCAAAAATTAAAAATAATAAAGGAGATGTTAAAAATTATTGAAGTTTAAAAGAAGACTTACTTGATTAATAAGTATGTTTGTATGATGAAGGCCATGTACAGCTGAGTTAGATAGGCAACCCGTGACTGTGTTACCATAACCAACATCGACTGACCGTTCTTGATCAGTTGATGCAGTTCCGACAGCATCGTTTGCATCAGACGAAGGGATTTTAGGCTCCGACTCACTATTAACCACTTTTGGACCAGAATCTGTTTCACTTAACCCTATATCTTCATTTGCATTACAATCATCGTCTTCATCGTCACGATCAGCGTCAGTTACTTCAGCATCATCATCAGGCTCTGTCATTTCAACATCTTCACTTAAGTAACCAATTTGTTCGTGATCGGCATTTGATGTTGGATCAAAATCTGGACTACGGATAACAACCTTTTTAGGATGGTTAGCTAAACTAGGCGACTGTTCTCTCACTTCATATTTTTGTTGTTGTGGTGCTGGCAAATTAGGGGACGAAGTGTTCAACCGCTCACCTTCAACACCTCGCATAACAACGATCACACGTTTCTTCTTCTTTGAGTTAATAATGGTAGATGAGTTGGGAGAATTCACTCCACTATTACTTGAGTAAGTGCTTCCAGAAACATTTACGCTAACTTTAGAAGAGCTAGGTGCTGATGATGCATAGTGTTGTGCATTAAAAATATAACCAGTTCGCCGGAGAATGCCACCAGAATCGGCTGTATTATTCACTCTGTTAGATGACCCGGATAAATCGCCAAATTTCATTAGAGATTCCTTCTCTGAACCTAGTGTTGATGCGATACGATTATGAATAGCTGTTATAAATGGGTCATTTTTATTTTGATGATTCTGTATTATTTCAGCAAGCTTTTGATCATTATTAACTTCTGTTGCTAACTGGTGTTGCAGACCTCTTAAGTACCCATAAAGAACGGTGGGATATAAAGCGACTACTCTACGCAAAGCTGGAACAATGAAACGTCCTTCAGGACGTAACAGTGATGCTACAAGATCTGGAAGCCATGGCAAGAAAACTTCCGGTCGGACTCGACTAGCTCTTGCTTCAAAAGTATGTGCTAAACGTTGCTGGCCATTAACATCATCTAGTGTCAATAACCATAAACACTTGGCGATATCAGCTCGACTTTTTCGTTCAAGACCACCAGAAACACTTGCAGCTTCCATAAGCGCTTGCATTGCGAAAATACCAGTTGTAGATACAGCAACTTCTCTTTTTCTGGAGAAAAAAAACAAGAGATGTTGATAACATGATCCAAATTAACTGCAGCTAGTTATGAAGTTACATTAAGTAAATGAAATAAGTCTTATTAAAAATTTTAATGATAAAGTATTAGGTTACTTTTATGGGACTTAATCACTCATTGATCAAACAAAGAATGCAATCACTAAGGTGGGTCCTATAACACTGATGTACGCTGTGGTAACTTACTGTTTTGATTTTATACTCAGGGAGTTAATTAGAGGCGTATTTGTAATTCTGAGGAAACTTATATTCCAAAAGTGTAGAATTAGCTGATCTGGACGATTGTCAAATACAACAAAAGAATCATATATGAAATAAAACAGGAACTAGAACGACCAACCGAAAAGTCTGCGGGGAAATTCGCACACGTGTGTATTAGTTCAAGCTGATTGAACTTCGAAAAATTGCAAATAGCAAAGGATAACAAAGTGACTTTACAGAAATTTATTTATTTGAGCTATATATGAGGGTTCATCATATCTAAATTGGTGGAGCGGGGATTTGGATTCGGGATTCTACTGATATAGACATATAGAATTATAATCTCCACCGCCCTTGAAGAATAAATTTGAAGAAAACAGGACAATATAAAAACTACAACTTACGCTGACGGATAACTGGAATAAACATTTTCTAAGAAATCACCATATATTGACCAGACCTTGTGTAGATTATCCTGCATTTGAGTAGCGTAACCAAAATTTTTAGTGGCTTCATCTCCCCTACAAAGAATTTAAATAATCTCATACTAGAAATCCTTCAAATAACGATGAGACGTTGTTTAGTTATGATGAAAACAGACAAATTAACTGACTAATTTTTACAAAAACAAGGAATATTCAAAGTACTATAGTTAAAACATGTGATTCAATTTCTCGTCGTAGTCACATTTTAAAAATGATCATTCAGAATCCAGATGATTGCAACGATTAGGCATTAGATGGAAACAATATGTAAATATTCCAGGATAGATCTCATTGATCACTAGTTTCGGAGAGATTACAAAAAGAAGTACACCTTATCCTAGCTGAAAACTGTTTCTTTGTGAACAAAGATAAACCATAGGTGGAATTGGATTAAGAAACTCACTATACGAAGTATACACGTGAGCAGTCAAGAGCATATTGTTTCTCTTGTCTAAAATCAGCTATCCGGAATAAATCTTTGATGTGAACCACACTTACCGTGTAAGAACTGGTGATTCTATACAGTTGGCCAGTTTGCAGTGGGTAGATCGGGATCCGAAGCCATGACCCACTGGCTGAAATCTGAATACTTGATATGTATCCATATAATATGTGTGTTTGTTTGACAGTCTGTTATATTTTGCTATGTATATATGGATCGATATTCCATTATAATTAGCCAATCATGTTAAGACTGTCTATTGATTTGTTCATTTTGAATATTCGTTCACACACTTGTTCGGACATTCATATATTTTTGCTCTCACACTCTTGTGTGACAGATTGATTCTCCTGGTGTTTTGGAAAATAGAAGTATCATCGCAAACCTAGTGGTCTTCTGATTTCCGTCTTTTCTTGCGTCAGGACTATTAAACTCTCGACCAGTACATAACAATACTTAAGTCTATGAGCTAAGTCTCCGACCCATAATTTATACCATCTATCAAGGCGATGTTTGAAATACAATTAGTTCTGTCTTATCTTGCCACTCGTGACTATTTTCATTGATCAGTAATGTCTATTCCGATTAATTAATACTGATACACATAGAATTTTAGATCTCAGTAGGAAAGATTCCCCACAAGTCTCGTTTGTTGAAATTTATGCAACACTAAACTTAACGCTTTACCCAGCTGCTTAACAGTAATGAATCAGAAACATCCAGAGAAAACTCAAAGAAAAAAAATCTAATACCACGAAAGGGTTATAGATTCGATGAGTTCAAGAAAATAGCTCAAAATCCTACGAATCACAAAAGATTTACATTGGGTGTACAATTAGACAGGTTCATCATTGTATTTCCGAAATTCATCCAACATGGTTAAGCAACGAACAAACAAGATCTATCCGCAGCTCCGTTTTAGCACACATTGTAGATAGCGAGCATAAAGTTGATTTTAATACAACATTTGAAATTACTTATCGCATTCATACTGATCTTAATTTGGCTTAGGAGTTCCTCTTCTACATACATACAGCTGAAGTCATAGGAATCCGCCTGAAGAAGACAAACCTGTGTGTTCAGAAGAAATCTGTACAGCCGCTTCCGTTATCCTGGCCATTGTTACATGAATGCATACACCGGACCACTTCGCCCCTAAACCTTTAAAAATTATAATTGTCCCAATTATTTTATTCTTATGACTACTTCATTTTTAATTACATACTTTTATTGTTGTAATCATTTCTACCTTTTAATCGTTTGAATTATCTATCTTGGTTATTATCAAACCCCATGACATGTCGATATTGATTAATTATTGTTAGCAAACGTATCGCCACTTGATTAGTAAATTGTTGAGCATAGTAATAAAAATGAGGATCTAATTGAAAAGTAAATGTATCTTCGATCAATCTATTTGTTTCCTAAATGTCTAAATGGGGATTTTTTTCTTTTTTTCAAATGGAATCCCACTGACATTGAAAATAAATTTAAAGCATCTTCGAACTGACTGCACATTAATGTATACGACTGGGTGAATATATGCGTAGGACACAAAGTACAGATCAAGATCAACAGGAAAAACTTACTTATTGAAATGAGAGAAGAAAACAGCCTTGTAACAAAAGAATCTAGCTCTGTCCTTTTTCTCAAATTGTTGAATGTTGGTTTTCTCCATAAGCTCCAAACCCTTGATCAATGTTTAAAAGAAAAATGCTTACACATTGTAAAATAAGACAAAAAAACAAAGACAAAATTCGACAATGGGTATGAAGGACGTAGATATATAATGTGACAGTAAGATGAAAAAATATAAACATATTCGGTTCATTTTCTCTGAAATTAAGCGATTTGTTTGCAGTTTGTTGATATTTATTCCAATATTGTTTATTTTATTTTTACAGGTCTGTTGGTATAACACACAAATAAATTAGATCATACGATTTAAGCATTAATTGTATGTTGATCATCCCCCCAATGGATAAAAATTACTATTCATCATTTTTATTCATTTAGGTGGCACAGTGGTTAGGACTCTCGCCGACCATGCACATGGTACGGGGTTCGAGCCCACGCCGACGCACACGTGATACGGTCGGCCTGCGAAATTCGGGCGACCGGTATCCACGCTGAAAATTCCATACTTGTACCAAAAATACGGTGTGGAATTAAGCTGTAATCAAGTATAAAAATAAAAAAATTAATCAGTCCTTTCAGAAGATATGTCCGATATCTTTTATTTGAAAGTGTATCAATGCTTTGTATAACTCTGACTGAGTTAGTATTCTTTTAATACTACTTAGGTTATTTAGAACCAAATTAAGTGGAGTAATATTTGAGCACGAAAACTGATGCTAAAAAAAATCAATGGCAAAAGCTAACCACTTGCATTCTCTTGATGAATAGTGCAAACTCAAGAGATTAAAAGAGTCATTAAATAACTCCTTTCAACTAGCAACGTCTTCTCATCCCTCAGACATACACCCCCGACACTTTCTACTATACAATGCATATAAATTCATAATGACTTGGATTAAAAATAATGTTTTAACTTTAAATGCCTTAATTTATAACATTTTCTCTGCTATCATACTAGCACTGAAGTTATTTTCATTCTTTTACAACTGTTGTATAATATTTAGGTAGTTTGTAACTGATAAGGACCTGAGAAATAGAACGATATTGATTTATACAGCAAATTTGATCTTTCTTCCTTTACGGAACTTTGCCACGGAAAATAAGTGTATATAATTACACTATAATTTGAAAAATAATATTTGAAATCAACTACCTTACCTCTAAAAGTTCATCTTTACGTAGATCAGCCAGTTTTAATTTAATTTCTTGTTTGGTCTTTTCAAACAGTGGTGGCAAGTTCATACGTGTATACCTATTAAAAATAAATAGGTAAATACTGGCAGTTAAACATATAGAGACATGCAATAATCGTACTACTCAAAGTGAAATTAAAAAAACAGTAGTACTGAATTTCTCTTAATAAATATAAAGCCAAATAAAATTATCAACACAGGACTCTGAAACTTGCATATCCTAGTCTAGATCTCTCCTGTGGTAAAGTCGGTGCGGAAATTTTGAAAAGTTAACGACCAGCAGGCGGTAACATATCCACTCTTTATTGATTTTTAGTAGTCCTTCATTTAACATCCATTAGAGACGATGATATCCACTGTCACAGTAATAAAATCCTAAGAAAATCAATAGTTTACTGTAAAAGGATAACATACTTTTATGCCTACTCGAAACTGTAATAAAACTAAATAACACTTTATCCAATGAAAACAACTAGTGTGGGAGTGATATTCTGTTTAAATCTTATGACATACCTTGAAACAAACTTCAGATTAAATTAACAAGAAAAGGTATGTAAACATTTCAGGACGTACAAATAAGTTTTTACTAGCCAAGCTTTAATGCGATGGAGAAATAAATACGCCAAGTGGAGTCAACAACAAAAAATATGTTAAAGATGTTTAGTTTAATATGAGTGTATGAATATTATTTGTGAACAGTAATCTATTCATAAAAGACTATATATATATATATATATATATATATATATATATATATATATAATATTAAATACTTGTCTAAATGTTGCTGAGCGATGGTTGGGAATCGGTGTTTACGTGCACCACGAGCAAGTTGCAACTGACTGATTGCTACTTCACGTTGACATACAGCAAGCAAGTTATTCTACATCAGAGAAAAGAGATGAAAAGAAATCACAGAAATAGGAAATGTTGCTACAAGTTACTTACTGATATATTTACAATTTATCTTTAAAATAGTGTGTTCACCAGTAAAGAGTATTGCTATATATATATATATATATAATTCATACTTTTGTGTTCTGAGTGGAACATAGGACTTCAAGCTTCAGCTTCGAAGTTTCAATAGCGGTGGTGCTTTTTTACAGGGTGGGGTGGGGATTACTAGTCTTACGCACAACCTTCGGCCGAGAATCGAACCTGGACCACATGCATAAAACTGGGGAGCATTTTACCAGTAAACCACCGACAAGTATTACAATGATTAGGTTTAAAGACCATCAATTATAATATAATACCTGGCCTAAAATTCGAACAGGCCACCAGGTCAAGGTCGTATAGATAAGACTTCACAATTCCCACCCTGACGGTAAGTTTACTGGAAAAAACCCATTTTCCTTAATATCTTATTCATGATTAGGGATATGTATATGAATCTTCTGAAAGTGTCTGTCTACTAGTAAAAATTAAATAATACTTCCTAGACAATATAACACAAAAGGGTAGTAATGCCTAATATTGTCACTAATTTCGTTAAAACTCAGCTACCTGCAACAATAACACAAAACTGATTAACATTCATAGTGTAAAAGTTGAACTCTGCATTACTTTTATAAAGTTCTTTCAGTTGTTAGTTTAACTATATATATATAAAAGAAAAATTAGCTGTTTAGGCGTATAACATCATTCCGTCACGATTTTCAGTTTTCGCAAGTCTTTGTAAACAAAAAACAAAACTAGGCGTTTGAGTTAAGGTTGTTCAACGAAACAATTTGCTTTTGTTATCAAGTAAATATTCACATTTTAGTAGTGTTATGGTTCAAAAAAAAGAAGAAAACAAAAAGCAATTTGTGTACATTAAAACACTAAGCAACGGAATGAAAGAGATTCACAAATTTCACTTACACTTTCCGATTTAACCTTTTGTACATAGGGATAACTACCGATTATAGATTCTTCAACAACTTGTCGCCAAGAGAAAATATCATGCCAAAAGCCTAAATCATCAGCAGTAGAACATGGTCGACTCCTGATAAATAAGCAAGATGAAGTAGTGAAATGTGATTTGAAATATGAGAAATATGGATAAAAGGTAATAATTTAGAAGTGTTGATTTCCATAGATTTGATTAGCTTAAAGTCAAATCAGGAAATCACATCAGTTCGAGAACCATCGAACACAAGGGGGTACAGAATACAGACTGACGGTGGAGCTATATATCGCAAGTCAGAGTCAGCAAGAATTAGAATTGATGGACTACATGACTTCCTTTCAATGGCTAAATGATCAGTTAACTCGCCTCGCAACCCTGAAGTCCTCAATTCCATCCTCGGTGGGGTAATGGGTGCGTACTAATGAAGAGCCCCCAAAAAGGAAGAAACGGTCATCTAGAGTTCATCATTACGACAAAATTAAAGGATTACAAGTGAGGTGTAACAAGGAATGAAACATATTGATATGTGACTCGAATATCGAATTACTAGTTAAAATCTGGCTGTGCGAATCTCAAAGAAGAATAGGCGGTTTGAAAACGTAACCAACTGGCCAAATTTGAGTGTTTTGATCAATATTTGGACTAACCTATGGGATTACTTATTACAAAGATTTATTTATCAAACGAACAACTAGAATATAAATAAACACCGACAATGAAGTATTTACAAGCTCATCTGTTTTGACAAATCTCCTAGAATACAAATATTCCACAGCATTGTGAAAAATTGTCATTAATTTGATTGGAATTACAGAAGAATGCATGAGCATATAGACTAGTGATCGTAATACAATTTTTAGCGTGCATGTTTTAAGTAGTAGGAGGGCCTTTAGAACAATAATATCAATTGCCTCCACTCCAGAGAGACATAAACTATAATCATTAGTTGTCATAAAGAGCAACTACTAATTAACCCAGATGGTAATAAAACAAGATGACAGTATTTAACAGTTCTTTTTTGTGCATTGATACACTTAGTGTACTGTTGGAATTTCGTGTACGGTGAGAACTACTTATGTTCAACAACATAACTATTACAAAATAATAATAATACAAAAATAAACTGTCAAAAGTAGTCATCTGTCAGTGAGTGAAAATAGTGTATTAGACTACATGGCATAACAGCAAGTAAAACTTACTGCCATGCTTTGAATATAGTTTTATAATCATGAAGCGCCTGAGTGAGTGGCATTCTCATATTGACAGATGTTGAAGACGCAGACTGCGTTACTGGAGTTGATGAACCTGAACTATTCTGACTGGGACTAGAATACGCAGAACCAGATACTCCAGAACCATGACAAGGTCCACCGAACATATGAGCACAATATTGAGCTAATAAGCTGTTACCCTCAGTTATTTCAACTGCACGATGAGCAATCTATTCAGAAAAAGAGAAGAATGAAGAATGGACTTTAGAGATGATGAAAAGTGAATAAACAATAGAGCATATGTACTTTAGAAATACAAAAGTTAAGAATTTTAAACAGTTATTTCAATAGTAATATCAAATAATTCAAATTCATTAACTTATAATTAATACCGGATAAACTATATAAAATAGGCACTAGTGATAGCTAAGTTATACACAAATAATATTGATCTTACCTGAAGTAAAGGTATATGAAGTGTTGTAACAATAAGAGGTAAACGCCGCCATTCCATAAGCGTAATATTCACTACACGATGACTCTCCTGTTCTGAAGTGTGAATCAGGTTAACCATATTGTTTAAAGGTGTTATATTTGCTACATTTGAATGTGTAGAAGTTGAGGCTACATTATTCCCAGCAGATGAACTAGGAACACTACTTGATCCAGAGGTTATGTCGCCTGGGTCATAAGCATCAAGATCTACATTAGAGTTACTGGCTGTTGCTAGTCCCGATGCTCGACGTCCAACTATACAAGCAGCAGCTTGAATGAGAGCATATCTTGGTAGTTCACTACGAGGACATTCGTTAGCCAGCTTTAAAAGACAAAATAAAATGATTATTATAAAAACTAAGTTACTTAGCAGTGAAAACTATTTACTATTGCACCTGAATAATACATTAGGAATAATTTCACAGTAGACCAAAATAAGAGGAGTAACTGAAACATGACTGAGGTTAAAATAAAATTTATATATATATATATATATGCCCAAGTTGTTTGTATTACTGGAGGTAATCGTCTTACAACATTGAGGCGTTCCACCACCCACCAATGCTTTTAGGTCATAGAGACTAACCACTCAACAACTTATTATTAATTTAAAATAATAACAGTCTTGCCAACAAAACTCAAAGCTCCAAAAAGGTTTTAAAAAATCATCACAACATGAATTGCAAACATTCACTAGTACATTGAAATAATTTATTTATGAGTCTACATTTCAAAAACTTACTCTAGCTAAACAATAGTACACTTCAGACCAATCACTTCGTCGCCATGCGGCATCGGCTTTCAAACCCCAATAGCCCGAACCACCAGTATTACCTGAGGCGGAACCTCCACTTAAATTCGCATTACCAGAACCATATGTCATTGAGGATTGAACAGATGTCACTAGAGATTCTAACGTGTCCCACTGACCAAGCTGTTTTAACTGCCTAAATTAAGAAAGAAATATTACAATAGAGAACAAAGTATAAATTAGCCATTAAGATAACATATTTAGAGAAGAAAATCTAATGGCTTTCTAACAGTCGAAGAAACCAACCAAAATCTGAGGTAAAATGAAGACTTATTATCATTTCATAATTGTTAGAGAGGGAGCACTAGGAAATATGTACGGTTTATCCATTAAAAAACAAAACAAAAGACCACATTTCTCATTAAACAGTTATGACGAGACTGTTTTCTTACAAAATAATTCAAGCGTAAAAGTAATTTACTGACTAAATTTACGAAAAAGTGTGTCTTACATGATACAATGATCACGAAGGCGTGCACGATTGATGATATCTCCCAAGTGAATAGAAGAAGAATCCACCGAGGTAATTTTGCGATTGGAGGAAGAAGTGGATGATGATGTAGAAGCGACAGCCCGAGTTACCGATGTTGATCCACCGAATAATGAAGATTCTACAGTACCTTGACTACCAAAAAATTGTTTAGATGGGAGATTATCTAGAGCACAATCCAAAGATCGTAACAAGTGACCATGTTGAGCATATTCGAAGCATCCAAGCAGTGAAGATGATCGTAAAGAATCATTACTATTTTCGAGTGAATTAAATTTCGGCCGCAGAGATATTCGATACCACCAAGCAGAAGTTAGAAAGTCAATATCATTTATTTCACCATACAAAGTAATAAGTGATAATGCAGCAGCCCGAAACGGAAATTCACTTGGTTTGATATGAAAAGAATTACTATCACATTGTTCTCCTGATGGCAGACTGACTGAGTAAATCAATTCGTTTGATATACACCGGGTATTAAATTTGGAGGCATGAAGACATAATGATTCAAGAAACAAGCCGACGGTGTACCACTGGTTGCAATTGTATCCTAAATACTGAAGAAAAGATGTAAATTAAGGTAGAGGGAAAAATCGAAGTGTACAGGAAAATTAATGTCAATTACACGGAGGAGACATAAACTTACTGTAATTGCAGGTAGAGGTAAATGAATAAGCAATGTATCAGGACACGATGTCAATGCAGTGAAGAAAGCCCCAAGAGCATCTGGATGTGGTTCATTTACATGTATATGTTGATCAGAAGTTAGAAAACGAACTAACTGAGGAATGACAAATCCTCGAATTTCGCTTGGCGATAAACCATGACCATTCAATGATGGATTATCGCATAAAATTGCCGATTCCAGGCATGAAGTTTGCACTGAATCAAGTGCTAGGCTTGTTTGCAGTGAATTAGAAAGTTCCTGTGTCACTGCATTTGTTTCAGATGACTCTCCTATTGGAAGATCAGATGAATGACACTGAGTTTCTGACTGATGCAATAATAAACGATCCCATAATTGAGGCCAAAGTTGATTGAACATACAAGTGGCTAACGCTGGACGTCTATGTGCCAAGCATAGCATACCTCTTATTCCCGTTTCAACTGTAAGCTACAATTTGAAGAAATTTAGAAAATTTAAACTAAAAGTAAATAACAGAATGGAAGATATAGACGTCAATCAGCACAATTATAGTTATACATACAAAGTAAATGATAATGTAACCTTCAGAAAATACGTACTAGTTTTGAACGTTGAATTCTTTTCGCATGGAAGAAAGTTAAAACAAACAAAAGACAATAAAAAGTGAGAGAGGAACAGAAAGCAGTGCCCTCTAAACGAAAATAAATGACGTCAGCTAGGAATATGAGTCACTTGCAGGATATTAACCAATGCAGTTTTCTGGTTTTAATCATGGTCATCAACATCTGTCGATCAGTCACTAAATAGCATACTATGATACTGGAATTCAGTTTATTCTGTAAATGAGTATTACAGAAAGTCATTTAACAAAAACAGATGTTGCTAATCATCAAGAAGTTAGATGCAACTCTGGTAGTTAAGTGGTTAAGCCTTAAATTATCCATTGAATGAGGTAAGTTAAGGTCACAGAAAGAAGTTGTCATCAGGATATTGGACAGAAAACAAGTAATTCAGTTGAACTACTTACTGTGTGACGACTGTCAATTATGTATTGCAAATATGATTATAAATGAGATATACAAGGAGCAGTAGATGGTTAAATGGAAAACCTTTTGTAATAATTTAAAACCACACATTTCACTGGGGGAAAGCTTAAATCCTCATAAAACACGTTATTCACCCATCCAAATAATATATATATATATATATATATATATATATGTAATTGTTCATTTTGAATTTAATTTTTACTCAATTATCATTATTATCATTATTTTCACTAGGAATCATCTGCACATCAGTGATCATTGTAAATGGACTTGTCATAACTGCGCAATCAAAAGGGGCGGAATACAACACTGACTGCCTGAACTAATTTACGAGATAAACATCACTTTAAGAACAAAATTGTGAACGATTCTAAAAAATAACAGGATATTTCACAACAAGTTAGTTCACAATATACTGTATTTTATTGGGAATATTTATAGATATTAATGTGTACTGTGGAAATTCATTGATAGAGAATTTCTCCTATGACCAGATGACCTCTTTTTCTCAACTTGACAAGTAGTATCAATGAACTCGCACGTCAGCGTATTAATTAAATAATTCACAACTTACTTTATTTAATTCACATAAGACTTCACTTTGCGAATCAAGGAGGGCTTTGAAATCATCCTGTTGGATTGATGCAATAGTGGTTTGATTGTTACTTTGTTTATCCAAATCATCACATGGGGTGTCATTTGTCGATGATAATAGGTCAGTGGAATTTGGGAAATAATCGATGATGTCACGGAAGCATATAGAATTACTCGACAACACAGGTGACATAGATGTATCCAAATCGCATAGTAAAACCTTTGAATAGAAGAAATAATTAATACTCACTAAAGGCCGAATTAACTATAAGGGATTGAGATAAGAAAATAAACATGTTGATTAAGTGTGAATAAAGTGACACAATGACTGCTGAGAAATTTTTTGAAATAAATCTCTATCAGAAGTTAGCATAAAGAAGTGAAACAGCTTTTTCATCACTGCAAAGTGAGGAAGTGTTTGTCTAAAACTGTGTATAGTTGCATCTATACTTGAGAAATCCTACAGTATGAAGCAGAAAGTTGTGAGGTGCGTTAAAATACAACTATGTAAGTCACTATAACCTGTATCCTACATCCTAGAGTGAGTGTTATATTACTGGTCATCTAAAGGAAATATCCTACTTTCACTGAACAACAGCCATTCACCATTTCTCTACCAGACGTTCAATTACGAGGCCTTTTTGCTGGCACACCGATTTTCCAGGCAACATATGCAATTGGACAAGTCAAGAGAGAGGATATTAGTCGGTCGAAATAATACATCATGATATTGTTTCCAGAGAACAAAAAAGGCAAACAATAGATTGGAGTTAGATAGGTTGGTCACATTAACATTATCACAAAAAGTCGGTAAAATTCGTACGTTTTAACAACTTGTATACTATGATGGGAATATACTTGACAATAATTAATATTCCTTAACATAAAAAAATTGTTTCATTATAAATTATTTAAATTAATCCTAGAGTATTATATATGTCCAAACCAAGTTCACTTTTAACGGTTTGAAAAATTTGGGCATTGGGTATATGATATTCCTTACTTCGAGAAAGCTATTAGCATTAAATAGCGAAACGTTAGTAAAAACAATATCGTTTTGTTTTTCATTCATTGGGAAATACAAAAAACCTTTATTATAATTAATCCTAGCGTGTTTAAGAAAAAAAGTAGAACAAGATTTTTCCGAACGTTTCGCTGTATAAGACACAGCTTTTTCAGCAGATTTATTCGAATTTTTATTAATGATCAAAATATATGGTCAAAGAATTTTTACAAAAATAGAATTCGAATAAGGCATTACGAAGACAAATTTCGCGAGATGATGCCATCATTTCGTAGTTTCTTTACAACTGCTTTACAACTAACACGGTTAACAATAATAAAATAAAATGCATGAAAATTACTCAGTTAAATAAAAAAACAAAAGTACATACTAATGACCAATCATATTTAAATAGGTCATGCAGTCCATGGTAGGAGAAGACTGAAGTCTATTGATTTTTGTACACACAGTTTAAGCTGCATGGGATTAATCCAAAGTGCTTCCATCACCTTCAATAACCTGGAATCAGAGTTATGTGAAATAATTGTGAAGGTGCTTCTACTTCACTTCTAGGCGGACGTTTCGTGCATAGTCTATGTTCATTCACTCTGACCTACACCTGTCTACTGCTCTCCCCCATATAGCATGCTTCACATTCCGAACACTTTATCCTATAGACATAATTATTATCCTTGACATTCACCAAAGCTTCCTATAGAGAATTAGGGGGCTTGAAATAAACTTTAATATTATATGAAGCAAATAGTCTTTGAAGTTGTTCAGCTGTGTCCTTTCGATATGGAATGGCTACCGTCGATAGCCAAGATTTTTCAATTTTCTGTTTTCCTTGTGCTCCTTTATATTGATAATATTATCTAGTAGGTATTCTGGATAACCACTTCCAATCAAAGTATGTTTTATAGTGGATATCTCGTTCTCCATATCATCATTATCTGTTATAATGTTTCTAACTCTGTTAACGAGATTTAAAGCTACTGAAACTTTCATTCCTGTTGGATGATCTGATTGGAAATTCAAATACTTGTTGGAATGTGTCGGTTTCTTGTATATTGTAAACTTTCGTTTCTCGTCAGTTCGTCCTTTTACAAGACAATCAAGAAAGTTTAGAGTTTTCTCAGCCGATTCTACTTTATTAGTAAACTCTATATATTCTGAAATTAAGTTAATCTCTGTCAGAAAGTTCTCTTTTTCAGCTTTCTTCATGATAAATGTTTCATCTACATATCTGTACCATATTCTAGGATGACAACTAAAACTTGTCAGTCCTTTTCTTTCTACATCTTTCATGTACAGGTTCGCTACAACTGTTATCGCATCCAATTATTCATATAAGGTAACAACCAAGGATTTATTGTGACTCACTCAGCAAAAGGATAAAAATGATGATGCCATATTACAGGAAAGACATCAAAAGTTAAACGAATAAATAACTTACATCCAAAAATATGGGTAGCCAAAAACCATCACGGAAATGTGCTTCATCCCAAGTGTTTGACACAAGAAGAAATAGGAGACGAACTAAGAGTGAAGCACTTGAATGGTTTGATGAACACGATTGATCCACAGATGCAGGATCTTTATCAGTAGGAATATCAGCAGAGTCACCTGGGGCAATATTTTCATTGTTAAGACTACACACAGAAGTATCTACTCGACGTAGGCTGTTGTTTGCAGGAAAACGAATCTGTGATGCCTCCAAGTACAAAGAAGTAAAGCGTTCTCTGATTTCAGGAAATGGAGCAATAAGACCACAGCAAAATGCTTGTTCTAATTTAACGTAAAGATCATGATTTTTGAAGACAATTCCACTGGCGTAAACCTGAATACAGAAAGTGAATATAAATAAAATATTTTTAAAAATAGGAGTAAACTATGGATAGATACAAAATACTAATAAATTCTTTGGAAATACATAATTTGCTTTCGATAAGTGAGCATACAAATAAATTCGGTCGAATCTTAAAAGTTACGTAATACTTAAGGTGAAGTGGACAGAGATAATCAGATTTCAAATAAATATCATTGTAATCATCGTTATTGACTAAGTTCAAAACTTTTACCACATTATTATTATTTGATCCACAAAAACATTGTCATTGATTAAAAACTTTTATATATAAGTCTATGTAAATTAGAGTAAAGCCTGAAGATCTAATTGAAAACACTACTGTTCGCTTTTATGTCTTGTTCTAATATTAAAAATAGGAATATTTATAGAACATACGAATCTCAAAAGAGAAAACTCCAAAATAGTTTCGCCTTTTGCAATGGAGACTCATCGCTAAACGAATTTTCCAGAGGCTAGGAATCGAACTATGCATATGTTATTATTTTTAACCACAGTTAGTTAGAACTGAATCACTGAAAACAGTTTTTTATGTACCATGCTGTAAACCATACACATACATACACACTGTATAACTGCTGAGACACATTGCCACATAGCTTCGATCAAAGTATATTACTAACGCCATAAAAGAATCCTCGAAATAAGCGTGCTTTAGTTCAGTGATTTCCAACGGTGATTACTGAATTTCATGTTTCTAGAGGATGGTTCTCAGTCAAGCGAGAAAAAAGAGAAAATTTTGATACAAGTTCGAAGTGATAAAGTCACAGGATAAAATTTTATCATGCGTGAACTTATGCGACAGGCTGACAAAACATGAAAGATGATTAGGTGAACTGGTTAATTTTATGACCTGTCGTCTTTTGAACATTTAACAGTCACAAGAAACACGGAGAGAAAAATATGATGACAGAAATTAACTATTATTTGTAAAGCTTTTAATATTTACTGGTAGTCAGGTTGTATAATTTTACCGATAGTTGCTTCTTTACCCATTAGAAAGACATATTTAATGGAAGATCAAGATGGTAATCAGTCCACCCGAAAAAGGAATACACCTGAAAAGATAACTAGGCAGCTGAGATTTCACCGCTAGGCTTATGAAGTACAGCTTTAAGTGAACCATAATAAAAAAGCCAGAGAACTCACATCATAAATACACTCAAGTATTTCTTTAACAACTTCCGGAGAATTATCAATCCAACGAGGATAAGCTTGCCACAGTCTACAGAAAAAGTTTACTTTCTCACGAGCTGTTGGAGCAAAGTGTTCTTCAGACTTAGGAACATTTATCCAATCACGCAGCACTTGTAAAACAGTACAGAATAAACGAGGATCTCGAGCGCGATCCATAATAAGGCATAAATTTGGTCCAAACATAGTTTTACGCATTTCATGACTTACAACATTTAATCGTGACTTGATCATATCAAGGCCCATGATCAATAAATCTGTAAGCTCTGTTGAGAAGAAAAATATGATAAGAGTCAATGTAACATGAAATAAAAAGCTATTTATTTCATTATATTTTACATATACAAATTTGCAATAATTTATCTAGATTATGAGAGACTAGCAGTGGAAACATATAAAGTATCATCCAGTAACGCTTTGCACATTTTTTCTGTAGCAAAATACGAATCACACTGTATTTCTGTTAAAGGAGGGAGTTAGAAATTACATCACCGAAACAAGGCTTATAAAAGAGATCAAAATGAACTAGGGAATCCACAGGATAGAGTATACTCTCAGTTAACGTAAACAACTAAATGTCACATGTGCGTTTAAACCGATGAAAAAGTGAAATTATGATGTACACGGCAGAAACAATAATAGGGAAAGAAATTCTTAGAGCAGACGTATAACATCTTAGTTAACAGTTTTATCAGCTTTGTTACAGATAAGTCACAAAGAAATTTCAGGAGAAAATCGTAGTAGTCAATGATTTAAAGAAGTTTAGTGAATTATCACAATTACGGACTTAACTGTAAGAGAGTTCATATAATGTGATGGTGAAATAAAAGTTATTGACACTATCGTATCATTCAGTTTAGTGATAAGACTGCTCACTCGATTCACTACACACGTATGCAGCACAACGGCATAAGACCCTACTAAGACGTTTAGCCCACAATGGGTGAGGCAACATTTGAATTAGGCATCCATTCAGATTAAATATCCCAGTAGACAAATAAGCAAAACGACTTACGAGCTGATGCTCCAGATTCTTGAGTACTAGAACCATAGTTAGGCGTAACTACATCTTGAATAAGCCGATCAACAAGCTTGACTAATTGTACAATGCAACGATCAACAAATGCATAAGGATTTGATTGAACTTGTGTTGACGTAAACAGAAGAAATGCTGATTGTAATCTGGTTAGCAGAGTTGTTTTTGAAGCGCTGAAAAAAAATGAATTGAATATTGTTGAACAAATGATGAGTACTTGGTGCATCGTTAAGATATATCATTGAATAATGGGCCCAGATGAAGAGGACAGCAGAAAATAGAACAAAGTGGAGATGTGTTGTTGAAGCCCTTGTTCCACTCGGAACCCAATGGAACAATAATAATATAATAATAAATGGCTCATTTCACATATCTGAAGCAAAATATTGTTTATCCTGAGTTCTAGCTGGTTTCACCAGTGTAAGTGCCGTGGTGCAAGCTATAAGAAATTGGCGAATTCTTTCATGATATCTTACCACGTTATAATAATAAGTCCCGGGAAGAATTATTTCTTTTAATTAAACTGTGTACTGAGAAGAATATGACTAAGAGCGTCTCATAAAAGTTGGGGAATTTTTATGATATATGAAATAAATTAAGTAACTTTATAGTGATTCGTAAATAATTACAATAATTATATATATATATATATATATATATATATAATTTATTATTATTGTATCCTTTAATTCCTAGAGGAACATAGGGCTTCAGCTGCGCGTCTCCATTGCCTTCTGTTTTCTGCCAACTTTTTCACTCTGCTCCAAGTCTGCCCACATGCTTTCATCTTCTCCTCACATGACCTCCTCCAAGTCACCTTTGGACGACCAACTCGCCGCCCGCTTCCCTTTCGAGTTCCACTCGAGGGCTTGTCTAGTGATGTCGCTTGATGGTTTCCTCAGAGTATGGCCAGCCAATCCATCTCCATTTCTTTCTGCCTATTTGTTTCTCAATCAGTACCTGGTTGGTTCGCTCCCAAAGATCCCTGTTGCTGATCTTTTCTGGTCGGCCATCTGATCTTGAGTATTAAGCGAAGACAACTGTTAATGAAGGTCTGAAGTTTTTTTGACATGCTCTTTATGACGCGCTGGCCAAGTCTCTGATCCGTAAAGTAGCACTGACTTCACATTGGAGTTGAAAATCTGGATCTTATTTTTGATGCTGAGTGATGTTGACATCCACACAACCTGTCTTGCTTTTCCGATTCTGGCTTTGATATCCTCGTCAGCTCCGTGTGCCTGTAGTTGAAACGATACTTCCCAGGTAGGTGAAGGAGGTTGTTTCTTTCAGGTTCCTCCCATTTATGCTGACTGTCGTCTGTTGTTGCTGTTGGTGTTGGCCAAGAATCTTCATCACCTCTGTTTTATCTATGTTCACTTGAAGTCCTATCTTTGATGTTTCTTCTACCAGCTTCTTGCTTTTCACTTGGATATCTTCCAGTTTATATATATATATATATATATATAAAGACGTCGACTGATGACACTGGGTGATGACTGCACTATATTGCAAAATGGAAAAAGGTTGGAAAGCCATGAATAACGAACTCCAACATTATGGCCCGACAGTAACGTAGTCAATAACACAAGACCTCATGGTTGAGTTTTCCAGGATGAAACAATCAATCAATACTGATGTATCTCGTATCGTTACCTAAACAATTCCCATGGGTACTGAAAAGTCATGGAGAGATTTTCATGTAAATACAAATCAGTCAATTAAAATAGACACTATATATAAGGAAATTAAACATAACGAAATGCATAAAAGTATATATATTTACTTATCACTGAACATTGTGAATGAATCTTGTATTGTTTTTAATGCTGCTGAATAGATATCAAATAATTCAGGATAAGCAGTAATCTTTTGCCGATGAGATGCTTCAGCAGGATAACGTTCAAGCATAGCACGTAACAGACCAGCGCATGATCGCATTAGACGTACATTTGTTAACTGCTTTGTCAATACATTACACAATCCAGCACTGAAATGTTTTACATTGAGCAATAAGGTTGGACTATCCTAAAAGTATAAGGGAGGCATTTAATTAGTGTACAGAAAGAGAGAGAGAGAGAGATGCGTTTAATGAACAAAGACGAAAAATACTTAGATACACTTCATAAATTATTGCTATTAACACCATAAATAAGTGGGTAGTTACAAACAGAAGCACCAATCTGAATGTTATAATAAAAAACAAATAAAAAAACAATTACGTCATGCATATTTATGAACATACTATATGGTGAAATTTTTTTGGTGTTATCACCGAAATTGGATCAACTTTCACTACTTCACTTGAAAACCACGTTGTGTACATTGACAAACTAAATGTGTCTATTTACTAATTAAATGCCCAGACATCGTCGAAGCATCTGCACAAGAAGCCAACATGTCAAACTGAGACCGAGCACTTCGGTCCAATCAATCGACGGGAAAATCAAAAATTAAATTATTATGACCGGTTGCACAAGAGGTGGTTCTCGTGGCCCAAGTGGTCTAGTGGATAACGCTTTGGAGTTTGAAACTATGGGCACTGGGTTCGAGCCTCGGTGGGAGCATTATCACTCACTGAGAAATGCAGGTACATTCAGTGATGAGTTCCAAATAGGACGAAATTCGCATCCTGGATTCCACTGCTAGTCACCATCCACCAATTAAATACTAAGTATGTCTATTTCTGTTTGAGTTTGTATTCGTTCACTAGATATGATACTAACTGTCACTAATGCATTGTAAATAAATTAATATAGATCCTTGAAATGAATGTAAGAAGAAAGGTCTTCTTTAAAGCATAAACGAGTGAAACCAATGTACAGTTGAACTGAAAATGAACACATGATAAAATGCCGTAGAACAGTAAAACCAAACATATAGTAACAAGAGAAATAACAGTATGATAACAACAGGCCCATAATGTAAGCTACCGGTTTTTGATCTAAATTTATGTAGTTTTATTTTTTTTTATTTATTTTTGATTACAGCTTGATTCCACACTGTATTTTTGGTACAAGTATGGAATTTTCAGCGTGGATATCGGTAGCCCAAATTTTGCAGGCCGACCATAGATATCAGGTGTGCGTCGGCGAGGGCTCGAACCCTGGACCATGTGCATGGTCGGCGAGAATCCTAACCACTGTTACTAAAAGACCAGTGCAACAGATTTGTGACAGGTTTTGTATCATAAAGACTGTAAATCAGGGATATCCACGCTAAATGATATAGACAGAAAGAAATAGGCCAATGTATCTAATGATGAATGTCAGTTATTCTAATATTCACAAAATGCACAAAAAGCTGTAGATTTTATCTCTTAAAATGAAACAATATAAGCATTGAAGAAAAGCCATACAATCAAGGAAGAAATCATGAAACACACCAGTGTGGTAAATAAAACGCGAAGAACTTCCATAGTCATCAATAAAACAGTCGCCTGTCCTGCATTAGTGGATGAATTTGCATGAGAACCAGTTGGAGTAGATGTTGGGGTAGAGTTAGACGACCCACTACCGTGAATTGGATTTGAATTAAGACTAGAGTTTGAGACTGTACCAGACGTTGCACTAGAGGCTGAGTGTGAAGATGATGACTCATCAGGAGCGAAATAACGATCTAGAAAACCGAGACGAACTTCACAGGTTTCACCTCCCCATACATCCGAGCGAAGAGCAAATTCTAATTGACCTAAAGTACGAGATATTGATTGTTCAGGTAAATTTCCACTTTGAATTCCTTCGATTGCCTATGTGGTTATAAAGAATTGATATATAAACATTTATTGTACGTAAGAAAGCGCCAAAGATTTACACAAATAGCAATTTTAAAAATGAAGCGTTAAAATAAAATGCATCTGAGCCACAAAAAGGCGATAGTATAAGATGAACTTGAGAGAAACACCTACTAGGAAATCTGTTCGTTTCAAACCACTTGTCAGAGGCCCTGATGTACTAATGTTGTATATGAATTTCAATGGGAAAACTGCTGACTTTATAAACTTAGCTAGTAAATGACAATAGATTAGAGCAAACTACAGTTATTACGACCAAATAATTTGTTCCATTATATCAATGATACAAATAATTTGTCACAGGCAAGATGATGATATTGCAAAGAAATCGACTAATTAAAATCTGTAGTCTTCCTATATACATTACATTTTACGGCTATATTAGAGCAAAATGCATTGACTAGATGATCTGCACATAAAACATTTGATAATTTCATAAAACTCTGGCTGCTGTTCGGCGTTCTGAGATCTTTGACGCTTGACTGTCAAAGTTATATCACCGAATTAGAGTAACTTCACGAGCGTTTACTCCATAAAGAAGAAAATGTTGTTGCAAAGCAATATTAGAAATCACTGAATACCAACCAGCTTACTTGACAGGCAAACCGAATCATCAAGTTGACAAGTTGGTCACGCTGAGGTTTATCTATAAGTGAGTCATTTGACTCCGTCTGTAAAGAATATTCAAAACAAAGACAATTAAACATTGAATAAAATGGAACAGGAGTGAATATTTTCTTAAAATCCCCAGTCGTATCATATACAATTTCTAAAAGTAGTACAGAGTAAATAAAGAGGTAAATAAAGATGCATACCTTAGTGCTAAATGCCTATTTGATAAGTATGGAAATGGACTGAACTTCATTCCTCAGAAGAATGAGTAAACAAATAAGGACACAGAAGGATAATGAAAAAAAAGAATACAGCAACTTACTTAACCCTCGAACACAATTTATTGCTCATAATCGTATCAAGGTACCTTGATAGGATTATGAGCAATAAATTGTGCTCGAAACGTCATCAGCAAATATTACCGTATAATACTGTGTGACTTTATGAGAATAAATTTTACCTACAAAGGAATTGTACTCCACCACAGGGTACAAATTTTGTACTTATATCAAAAAACCTACTTATATTTCAGAATTTCATCATGAGCTGACATTGGTCAGAGGACCACTGGAAAAGCTGGGAGTAGTGGACAGCTGTTTCATACTAGTTTGAGACTTGGTCCCGAATCAATGATCCAAGAATTCCAACTTCTGCCAACAGAGACCATTAGGCGACGTCACCTGCTGTCGAGTATTCGTCTTCACACAAGACCTGCTGTACCGCACTGGTCATTTATGGTTACAGACTGAAGGTTTTTAGTACTCTTGACATTTATTATAGGTCAAGCACCAAATAACCATCTTTACCTTATAATAAAGAAGCTTCAGATCCTTTACTCAAAAATCTAGTACTTGTAGATGAAAAATCACCGAAAATACCCATTGAGTCATGAAGAATTGACTTGTAGATTACATGGTGAAGAAGATGAATCTTTATTTAGCCAATTATCATAACTTAAACTAATTGGCTAGCCAGTCAGAAAGTCGCTTATTTCTTTTTACGGAAAACATTCCAGTATCATTGAAGAATTAAGACTGAAGATTTTCAAAAACCAATTTTCAAGTATACACGAGAGGATTGTCAAAAAATACATATTTTCTATAATTAGTACGAAAAATTATATTGACTTACTGTAGAAGACTGTTCAGTTGTAACGTTACAGTCCGGTATATTTTTATCCCCAGGCTCACTTATTGCATTGGTTTGCTTTTTCGACTGATTTTCAGTTATCTCACGACGACAACGAGCATCCCAATGAGCGGTAGTATATAGCATATCTAGTGCTAATCGACGCTGTTCAATGGGTAACTGTAAAAAAATATATATTCAGAATACGAATCAAGTGGGTAAGAGTAAGAAATATGTATGACATGTAATAGTATGTGATAAACTGAATACTACAGACATTTATGTATCAGCTCTTGACAGTGAAGTTTATAATGACCCACCGACTGACCGACCAACCAGTGCATAATTAATAAAATTTTAATCACTCAATCCAGAGGATCAAAGATTTTCATTAAGTATGCGAAGAGAGAGATAGGTAGGTTGTACTCACCTGTTGAACCGATAAACGCGAGACAATAGTAATTATATGTGGCAATAAGTGATGTCGTATAGGATAATACACATCCGCATGACGAACAATCATACCCCTAAAAAACACAAGTAAAATACATAAAATTCAATAGAATATACCGTATTAGCATAATCAGCATATTCCTATTCAATGAACACTAAGTTACAATAAAATCTCCTGATAGGAACAACAGTGATCCCTTCACTAAGGTAATTATTTGTTTCAATTAATATACTTCAGATGGATTGTTGTGAAGTTGACATTATTACTGAGTTTTAACAAACAACAGTGAAACAGTTCAAGTTGCCACATTCCATGTAGTACACAAAGTTAGACAACAGAAAAAAAAACAGAAAGATATTCAAAGCAACTAGAATGAACAGATATGCCAAGTAGGAAGAACGGAACGATCTAGTAGAAATCGGAGATCACAAACAGTCAATACATATACACCATGGAGGCAGGTTTTCAGGGATATTACCAACAGTCTCAAAACACTGCTTCTTAGCAGGCTAACGATCACAAACAGCGAGACAGACAGTCTACACCTATCTCTACATGGCTCAAACAAACTCTCAAAGACTTCATGGATTGGTGGTGACAGGTCAAAATTTCACCAGTCTTAACTCTTTCCCAACCCAATCCTTTGCCAGCTTACATTGCCCGACGAGGAATATGATACCTCCTCAGTATGACCAATACGTGTCTTAGCTATCTCAACTCGTGTAACTTCACAACCTCATCAGTCAACTTTCGTTCCTCACCTAGCTAACACTCTACGTCCCAATATTGCTCATCATATAACACCATTTGTTGAAATCATAAGTATCAACACTTCATGAGATATAAAAGAATACATGGTTTACAAAAAACAAATACTATGTCCTAGTTCCTAAAAGTGAACTGGACATACCAGTGACAAACACGAACACCTGTTCAGGTACAAATTCAATTGTAAAGAAACCAAGACATACCTCATTTGTGTATGTATAACACCATTCAAAGTGACCACAGTGGTTTTTTATCAAGGATAAGATAGTAGTAGTTTTCCTGATATATCAGATGTGTAAGAATCTCCTAATAATGAATTCAGATGATGTCCGTATCTCAAATGGTGGTTCGTCGTTCTGACTTAAAGATGACATCAAAACGTCTCTCCAACTATTGACTTCGAGGTGTTATGAAGTATCAGTACGTAGGTGACTTTTGTTGAACCACCTCAGAATCCTTCACAAGATGCAGTACAAAATATATTTTTGTGTATTCGTCATGATGACTCTGAACACCACGAATTTTCAATCAGTTGCTTTCTTTTCCTTCACTATATCTCTCTATTTCTGTTGCCTTATTTCTCGTAATGATTAGAAATGTGTCGACTAGAGCTAATGCACTTTTCTGCACTGGTGTTAAACTAACTACATCTGTGTCTTGATAAAAAAAACCAACCTCAGTGAGTATTCATGTTTCTGCGAAAGTTGCACACAAACTGGGATACATGGAAAACTTCCTTTGTTATCAGTTGTAAAACACCTATAGTTTTAGCTGATTTTTCCATTAGTAAACCAAAGAAATAGAAGATAGTTAACAAGCATTGACTGTATAATAAGAACTCACAGAATGTGTACACACGACTGAATACCCTGATCCTCAAGCATAATTTTTTTTGTCACTTGTGCAAGTGTCATCTAGGAAGTTAAAAATAAGGAGAAAAGAATAACAGCAGTGCAAAAAAAGGAAAGGTAACTTGGCTTTCAAAAGATTAAAGCAAACAAGGTCAAAGTGTTAGTTATTTTTACTGCAGCGCTAAGTGGTTAAACAATTATTAAGTAATTTGAATGACTCAGATATGAGATACACTTAGGGATGTTAGGAATAGATAACGATGAACGTTTGGACAGTAATAGTGTTTGCTATTAGAAACCTAAACTGTAAGAATCTATAACATCAACAAAGACCAGAATATGCGTAAGTCAGTATGTACAGAATGTGTTTGTCATGTTCAAAATTCTTACAAAAATAACTGCTGTTGAAGTGACGACAATAATAACAGAATTGATTACATCACTGATTGCCGTCACAATTTGAGAGAGAAATTAGAATCCAAGCACAATGGAAAACTAATTTATTTTAATTTGGAATTCTCAGGGAGCGTATACCCATGATCGCACCACATTTTCGTGCTAATAAGTTACCCTTCAACCACTAGGTTGAAGTTCAATAATCTATCCCGATTTGTGATATACCGTGATAACCTTCCAATGTCATTTCTGAGTTAATAATTATCCTTATATCTGACAGAATATACTTTGAAATCAATCAAAACTCTACAAATCTACCAAAAGTTGAATAAGAATAATAGTTAACATGGTTGTATACACGAAAATTCCATATTTTGGTTAAATGAAGTTAAAGAATAGTAATTACCTGATTCTCAGGTCCTTTTATCCAAGCTGGAATAAAAGTATCTAAAGCAGGATTAACAATCTTCTTCGTTTCAGTATGTGCGCCTTTCGCTAAACATTGAAATACTTGTATAGTAGCTGTTTGAAGTACATTGAATTTTGCAATTAGGTGTGAAAGTAATTGAAGACCAGTGTATTTATCTTGTAAGTCAACAGAGCTTAAACTGCTCGTTAGACAAGGTTCAGCAAAACTAATGAACTTTTGAAGCCGATATCCTTGTTGACTAAAAAAAAGTGAAGAAAAACAAATAGGTACACTGTAATAAAACTGATTAACACTGGAAAGCGAAATCAATAGAACTTGGAAGGCATTTGATGAGATTAGAGACTCGCCCAATAACATATGCATATAATAAAGTAATGATGTAATAAAGGAAAATATGAGTTTTAATTGGTTCACAGGAAACTGAATGTCATCATGATTTTGAGACAATTCTACAAGAGGCTTTCAACATAGGATGTAACTAGTGGCTAACAAAGGTTTCTCTTCAGATACAACAAAGATCACGTCTTAGCTTCCAAATTATGATGTCTTCTGAAAGTGAAGTAGATTGGAATAATTCATTGTTTTGAATAAAACTTTGGTTTTTTTTTGCCCACGTAACACAGAACAGGTCTATTTTCCACCTTTTATTAACTAAATGATCAAATATGTTATCACATTCTGCTTCTCATAAGCATACCGTTAATATGAAACGACACGTTTCCGGTGAATAACAGTGTTGAAAGTAATTGACAATTTTCCAGATATAAAATATTGTAATAGTGAATAATGAAGAAATATGCGCAGAAACCATCAGTTCATTAGGCGCAGCAAACAATGATATAGTACACATCACTGATTCCTTATATGATATTTTAATCAATACACGTAATGTCAGATGAGCCACTCTAGTAAGAAATCACATTCAATGAAAGTGTTGAAGTTCTAATGATAGCATTATTGAATTCCTCCAGAGTGATATACATGTACACATCCTCTACGTTTAATTTTTTTTACTTAAACATCCATCTACTGATTATGTACATCGAAGTGAGATAATCGAAAACTTGAATTCATCATCACAATTAGAGACATAAATTACTAGACACTGATGACGTTTCGAGAACAAACTATTGCTCGAAGCGTTATGTGTTAATATTACTGTAAAACACTGTGTATTATTATTATTATTGTATCCTTTAGTTCCTAGAGGAACATAGGGCTTCAGCTGCGCACCTCCATTGCCTTCGGTTTTCTGACAACTTTTTCACCCTGCTCCAGGTCTGTCCACATGCTTTCATCTCCTCCTCGCATGACCTCCTCCAAGTCACCTTTGGACGACCAACTCGCCGCCCGCTTCCCTTTCGAGTTCCACTCGAGGGCTTGTCTAGTGATGTCGCTTGATGGTTTCCTCAGCGTATGGCCAATCCATCTCCATTTCTTTCTGCCTATTTGTTTCACAATCGGTTCCTGATTGGTTCGCTCCCAAAGATCCCTGTTGCTAAAATCTTTTCTGGTCGGCCATCTGATCTTGAGTATTGAGCGAAGACAGCTGTTAATGAAGGTCTGAAGTTTGTTTGAGATGCTCTTTATGACTCGCCAAGTCTCTGATCCGTATAGTAGCACTGACTTCACATTGGAGTTGAAAATCCGGATCCTATTTTTGATGCTGAGTGCTGTTGACCTCCACACAGATTTGAGAGTAATGAAAGCTTGTCTTGCTTTTCCGATTCTGGCTTTGATATCCCCGTCAGCTCCGTGTGCCTGTAGTTGAGACGATACTTCCCAGGTAGGTGAAGGAGGTTGTTTCTTTCAGGTTCTTCCCACTTATGCTGATTGTTGTCTGTTGTTGTTGTTGCTGTTGATGTTGGCTAGAAATCTTCATCACCTCTGTTTTATCTATGTTCACTTGAAGTCCTATCTTTGATGCTTCTTCTGCCAACTTGTTACTTTTCACTTGCATATCTTCCAGTTTATGGGAAATCAGACATATATCATCGGCGAAATCCAGATCCTCCAAGTTTTTTATGTCAGTCCATTTTATGCCTGTTCCCTGGTTGGTTGCCGTTGTCTGTCGCATTATCCAATCAATTGCAATCAGGAAGATCATTGGTGATAGTAGACAGCCTTGCCTCACTCCCGTCCTCACTTCGAAGGCTTCCGTAAGTTTCCCGTTGTGGATTACTTGGCATGCAGCATTGTCGCATAACTGTTGGATGAGATGTATAATTGTCGATGGGACCCCGTAGTAGCGAAGTAGTTTCCAAATGACCTCTCGATCGACGCTGTCGAAGGCCTTTTCAAAGTCGATGAAGTTGAGATAGAGAGATGACTGCCATTCCAAGCTTTGTTCAATGATGATCTGTAGAGTGGCGATTTGATCAATACATGATTTGTTTCTCCTGAATCCGGCCTGTTCCGGACGAAGTTTTTCATCTAGGGCTTGTTTGATTCTCTCCAGGATGATGCGACTTAGTATCTTGCTTGGAATGGACAGAAGCATAATTCCACGCCAGTTTTTACATTGACTTAAGTCTCCTTCCTTTGGTAGTTTGAATAAGTATCCGTTCTTCCAATCCTCGGGTACTTTGCCCTCTTTCCACACCTTCTCCAGCACTGTGTGGTTTATCAAAATAAAATCTTATCTATAATCGAGTTATACTCCACCACAGTGCCAAGGTTTTATACTTGTTTAAATAACTGGACAGGCTAAAACCCAATACAGAATCAAACCTAAAGATGACATAAGTAGAATAATTAAGTTTTCTTATTATTAATTAAATTTTATTTTCACTATTTTATTCTTTTGAGTTACCAGTGGAATATAGAGCTTCAAGTTAGAGCTTTTGAAGTTTTAGTAGCAGTGGTGTTTCTCTTTTACAGAATGGTGTTGCTGGCCTTATGTTCAATCTTCCCACCTCACACAACATTATTATTTATTGTTATTGTTCCCTTGGGTTCCTAATGGAACATAGGACTTCAACTGCACCTCACCACTTGCTTCTGTCTTCTCCTGTACTTTTAACCTGCATCCATGTTAGTCCATACTGTTTCAACTTCTCTTCACACGATCTCCTCCATGTCACCCTCACACCGACGTCCCACTCGCCGTTTCCCTTTCGGGTTCCACTCGAGGGCCTGACGCGCGCGCGATGTCACCAACCAGCCTCCTCAGCGAGTCTCCCATCCATCTCCACTTTCTCCTGCATATTTGTTGGGCGATTGGTTCTTGCATTGTTTGTGCCCATATTTTCTTGTTGGTGATTCTTTCCGGCCCGGCCATCTGATCTTCAGTATAGAGCCAGCGAAGACAGTTGTTGATAAAGGTCTGGTCTGCAACAGGCTGTTGGAAATATTCTTTGTGACTCACCCGCCAAGTTTCTGACCCGTATAGAAGAACTGAGTGACTTGACGTTTGTATTGAAAATCCGACTGAATTTTGTTGTTGATGCTGAGTGACGAAGATTTCCAGATTTGTTTCAGGTTGATGAATGTATTTCTCGCCTTCCCGATTCTCGCTCGATTTGACATCCACGTCCGTTCCGACTTCCTGTAGTTGAGACAATGCTCCCTCGCTAGATAAGTGAATGAAGTAACCTCTTTCAAATCCCTCCCGTTGATGGTAATTGGCGCTGGATGTTGCTGCTGCTGTTGTTGTTGGCTGGTTATTTTCATCACCTCCGTCTTGTCTATGTTCACGTGGAGTCCTGTCTTCGCCGGCTGCTTCTTCGACCAGTTTGTCGGTTTTCGCCTGTAATTCTTCGATTTTGTGTGACATCAAACATAAATCATCCACGCGCGAAATCCAGGTCTTCTAGGTTCTTCACGTCGGTCCAGGATATCCCTGTCTGCTCGTTTCCCACTGTCTGACGCATAATCCAGTCAGTCCACCACAATTATGAATATCATTGGTGATAATAAGCACCCTTGTCTGACTCCTGTGTTCACTCCAAATGTGTCGCTGAATTTACCGTTGTGGATCACTTGTTATGCACCGTTGTAGTACAGCTGTTGAATAAGGTTGATGAATATTTGCGGTACGCCGTAGTACTCGAGTAGTTTCCAAATTACTTCGCGGTCAACGCTGTCAAATGCTTTCTCAGAGTCTATAAAGTGCTACAGAAACTTCCACCTCGCACAACAATCTACCGGCTGAGCGAGGTAAGGGAGTGCATCGGCCGGGGATCGAACCACAGACCACTTAACGCGGTTGGCCAGTGTTCTAACCCTGATCCACTGACGAACAATTGTTTTCAATAATCACTGAGCACCGTTACATTTCTGAGCTATAAAAAAAGTACCAAAACTCATTATTCGCAGTCAGAAGATACACACATAATCATCATACCAGGGTACGATGTTGCCGATGATCATTTCTACATGATGTAAGAAACTACGTGAATGAAAGTACTCATTATGCGTGCAACACATAGGATGACTCCTTACAGAATATACTGTTCTATGATATATTGAGGGCAGTAGACGGGAGATAAATAACAGTGCTTACCTTGTGTCTCCAATGTGCACATAATCTGGTGCATAAAAAACAAATAAACTAGCTATCTGATAGTACATAACACGGAGTTCAGTACATGTTTGAACTGCAGGATCTTCCAGTAGAACTGAGACAAACAAGTGTACTAAGTCGGAATCTATAATAAAAAAGAAACAGTGAGATTTTTACAGCAAGTAAACGCTAGTGAGACACGTAAATGAGGAAGTCACTTCTTTGTTTAATCAACGTTAACCAAGGTGAGACGTGCTGAAAAACGAATGAGATTGCAACGAAACCCTTCTGATTTATTCAAGTCCTAATGGAGTCAGTAATATTTAAAAATCCTGCTATACTATTAAACCCAAAAAACATGCTAATAAATTTATGTACACGATACAAAGACTGACTATAAGACAAAAAATGCGAGACAAGTAGTAGTAATTTACACTGGCAACTCCAAGACAACCTACCATTTCTTTCAAAAGGATTGGCTGGTTCACCGAGAAATATTGCATTCTGCTTTTTCCCCAGAGCATGCGATAAACATGGCAGTACCAGATGACATAACAACTTGTATATTTCTTTTGTTGATGAAATTTTGTTCACTCCGAATGATGATGGACTACTATCAGGCCACAGGTTATTACCATGAAGAGGATTGAGTCGATTTTTAACAATTGATACAAAATGTAAAAATAACTGACGATGCCAGGTCACGTCAGATTTCGAGATTATTTCAACCAAGAAAGAATGTAAGGGATGAAAGTCTGCAACATAGCGTAATCGTGTTACACCAATTATAATCATGAACAGTAAGTCAAAATGATTTGGATTTGACCTTTTGTGTAGAAAGGCAGAAACCATGACAAATTAAGAAGTTTTAAAATCAATAAAAAAATACAAAGATAAAGAGTCACACATTTTACAATAAGAAAAATTCACTCTTCAAATAAAGTTGTTCATGCAAACACCAGCAGATGGGCGAACCCTAAAAGTAAATAAACATGCTATACATTGGAAATGGGAGAGATTTAACAGAGGTTAATTCCTTCAATCATCCGGCTAGGAAGCATCGTTTTAACTACAGGCGGAACTTACCTACTTTACTTCGGCTATCTCCTACGGGAGGATGAGCCGGCTTCACGAACATCTCGAATCATTGCTGCCCAGGCACGGTGATCTGATGCAAGGTTTTGCGACAGGGTTATCCAATTCTTGTTCCACAGACGGAGTCCGTAGACGGTTTGTAGCCCCAGGCACTCCATATCAGCCTTGACTGTACCAAGCCATGTTTTCAGCTGTCCACCCCTGCGACATCGCCAAGATGGAAATGGCGAGGGATTTAGAACTGATTTGACCAGATCGTCATCTGGTCGGCGCAGAACATGACCAAACCATCGAAGGCGACGTTGTTGGACCAGTACTGGAATTTCGTTGATGTTGTAGAGAGTTCATGAAGTTTCATAAGAATTAGATACGAGTGATGTCCCCAGCATTGCTCGGCCTTTTGTTTGAGAGTGCAGCTCTAGCCTTTACACAACCAAGTGTGACCTACAAGGCAGAAGGAGTGGAGTAGGGAGTCCACTATCCATTGGCAGCCGGTGACCGGAGTCCGGTTCATACGCCTTTTTGAATGGGGCTAGACATCCAGTAAGCCCTTTGTCCATACGTCTGCCGGTGAGCCTCATACGCCAGTCGTTGGAGGTTTGGAATCAGGGTTTAGCCATCTCCCCTAGACTGTCATCCAATGGACAGTCAACCCGGTGGAGAGCGCCGGGTATCCGCTTTTGCCCTCTCACTTCGGTGAAAAACACCTCCGCCACGTGAAGGCAGTGAGTAGGACTTCCTCAGGAGAGGCTATGTAAGACACACGGTCATATAGGAGCATTTCATGAGGTGTACAAAGGGGTGGCCAACCCGTAGCGCAAGGCACCCACCCCGACCATCCTGAGGCTTTAGAAGCGGAGCGGATGAAGTCAAAGTCAACCAAAAGATACCCCCATCATCAACCTGAAACAAGTTTCCAAATCTTCTGGACTCCATGCCTCAGCATAAACAACAACATTCACATCTTCAACACCAATGTCAAGTCGGTGTCGGTCAGTGCTTCTATACGGGTGGTCAGAAACTTTCACCTCGTGTCACGAAAACGATTTCCGACAAGTTACACACTTTTATCAACAACTGTCTTTCCTGGCTGGCTAGCTCTGTACTGAAGATCAAATGGCCGGCTGTCCAGAAACAATTAGTAAAAAGAAACTCTGCTTGAGAACAAACCAAAGAAGAGCCGATCGCTCAACAAATACGAAGGAGAAAATGGAGATGAATCATGCATACACCGAGGAAACCATTGAATGACATCACGCACCAGGCCATCTCTCGAACGGAATCCCAATGGGAAGCGACAAGTGGGTAGATGGTGACATGGAGGAACTCGTGTGAGATGAGAGATTATGGGCAATCGTGGACCCAGCTAAAGGGGATGGCAGAAAAGCGGAACTGAAGGTAACAATAATAATACATCGGAATTAAGTCTAAAGAATATTCGAGATGGAAAAAGCAGTCCTGTTGAAATGCAAGACAACGGATATTGTCAAAATGGATAAGATGAACTGATTATAGATTCAGTCAAGAAATAAAATTGATAGCTTAATTTTAAATGGAACAGTTTAATCAAAAGTATCCTGCATGTGATGTAACACAAATGTCAGCGGCAAAGAATGTATAGCAAAACAAAGGAATAAAACTTACTTGTAACAATCTAACAAACAGTCTAATATAAGTCTCGGTTCATCCCAGTGTGTATGATCTGTGGTCCCTGAGTAAAGTGAGCAACCACTTAATGAAATAGGATCACCCGGTGAAGTGTCCGTATCCATTGGCAGACATACGGTACCATCAGGTGGAATCGATGGGATAAATGCACTTGACTCCAGCAAATCTTTAACACACTCATCCAATACTGGATCTGTGTCAGAATCCTTAGGTAATTTAACCATTGTTAGATTCGATTGTCGTCTAATGAATAAATCTGATTGCCAGTAGGCTAGTAAAGATGTAACTAATGGATGAAGTCCAGTTTCAGAAAGATTTAACTGATTCGACTTGTACTTTGTGCTGATTCTATGTGTATCTTTTTCTGAGACTTTACTCGTTGTCAACCAGTTTGGTGATAACTGATGTATTGTATGAACTACACGAATAGCTAAATGTCTAGGACAAGCAGGAGTTAGATGAAATCCACCTTTCGGTAAACATAGGGGTTCACTCTGTTCGCTTGTACCTGAAATTGAAAATTGTGAGAATATTTAACACACAACGTACATATGTATGTTAAGAATTAATTGTCAAAAGCTTAGAAGAGAGCAGTGCTCACACAAATATAAATTATTAATAATCTGGTGTGAAGACATTTTACAACAATTGAATATACTGTATTTATGAAGGTTCTTAACACTGTGGAGCTACAATAATGTAACCCGGTTGGTTGATAGAAACCGAATTTTTTAAATTTCACATCACATCCATTTTAAATACATATTAGAAAACTCCAAACAATGCATTGTAAGTAATACATTCAAGTGAGTACAATTCATTGGTCTGTTTAACATTGAATAGTTTTAGTTGCTTTTTTCCACATTGCTTGCCTCCGAAAGCAGATAGCCACATAAGTGAAGAAACAAGACTCATCCAACATCAGCATCCATTAATTGTAAGGAAAACCTACAGATTTAAATCAGAGACTACTACAACCGCAACTTGGTACCTTAATGAGCCTTAATAGCGAAGATTTCTGGGAGAATATAGGATAAAGTGTAATACTTCCTCAACTTTCAAATCAAAATATAAACATTATACACGTAGAGATATAAGTTTAGGCATCAAAGAGTAAGTTTAAGTATTAGTATAGTGTGGAATTCAAATAGCATTTAAAGGGTTAACAACTTCCCTCAATCTTTTTGATGTATGTACCCTGAATAGTCGGGATGGTTTGTAAGCCACCACCCACAGGCGATTATGAAGTATTACTGTAACAACGTAAGGTGAGACACGGAAGCCAAGATATATTTTCATTGATCAAACTGCTATTTATATCTATAAAGTTTCTATTCGTCAACCAAATCACTAAGCTTGTGAATTCAGTTTACATCAAAAGGTATGAAAGAGAATGGTCAAATATACACAGTATTCTGTTGCTAATGCAGTATTGAACAGTACGGATACACGAGAATAATATTCCGTTGACGTACATTGTCTGTATCACACCACCATAATTTGAACTAACCAAAAAGCAGTCGGAAATAGTGTTCATTTATAACAGTTTACAGTTCAATTCAGCATTAGCAACAGAATACGATGTACCTATTCGAAAACATTCTATTTGAGCAGAATGCTTTCTCACATTTCAATACTGCAATGGAAACAGAATAATATATATGCATTTGAACATTCTATTTCATGTCGTTGGGTGTAAACCGAAATCACACGCTCAGTGATTGGTTGACGAATATTAACTGCAGTTTGAACAATGAAAACATATCTTGGCTTCCGTGTCTTGCCTTATGTTGTGTTGCAAAATTAACTGTTAGGTAATAATAATAATTCGCTTTATTCCAAAAACAGTACTCATGATACAGCAAGGAATTTTCAGCATTCAGTACAATATTGCATCTAATTTACTCAAAAACGACAAAAAAAAATTAAAAATACACAATACATAATAGTAATAAAACGATTGTTATAGCAGCTACGTAGCAAAATACTGTGTGTCATGCGGAGAAAAATATGTATAAAGTACAAGATTGTAGTAATAATAGTAATACCAACTAAAATAAAATAGCAGAGTAACGATTTAAACGATAGAAAGTGTGACACCATAAAATACAGAAAGATGAACGATAAAAGGGTCGATTCACTGTGCTAATTACATAGTAGCATGTTAATAAGTCATTTTTAGTAGGCAACTAAATCACACAGGTAAATAAAATAATAATGTGATCTGAATAATTGTTCCCTTCTGAAATTGCACTAAGAACAAGAGTTTGAAGTCATCATTCACTACAGCCCTACGGTTAAGTTTAGCTGAATATCAAAATATTGGATAGTGTGACTATTAAGAATGATGACAGTGCTCACTGATTAGTACGATTTAAGTAGGTCAATAACCTTAGTAGATAAAGTTACTCAGTAGAAAAACCATATGGAAAGATGAAGAAAACAAACTTAAACTTGCCTTTATTATCCTCAATCTCATTTGGTTGAATAAGATCAACAAGTATGTGGTAATTTACTTTTAAATAATCAACTATCGGTTGGCCTTGAGGGCAACTAATCGCGAACTACATAAACAAAGGGATAACAAACGTCAATAAAGCAAATGTTAGAAGACAAATTAGATAATCAAATGGAAACTACTTAGCAAAATAATAGTTTGCTTTTAATCTATGAAGTAGATGTCCCGATTCAAGTGCTCAATAAGCTGGAATTTATGATTCAAAAACATTTCAATGTAATGGTAGAAGTTGTAATTACGATATCACTGATACATAAAGACTTCCAAGTAACAAAATTGGAATGTTTTAACTATTGGGATACGTAGAGAAACGGATGAACCTTATATTGACTGCTACCAACACCGCGTCCATCGCGTCCAATGGACAAGGGAAGCTTTTTAACCCTTGCAACAAGAACAACTGTTACATGACTCAACAAAATTAGAAGTAAAGGGAGAGTAGAGGATATTAATTCAACAGACGGAGAGATGTAGTTTTTGAAAAAGCATGACTTTGGATGAGACTGATAGATCGATGAGCTGATAGGTGCCCCAGAAATAGGTTATGAACATCGTGATTACGACAGCTTGTGAGCTAGTAGAGGGATATAGGAAAAATCTTAAATTGGCTTTGGCGTCTAGTCAGCTGTAAACTCCTTAGTGCAGATAGTTAGGGCTAAATTGTTTTGGGTGCTTCCGACTATTTACATTGGAATGGGGGTACTAACTTTGACTGAGAGGATAAGTAGCCAATAATATAAGTCGCATTCTCTTACTACGCTTACTTGGATGGCATAAAATAGATAATCAGGGAATTCAGTAACTGGAAAAGTAGATATTAGACAAGATATGTGCTATACACAGCTTCCATGCACCTGAGCAGTCAAGTATACGCAGTTAAGCTTCTATAAACACTGAAACTTTTAAACGGTAACACAAAGAAACTTTAAACTGTACTCTAGAACATAGTTCACGTCCTATTCTTGTAACGATTGAAATATTATATATATATATATATATATATATATATATATATATATATATATATTCTACAGAATATTTGTTGATAACTTCAACAGGAACCAATCGCAACAACAAGTTGTGTTTTATTAGACACCACGAAGTGGTCTAAACACCATACGACAGTTTAAAGTTCATCAGTAACATTCAAGACTGATTTAGCTAATACAGCCGAATTACTGAAACTGTACGAACTGTAGTCAATTAAAACTTATTATAATCAAAATATTTTACACTTTTATAAAAACAATGGTGAAACCTCTCGATTCGGCTTGTTCTAAGGATACTTATCTGCCTCTAGGATACACGCAATGAAAATGAATTGTACCTTGACAACTTAAGTATAATAGTGCACATCTCTTTGAGGTAAATCAACAGTTAATTTCAAACTATGGAGATTTTTAAGTCTGCCAAGAATACCCGTTGATTTGTTCAGAGTTAGATAAATGATTGTAATATCTTTGAAGGAGAAATCACCCTACCTACTTGAAGAAAGTATAGGCAATTTGATAGCCTCCAACAGCAAAATCTTAGATTATGTTAATTCAAAGAGACTGTTCAATCACTTTCCTTTGTGTATAGTAGGATTTTATATGACTTATTGTTTGATCATTACATGACATATGAGTCAAAGCAATAGAACAAACTATGCCACTGTACCAGTGTACCAGGCAACAAAGACTATTCACTGATAAACCTTTGAGTTAGCTTAAAAGAGTAATAAAACACACAAAACATTACCAAGAGTAATCTATGTGCACGGGAGTCTTGAGGCCATCGTGAACCAGTTAGTAGTAAAGCACACGTTTCTGCAGGATAACGTGATAGAAAACGAGTTAGTGGTAGACGCAAAGGACTGGTGACATCGATATTCAATGCATATTCGGCATTCACTATGGATTCAATTAGTAGTGAAACGTAGTTAGAAGTTGCCAAGGGGATTGAATGAAATAAATCCAGCAGTAATGTGCAAAGCTCTAGATTCTAAAAGCAAAATATAACGTAAATTAGAGAGGTGAAAAGTTAAATAATGATAAAATTTCAAAAGTATCGAACTTTCATTCTTCTATTTCTGTGTTTTGTACTGTGTGTAGCAGTAAAACTTAAATTAGCTGAATTTTGTCCGATATTTTAGGTACTTTGTCTATCTAGCTAAATAAAAGCTATTTTACCCTTAAGCCCCGCTATATCAAAGGCATTTTGTGAATTTGAAGAAACTGTGGAACACGAATTCTAATTTTTGGAGTTCTAGGCTGTTTGATATGATGAAGTGATGTGACACTGACTTCTTCGGCACATGAGCCTTTCAAATGAAATTCGTCACTTAGTCGATTGACAAAAAACAAGTTTCTGTCATCATAGAACATAAATTCAAGTCTCCGACAGAAGGAAGAAGAACAACAAGTTAGGGAAAACGTCTTTAGTCCTTCATCAAATTAACAGATTTGTATTAAATAGGACAATTTTAAAAGTTAACTCTATATATGGGTTATACTATGAATAAAACAGCTATCGATAACAAACTTTGCGCATAAGAGATTCAAAATGGTTTAAAAATAATATGTGTAGAAAGTAGGCACAAGCATTCAACTTACAGGTGAAACAAATGAGGAAATCGATCCTGAATTCTGCTTCTCAATTGCTTCCTCCAGAGCAGTGTTCAACTGAGACTGCATTGCACGAAGAAAAACAGTAACATATAAATTATAACATCTCAAACGGATTCACATGAAATACAATACAGAACAAAAATAAATAGATGCATATTCGGTAACGAGTTACAGGTTGACATTCCAAACTTTTGGTTACACACCTCTGTCAAGTATTGTGTTTCTGTTACTAACCGGCTGTTTGTATCACAGTAGGTGAGTATGGATTTTTTTTTAATATGATATCAAGAAGACAATTGCAGGGGAGAAAATTTTCTTTTCGACGAAGTCATCATCTAGGCTGTACATTCGTGTATTTATATCAAATGGATGGGAAAGTTCCAGAATAATTTCCGGTCAAGGGTCAAATTAATAAAAATTACAATTAGGAATTAGAATGCCATAATAAACAGGGGGATGGATAAAACAAACAAAGTAGCATCATAATAACTAAGAAGATTGACATTGTGCAATTAGGGGTTAGAAATGTAGAAATAACAAAATAGACAGGATGTTTGGATAAAAACTAATGTGATGAATAATTGTTTATGCAATCAGGGATTAAATATGTAGAAATAGTAAAATGACAAAATAAACACGAAGTTCGGGTATGAAAATATGGTAGTGTAAACAGGGATTAAGAAAAACTTAAAATAACAAGAATAAACAGGAAGTTTAGGTAAGAAAGGCGATGGGATGGTCATTACTAAAAAATTACCTGTTTATGATGGCCATGGCAGGGACAGGGGTTGGACGTATTTCTTTTGGATACAAAGCGTGGGTTTGAGCTTTTGTATAGCTAGCGCTTCGGCTATGCCCAGATGTCTTGATTTCACTCCCTTTGATAGGTTTGATTGAATCTTGTATATTATTTTGAAGGATTTTTCGAAAGGTGCTGAATGTCCTGAATTGACCAGATGTTCTGTCACTGAACTGTATACACGCTTTTGGTCTCCTTTTACTAACCAGGCTGGGTAGTGTTCACGAGCGCGTTTTTCAAGTCGGCGCATGGTACGGCCAACGTACTCAGCTCCACAAGAGCAAGTAAACTGGTATATGCACGTTGAGGTGGCCCAATGCGACAGCTTGTCTTTCGCGTTCTGGCTGAACAGTTTCTTGCAGGAAAACGTCAGTCGTAGGCTCGCGGCGAAGTATGTTTTCCTTAGCGATTTGGAGAGGCGTTTGCGAAGGATTTCTGCTTCAATATCACCTTTGAATTCTAGATTAAGCAGAAGTATTTTCTTTGGAACGGATTGGACTTGTTCGGAAGTCTTCTTACATTTGAGATTCTTGTCTATGAATCTTGGCGGGAAACCGTTTTCCATCAGGGTTTTTCGAAGATTACGCAGTTCTTCTTCAACCACTTCCTCGCTGCATATCTTCCGAATCCTCGAGGAAAGAGCGTATATCAGGTTCCTCTTTCTACTCAGGGGCACGAAGCTTTGAAAGTTGATGAATTGTCCATTCCATGTAGGCTTTTTGTATATGGACCTTTTCAGAGAGTTGTCGGCGTTTCTTGTCAGATGGACGTCGAGGAAGTGGAACATTCCGTCGGATTCAGTCTCAAGTGTAAAGTCGATGTTTGGGTGGGCATTATTGAAGATTTGAAGTAGGTTTTTTAAATCACAGTTCTCATCACAAATAATGAAAGTATCATCGATGTATCTCTTGTAGAGATGGAGGTCGTTGATAGTCGGTGATAAGGCGTTGTTCTCTAAGCTAGCCATAAAGCAATCGGCTAGGAGGGGTCCTAAGGGAGAACCCATTGCTACTCCATCTACTTGCCTGTATATTTCCTTGTTGAAACTAAAGTATACGTTGAAGGTGCATCGAAGTAACAGTTCTTTCAGGTAATGGATCGGTATACCGACATCGATGCTATTGGATTGAATGTAATCACAAAGGAAACATACGGTTTCTGTCAGTGGAACGTTGGTGAAGAGAGACACGACATCCAGGGAGACCATTTTCTTTTCTGCTACATTGACATTCTTAATTGAATCAACAAAGTCGAATGTGTCACGGAGGTTGTGTCTTGACAGCTTTTCTTTCACCGGCCCGAGAATTTCCACCAGCCATTTTGCGATTGCATGATATGGGGAATCAATCATATCTAGTATTGGGCGGAGTGGGACGTTTTGTTTGTGTACTTTAGGTAAGCCATACATGTGCGGTGTTGTAGAACCAGATGGGCGCAGTTGTTCATATAGTTTTGGACTGATAATGGATTCGTCTTTCATTTTCTTCAATATCTTTGTTAGCTGGAGCTCCGTCTGTTCAGTGGGATCTTTCTGTGGAGACTGTTTCTGAAACTTTTTATCATCAGATAGTATGACCGAGAGTTTGCTTAGGTAGTCTGATTTGTTCATCAAGACGATTCCGGAACCTTTATCTGGTCGTGTGATGATCAAGTTTTCATTGTCCTTCAGTTCTTTCAGCTGCTTTCGATGTTCTTTGGAAAGTACGTTACGAAGGCTGGGTTTTTTGTTGATGTAATCGAGGCAGCAATTTAAAACGGTTGATTTGAAAAGTTCTGCATTCTCATATGAGGTTGGGGCCAGATCTTTCGTCTGGTCTATTAAATTCTCAAATTGCACTTTCGTGTTCAGTTCATTCACTTTTGACGTTGCATCACAAAATTTAGGTCCAAGTGCTAGAATTTGCATTTGAATTGGAGATAGTGGAACATCGGAATAATTGTAGACGTATTTTTCTGGACAAGTAGGAAAGACGGTTTCTTTTGTAACGGACTTTAGGCTTTGGTTTAGTTTCATTATAACATCATCTGCTCTTTTCTTTGTAACCGTATTGGAGTAGTTTTCGAATGATGTTCTCTCGTCTTCAGATAACTCATAGAGGACGTGGGAGCTTTTTGAGATATTCTGTTCTAGCTCAGGTAGTCTTGATCTCACTGCATCGATGTGATTCAGAGTGTGTCGTTTCAGTGTACGTGAGTTAGGGGATATGTGATTTCGTCTGAGATGCTTCCAAAACACTTTGGGATATTCATGTTTCTCGAGACAATTCTTGAAGAAGAAAATCTTTGCGTTCGCCTCAGCAAGCTTGACGGACAAACGTAGAAACTTGTTCAGTTCCTTTACCGTCGAACGGTCCTTGCTTGTTTTCAAATCACGGAATATACACATATATGATACCAAGATACAAAATGGATTGTTCTTAGAAAACTCGTGTAACAAAAATCAAACAGTTTTGTATCGTTATCCTAAAATTTTGAAAATATATTACTAGCAGTGGAGATAGATAAAATAATACCAACCTCTGATCAACATAGTTATGTTGTAATTTTGATGATAAAGGATTGAAAATATCTTAACAGTAATACATTCAAAAGTATTCTACAACCTTCGATTGTATCACTGTTTATTTCAATGTCATCCAGTTTTTGAGGCTTTGTAATTCAGCAATGGGATCCAATTTTATGCAATGGATCACGAATCGTAATAGGTTGTAGGATAACTTATGGTATTAGCTAGTCACACTCAGGTTGAAGCTCGGATGGATAGGAACTCAGACGTGGTGTTACAGGTTTTTAAAGGCCGAGCCCCCTAAGCAGTATTGCTAATTTCCACGTATATTATGCTTTTTTGTAGCTACTTCTGTGAAAGTGAATCATGATGCCTCTATTGACAACCATAATCAAGATACTACATATTTAATAAATACGCTATAGTAAGATCGAAAAACCAAATCAGCATAAAATACAAGGATTACCAACAATACAATTCAGCATTAAAATTAACAACCTACATGTATTGCATCGCATAAACGTTCATTAAGTGTACTCGGAAACAACTGAGCACAATAAGCCAATTGTTGAACGGCATGGGTACATCGAATCGAAGCTTGTCTAACATTTTGGATAATCTGTTTCATATTAGCATGTCTTAGTTCAATATCAACATTTGTTTTACTAGCAAATTCGCGAAGGCATAAGAAAGCCGCTTCATTAATATACTCATTTTTACAAGATAATCCTACAAAGATAAATTAAGCAACAAAGCATAACGCAATGTGAACTTTTCAAATTAAAAATTAAGTGTGACAGGACGAGTAAGAATTGGTGTGTATAGTATGGTGTTCGTATTTATTACTTTGGGAAACAGAAGTCGTAAAGCGGAAAGTAGGTCCTTTTAAAAATGTGAATTACTACAGGCTTTTATTACTTGTATAATTAATTGAGATAAGATTTTTCTAATATACCAAATAGAGAACCATAACAATGACGAAACGATCAATGGAACAAAAGCAATAATTACATAAAAGTCTTATCGACTAGTTCAAAGTTGCCTGAATATAAAACAATTTTATCCGTCTATAAGGATAATGTCACTGCAACTGTAGTAGGAAATTAATTTAGAGTCGAAAGGTTATAATCGTGTTAACAAGAGGCACTTCCAAAGCAACGGATTGTTAGTAACATAATCTGGCTCTTGTCCACGGATTATTGATTTGCCCTTAGTTTACGGAATTTACATTCTAACGGTAACTGCTTCTAGTCTTACTATCATCTATTTAAACTTAGTGGTATACTGACTTAATTGCTAATAGTGTCGTCATGTGATTACTTGGAAAATTTCGGGAGAAAATTGAGATGGTGAGGATTCATTTCATATGATTGTAAAACAATAATTGTAGAGTAACATCACTAATATTTAGCAATTCGATCATATTATACAGTGGAGGATGAATGGTCTTATGTTGCGAAGTAAGATGCAATTGAAGAGAATCGAGGGTAATCATATGTGAAATATTTACTTTTCAAAACATTACTGAGATTTAGTTGCTATAAACAATGGTTATTATCAGTACAAAAATAAGGGGGTTATATGAAGTGAAAAAGAAAGGAAGTCAAGAATTTTATGATCCCATGTGATTTCATGTTAAAAAATATTTCAAAACCAATAGACGCTCACAAACTTTCCAATTTAAAAATTTTTCACTGACCTTTGAATAACGCTGTTAAATTTCGTGACTTCTGTACATCTAAATACCACGTCACCGACAGGACTTGACAAGCAGCCACTCGAAGATTAATAAATCGCATGCAATTAGTTGAGAATAGTACTGGATTTTTAAAGGTGGACGGTGAATTCTTGGAAAACGGAGAAGTCCTAGTAAACTGAAATTTCTCACAATCTGGATTCACAGTGCAATTATTATTGACACCATTTGCAGCAGAACTACTGCTAATGTTATTGTTAGTATTAACTGCACCAGTCGGTTCACTGGTCACTTCAAATTGAGTTAGTAATGCGCGGACATCTGATAGAAAGACACAATCATCCCGTTTCGAGGGGTCATAGCGTAGCAAACCCACTCCATCATCATTATTATCTATATCGAAATCATAAGGCTTTGAATTATCTAATACCTTATTTGAAGGCTTTACTTTCGCTGACTGACTAAAAAAATAATTTGTTTCCTATAAATGTAAAAGTGAATATATGATAAAAATTCATCTTCGTAAATACATTTTTTTAAAGTGTAACTACAATCGAATTAACGTTATTCAAATGAAAGGATATTTAATTTGAGAACCGCAAGAATTCAAATACCAGTGAAGATGAAGTTCACAAGAACATCTAATATAATATGTCAAGTAAGATCAAAGAATCAATCACAATACGACCTACCCAGTTTGTTAAAACTTTTAGAATCACAAAAGAAAGATAAACATCTAAAGAAAATCAAAGAATCTTAAATATCCGTGTGAATGAACAGTACACAAAGACTGCTGAGTTACGTCAGTAGTTAGCTAGTAGTTAGTTAAAACGAATTCAATAAAGTTTGAAATACGGTTTGGGTGAAACAGTGATTCTAAGAGCTGGGTTGACATTTTTAGTGCATCACATTTGTTTTATGTAAAGTAAGTTTATAAGGGCCATTCAACTATGACCGCTCAAATATAGTTCACAAATGACTCTTGAAATTAGATGATAGTAACCGTCATATTGAAGTCCCTATAGTGAAACACGCATAAATTTTTGTAATAATTGACGATATTACTTCTACTGTATAGGTGACAAACACAAGCAGAGTAATTTTACTATTTTCGCCATATCGTTTAAGGTTAATACTAAGAGGACATTCAAAATATATTCCTATGTGAATCAAAATCTAATTTATACATACCAGTACAGCTAATTGCGTTGAAATGGGTAGATCCAATAGACGAACTGGTGCTCTCAATGGTAAGACATGTCCAATCTGTTTGTACCAATGAGATGCTAATAATTTACACAAAGGTTGTCCCACTGTATGACCAAGTAATCTTAAAAGACACCGTGCTTCTGCTCGGACTGAATCATTTTCGCTTAGAAGAAATTCCAACAGTTCTTTGATGACTGAGTCTAATAAAAGTGACTAAAATACAACAAAACAAAAATCAGAAAATTGAATATATTTACATGTGAAAAAAATACTGTTTGACTATAAAGTGATACACTGAGCAGTAGTATTTGCTTTTGCATGAAGCTAATTTATATCACTAAAATGAATAGAACAACATGTCCCTTATCTTTTGCTTATGTTATCGAGAAATTAAATTGGCGGTTGCAGGAGGGTTTTCATTTTAAAATACGGACTAAGCAACTGAAGTCTAAAAGATAATACTTCCCTGATGTGATGTATAAAGTTTATAAATATACAACTAAGGTGCAACTATATGCAAGCTTGTCAGTAATAATCAATAAATGACTAATGGGAACAAAATGTAAACCTGTGTTATAATATGAATTAGATTACTAAGGATTCTTTTAACTTTAACGGTCACTTCCCAGAAGACGTAGGTAAGTAAATGGTTCCACACTGTCAGAGTTACGCAACATGAATTTATGTGAGCACTACTCATTAATTTAACTCTTACCGAAGACGAAACACATCGAGGATAGGTAACTTTTTCAGTTTCTTTCGTAACATTTCCCACAGTCTCTCCAACAGTGTTACTTGTTGACTCATTCGTAGATAACTCTGGAGTGTCTGGAATAGTACTTGTACTTCCTGCACTACGACCACGTCTAACTTGAACAGGACGACGTTGAGTGGATGTAGAAGAGCGTTTACGGGTTAAAGGTAAAGTGGGTTTGTCTGATTTCATATCTTCATCCTCAAATGTAGACACATTTGTACATTGATTTGTATCATTTGTATCTTTTAAGCCTGCAAAAACAATCGCAATGATTATTCGTGCACAATCTTGAGCCATTACAACTGCCCCTTGATTCATTTGATTTGACAGACTATTAATACAACAGAGTAGGCCACGTAACAAGCTCATCAAGTGTGAACAGAACCAATAAGGATGAATAAAACGAGCAAGACAAAGTATGGCAGCACAAGCACCCCATTTCACGTACCTAAAATGATGAAAATGATTAAAAAAAGCTTTACTCGCTTATACATATATTCTACTAATACTAATGCCAACACTACTGATGCATTTGAAAATGTACAAATAAACGACTGAAAAAGCAATTCAGAAGATTAATAAGCAGTTGTAACTGGATCATTTATAAAATGTTTCTGACTGTGAATGAGTTTTCGAAGTAAACATTTTCACGAGTGCGGCAGTCCAAGTTGCCAGATTCCATATAGCATACAAATACAGAAAAAAAAATCAAAGGAGCTACAATGAACGGGAATATACATTAGAAATAATGAGAATTTGATAGATGTCGGAGTTCAAAAAGAATGAATGTATCTGCACAATCGATAATGATTTTTGGTTCTTAATGTCAGACAGTCTACTTGATGGAATATTTCTAATGAACATCATTCGCAGGTTTATATTCCAACAGAAAAGGGAGATAATAATCTCCAGTGTAATAACTATACAAAAAGTAATATTAAAGAAAACAACACTTACCAAGCTGAATGGTATAACATTTCAACAATAACATGTCCAATATGTTGGAAAATATCAAGATTAGCAACAGCCTTTTTAATCTGCTCTGTAGTATAACTTTCTCCAGCATTTTCTTGAGATGTCATAGCAGTACCCGATAGCATAGTGAATGCTGTACTGTGTATTACTTCAAGGAGTACACACATATTTCGAGTGAGCTGTTTCATTTCATGACCCATAACAAACATTATAGAATCAATAATTAAGTTTGGATTTAGCCATGAAGATGTTTTGTTTCCTTCATGATTCACTGCATGTGGAATCGGATTTGTAGTATGAAACACTGAGTCAATTTCTTGACTTATGTTGAATACATCCAACTGTATAGAAATGCAAATTTGATTAACAGTCAGATAACGAAAAGCAAAGCAATAATTCAATAAATAAATAAATAAATACCAGACCAACTAAGTAGACCAAAATTCCTTAGAATTACGTTAACAACAGATTGGGGCCAATTGCAAAATAACTAACCTTATGAAATTAAGTAATATTTTCAGATACTAGCCAAATCATTACAAGTAGTGCATGCAAGAAGAACTTCAATTTTTTACCCTATTTATAGTTTCTTTACCTATTTGAAAGCAGTAGGTTGAAAAATTATTATTTCTCATAAGACACTGCTTAAGTAAACAATTTTGACACGAAAAAATTGCACGATATTGTGCTATCGTTTAGATTACTAATATAACTTTAGAATAATACTTATGGAGTAGACATCTACAGTGGTTGTCCTTCAACAACAGATGCGTTCACTATGAATAAACACAATCTGTTGTCTGCAGACTGTATTATACAGTCAATACAGGATGAGCTTGGGATCAAACACAACTCGCTTATCATAAGTAACTGATTGAATTATCAAAGTACACATCCAGTTGCCACACTTGACATTCACACACACACACACACACAAAGGTGGTGATCAAAATAAAATGTAATGAAATTTGCAACGAACAAACATATTATAGGAGTAAGCAAAATTACATGAAAAATAATGAGAATTTAATGAGTGTGGGAGAAGAAGATGGATGAAGTCAAAGTCAGCCCAAATCGAAAAGGTAAGATACCACATCATCAACCTGAAACAAGTTTCCAAATCTTCTGGACTCCATGCCTCAGCATAAACAACAACATTCACATCTTCAACACCAATGTCAAGTCGGTGTCGGTCAGTGCTTCTATACGGGTGGTCAGAAACTTTCACCTCGTGTCACGAAAACGATTTCCGACAAGTTACACACTTTTATCAACAACTGTCTTTCCTGGCTGGCTAGCTCTGTACTGAAGATCAAATGGCCGGCTGTCCAGAAACAATTAGTAAAAAGAAACTCTGCTTGAGAACAAACCAAAGAAGAGTCGATCGCTCAACAAATACGAAGGAGAAAATGGAGATGAATCATGCATACACCGAGGAAACCACTGAATGACATCACGCACCAGGCCATCTCTCGAACGGAATCCTAATGGGAAGTGACGAGTGGGTCGTCTGGGCAAGGGTGACATGGAGGAGATCCTGTGAGGAATATATATATATATATAATTAGTATGGATGATCACAGACGGTGAAATAGAGTAGACAAATAATCGACCTGCTTAGTTTGTCTTTGGCAACTTCCCTGGCACAAGCCTTTGTTACCACTTCGTAAAAATAATAAGCATTACACAGTTAAAATTCAGATGATAAACTTGAATCCATTTTCTTGTATTCATTTCACTTTACTCATATGAACCAAAAGATTTGTCAACATAACTGTTGGGTAGCAGACTGTCTATGAATAGACTTCAATCACTAGGATATACTGAATCAAGGTTTCCTGAACCAGGTGTATATGTGGCTTTTCGAAGTTCAATACTTTCTCAAAGATTTCAATGCCATATTAAAGAATTTATTATTTGACTTCTTAGGATGCTTACCTTGTTAAAACAAAGAGAGTCAGTTGACTGACTGATTTACTGATTCCAACGTAGAACTTTGCACAGATGTGCAGCAGTTCGAGTTGCCACACTCCTTCCATGTAGCACACAAATCAAGAAAAGAGAGTCAAGAGGGACAGATAATAACCAGAAATATGAGACAAAAAGAATTGTAATACGGGAGAACGATGGAGTTTTACTGGATATGGATAAATCACAGAGAGTGAGTGCACCTGCGCCATCACTGAAAAATATTTTGAGCCACATCCCCAGTTGTCTCTAACTACTGGTTTACCATCCGTATGACCTCAACCAGGAAGTCTATGTGGCTAGCTTAAACTAACTGTTGTGGATTTCATTAACTGACGCCATGTTTTCAGAGAATGTCTTACAAAGGATTTACAATCATAATGACCATTTGCGCTACCATATGCTCTCATAGCCTCAGCCACAACAACGGAGTCTTCAACGGGTCAGTCAATACAACTTTCAAACACCACTCATCGTTCGAAGAAGGCTAATCAACCTATACGATGAACAAGCCTTACCACAAAACTATTCGATTGAAAGCTAAAATTTCAGTTTGTGAAATAAAAAGTTTTATCAGATACTTCTTGATACATACGATAGCATATATCGGTAGATAGTTTATACTGACAATGAGAAATAGTAAATGTACATGAGTACGTTAATGGACCAATCGTCTATACAATAAACTCCTTGGAGAAAACCAATCTTTACGGTGTCTATATAAATTTGAGGGAATACGACAAATTACATTTTAAAACGATTTTGGTATATGCATAAAAATGTCAGTTAGAGAAATGGCTAACTTACACATTTGGATTGTTCATCATAAGGCATTTTTAAGCGAGTACTGTTATCATTTGAAACATCTGAATCATGGGCATCATCAACTCTAGATGATTTCTTAGAATCAACTGATGTGTTTAACTGTGAGGAGGAATCACAGGTGTTGATCAAATGCTGTGGATTAAACTGTTGGATAATCGAGAGAACAGTAGTATGTCTAACAAGGAATGTAAGGAAATCTCCATGAGTATCACGTAGATGTTTGTTTAAACCGGCCAAAAATAACCCAGCCATATTCATTATCATAACATGATGGTATAAATCTAATAAATCATAAGGAGAAGTAAAAAAAGTATAATAAGACGCTGAGAAGTTATAAAGATAATTTTAACTTAATAAGGGAATAAAATATTTTTATGTACAATGCTTTACAGAGTTTTAGTCTACTCACTTCCTTCAGTGCGTCAGTGGCACAGCGGTTAGGACGCTCGCCGACCATGCACATGGTCCGGGGTTCGATCCCCGGTCGGCGCACTCCTTTACCTCACTCAGCCAGAAGTAAAGCTGGTAAAGAGGAAAGGTTGGGCGTGAGGTTAGCAACCCCACCTGTTAAAATAAACACTGCTACAGAAACTGAGAACGTGAAGGAAAAATTGCTTTTTTTCACTTCCTTTCGATATTCAGCTTTAAAATCGTTCACCACCCGGAAGTTAGTACTACTCATGAGACTGATGTTTCAAAATCACTCAAGATAATTAGTCAATGTGCAGGTGACCTTCACTAGGCAGACTTACTAAGCTATATTTGCAGATAAATCTCTAGTTTAGTAGCCTAACAATAGATTTCACTACAAATTTTCATTGTAATTTAGATCATTCTTCTATCTTGAAGATTTATATCTCATAGTATAACTCAACTTCATGAATAAAGTTCTTTCAGTAGTCACATTTGCTGCACTGGTTAACAGGAAAGAATGAAACAGTGAGGTGAAGAACTAATACAGAGATATAAGAATAAAACTTGTGCACTGTGGTAGAGTGTAATTCCATTATGGGTAGATTTTGTTTTGATAAAGTCTCACAGCGTTATACAGTAATGTTTACTGATGACGTTTCGAGCACAATTTATTGCTCATAATCATATCAAGGTAATCACACGACTTCCTAAATTCATTTATATAGTTCCATTGTTTTTCTCTTGATTTTCACTTGATTTGATTGGTAATAGTATTTTCCATATTTCAGGTATGAGTGACGAGTCATTCCTATTGCATGTGTTGGGTGTAGACTGAATCCTTGTTCATCGAGTCTACACCCAACACATGCAATAGGAATGACTCGTCACTCATACCTGAAATATGGAAAATACTATTACCAATCAAATCAAGTGAAAATCAAGAGAAAAACAATGGAACTATATAAATGAATTTAGGAAGTCGTGTGATTACCTTGATATGATTATGAGCAATAAATTGTGCTCGAAACGTCATCAGTAAACATTACTGTATAACGCTGTGAGACTTTATCAAAACAAAATCTACCCATAATGGAACTAATACAGAGAGTTTAAATACCGACAAAAATTATTTACACTACATAGCTTCAAACGTTGGAAATTATAAAAACTCCCTTATCTATTGGTGCATAATTTTAATAAAATACCATACAACGTACACATTACACAAAATTTCTCTTCTTAGGGATTAAATATTACCACTTACCACCGCTCATACAACAATTTGGAGTAGCTACGTGAGGGCCAAGATTTTCAGGACAAGAAACACGATATATACTATCATAAATAAACTGTACTATCTGACTAGTTAAAGTTTTGTTAGTAAAGAAATTATAGTATGAGTCCTTCCCATACAATGACGATAGTTGGGAATGGTCCAAGTTGAAGGCCGCTACGCATACTGACTGAAGGAATTCCCATGAACGAATTTTGCTGGCTTCATCTGAAGTTAAATCCTGAGTAAAGAGTAAGAAATAAAACAAGAAGGGTAGGTATATAAAATTGGCAATTCCCATAGTTTCTTAAGACAACATAAATACATTGATTTGAACAGTTTGTTCTGTTGTTGAACCATAGACTTTAAAACAATCCTGAACGGGTGCGATGACCGAAATGAAAACATGAATACTATCAAAGTGTAAGGAGATTTTAAGGTTTACAAATTTAGATTTTAACTAGCTGTGATTATTTAATGCAGGAATAAGAAACGTTTTTGTTAAAAGTTATTGTAAAAATAACACCACAAACAGTAATATACATTTTACACTTTGAAACATTAAGAAAACACGAGAACTAATGATAAAATCTAACCTGTAATAACTCTAAAGCAGCATCAACAAAAGATTGGACCGGTATATCAATCGGCTGATTACGGAACTCATTCAGATAAAAACGTAGTTGTGGGCCTGCCTCACCCTCTGTTGAGTTCAAACGGAGACGTTGTGTTTCGAGAAGATTGGTACGATTAAAACGGCCTAACTTTCCAAGAACCTAGTTCAGAGCAACGAAAAAGGAAATGTTCTTTTTAAATATATAATTAAGCTAAATAGTTAAATGCAGGCCATCAAGATGATGATACTGGTAGAATATACTGTGTAGCCAGAGCAGTGGAGTACCGACTCAGAGCAAATAATGAAATGCTAAAATGCAGACAACCAGTTAAAATGGTATGATAAAGGACTTTTGTTTCCCTAAGGCTCCTCTACTTAAGCATTTATCCCAAATCAAGTCTCTCATCGATATAAATCTATCAGTTACAGATTGAATAAATCTAAAAGGACTCATAATTTACAGATCAAATTGAAAACTTAGAAGTTGGATCAAAGAAAAAACACAATGTATCACAGAAACAAATTCAATACTTAAGCTTTTACTTATGACAACAAGGGGCGTTCAGATCCGTCAATACGACAGAACATTTTGCTATCAAGTATTTTTCGTTTGTATGGTATGACATTTGGAAACAATGATAAAATAGGTGGGTTTATCAGTTTGAGCAACTTAGTAGTTCGTATACTGCTTGTGCTAGGAAGATCCTCTTCCACTCTTCAATGTTTTTTTCACCAAGTATTATTGTTTATTTGCAATTAGTTCGCGCCCATAGCAGGTCTGTTACCTTCCAGCCTACAAATTACGCTTATTGTGTAAAGAATTATGATACTACCCAGATGCCCAAGGTGAAGTAGATGAAGCGAGATTCAACGCCCACTCACTTAAATTCAAGTGTCTAGGTCGACGAACCACTTTTCGGCATCCAGAAATATTATGCTTAATGGATTTATTTTTTGTTTTTACAGAGTGCTACAGATTTAAACAAAATACAAATTGGACAGAATAAAACATTATTATTGCAAGATTAAATAAGCTAACCTTGAAAGACATTTTTTGAACATATTCACTTGGTGAATGTAGAGAATTGTACAGTGCCAACAGCATATCACCACGAACTTGATATAAATGATTATGAAGAAAATCCGGCTGCATATTATCAACGCAAAGCTCAAGAGTACGTAGACCCTATATGTGACAAACAAATTAGTTTAATCTATTATAATCAACCGTACAAAGTATGACAGTAACTCACCAATATATTGTATAAACTACTGATTTTTATTTATGAATACAATCTTTCGTGAAATATACGAAACCATGTAGTCAAAATAGGATAGTAAATTGAAATTACAGAGGTGTATCTTACACAAATCATACAGTTAGGATAGTTTACACGAGATCAGAGTATGATTTAATATGCGTTAAACAACATATTATTTAAATACTTTCAATTCTTTGCTCTGAATTCTTCGAAAGAAGCGAAGAGAAAACATTTTAGATATTGTAATGTACTTGGGTTTGAATTACAATAAGTAGAATGATGTTTCTCTGGGCTTTACTTGAATACTGCGAAAATCCTGTACTCTATACAAAAACACTGTCCGGAATACAGCTATTATAATTATTAAATAATAACCATAAGGTTAAACAGGTTCAGTGGATATATTTTTACAAATGTATCAACTCATTTACACTTGTGTGTAAGAGGAAATAAGTTTTATCCCAGCACTACTCACTAAACAATTTGATCGGAAGACAAGCAATTTCTTAAGAGTGAATAAGGTCACACATTGGCATTCTTTTAAAGTTAGATTGTTTATAACAGCAGAATATGGATTACCATTGTGTTTAAGTTAATATCGAGTCACAATGAAGGATAAAAGTTGCTTTAGGCCAATTAATTTTCGGTGCATGTAAAAATATTCCGCCCACCCTTGGGGTATTTAAATAAATAAGAGTTTAAAAAGGGTATTTTTAACAACTGGTTTTTATCTTCTAAAAATCCAAATGAATACAACTAACAAGTTCGGAAGTATCAGTTGAAGTAAAACCCCGGGGATAAATTTTCACATTTTTGGCTAGAAGTGCGTAGAGGTATGTACAATCTCTTAGTGCTCTCACAGTTAATCATATGACCAAATGAATCTAAAGGGTTGGGGTAAACGCGGAGCTCTGAAGTGGATAACGTAATATTCAGAAACTATTAATTTAGAAAGAAAAGTGTTAATAAACAGTCATCATCCCCTTCAAAATATCTTCAGATGATTAAATTCAGCCAATGAGGCTCCCCAGTTTTTTAAACCAAAGTAGGTGGTTAAGAACTGAGCATAAACTGCATGAGTCAATGACTAATACTTTGTATTCATACGTAAATTGCAAGACAAAGTACAGCAATAAATATAATAACCAGTGAAAATGCAGTTTACCTGGTTAACAGTGTTACAATTTAAAACGTAGACTAACGGTTCCATTAATAAAGATAAATATGGTAGCAGAGTTGACAGACGAACAGGAACGATAACACACAATTCACCTAATAAATCACGAGCATTTGAACGATGCGGTGAACGTAGCAAGCGATTTAAAGTAGTCAACATCTCAGGTAATAAAGGAAAAAACTCTCGGTAGAGCTTGTCATGTGCTCCTCCTCCTATTGAACGAAACAGTGTACGTAGTAAACTTAGATAGGCTGTAGGTTCTTTAGCTGTAAGACAATAATACATACTGCCTTGAACAATGCGCCGTAAATGAAGCTAAAAGAAATCGAGAAATAAATACATGCAATGAAATCTAATTTCAAATATTAATGCAAACTGGGTAAGATATCATCTTAATTTAAGGTACGTTAGAAGATATCGGAATCTATAACTCAGCGGTTGACATCATAATGTTACACCAACAAACTATAGCCTATGTCATAACTATAAGTAATCTCTTAATAGTATTAAAACAAAAAACTTTTGAACAGGGGTTGATAGTAGGCTTGAAAGAATAATCACAAAATACGAAACAGATTCAAAGTCTTCAGAAATACTAGGAAGTAAATATTTTCTAAGAATCCCAAATCAACCATCGTTGAAAACACTCTGCTGAATTCCACAAGCATAATATGAATTGTGGAAAACTGTTTGACAAACGAACCACTCGTGAAATCCTACATACAACATTTCAGAAAAAGAACCACAGAGAAAACAAAATAATTTCATAAAAATTAATTATTGTTACATACCTTCATTACTAATTCATTTTCTGTACCAGTCATATTTACTGAACTGAAGCACAGTTTTAATAATCGCATATAAAGCGCAGACTCACTGGTACCATCTGAAATTAAAGAGCGTGAGAAGATCTAAAAACACTAGGTAAATCTCAGGATCTGCTAAAATAGAGTTATCCTGAAAACAACGAAAAATAAGACAGCAGGCATTTAATTTTACAAACTGTACAATTCGTCTTGAAACTTTTCAGACATGAGCAGCATTTCAAATGTAATATTAGCAGTGCCTATCTGTTAAGAACAATCTAGGCAAAATTACAGATGATAATAGTCAAATACAAAAGAAAATTGTTTGTGTTTTCTCTTCTTGATAGACTGGTACAAAAAATCAGTTACCGAACGAGTTATAAAAGATGGGGCTTATAATCTCAAGACTATTTATAAACAGTTTCGACAAAAAGTACGATTCACACGTGCATACTTGGGAAAAAATAGCTTAAGAAATTGGTATACATAATCCACTAGATTTTGGAATAAAGATTAATGGCCGAGTCAATCGCAAATTTAAACACAGTATTTCAAACCATTAAAAATTATTGAAAATAATCCCAGTGAAAATCAAAACAACATTTTTTTAAATGTTCCGCTGTGCAAACCACAACTTCTTCAGTAAAATTATTCGGATCTTATAAAATCCGAATAATTCAATCTGATTCGGCGCTCAAATTATTCTAGGAAATTCGTAACATCTACGCCCCGGAAACTTGTAACAGTATTGCAAACATTAAAATCATGCAACTGGAGTTCACCGGGGTAGTTCACCGATTTTTCATTATGCCAAGTTGGCTACATTAGCCACATGAGGACTCCGTAGGTAAATAATATCCACCTGTGATCCTTCCTAACTGTAATCAAAAACATTTTCAACAAACAATTACTACTTTCCTTATTTTTAGCAAATAATGCCATGAGTAAAGGACAAAGTAATCCAGTCTAAATGTGAAATATGTCATCACTTTTCCAGATGAAAATAAAGTGAAAATCTGAATGATACAATTCAAGTATTTTGCCAAATAATAGATTGCTCACCAAGAAGAAAATCGCAGTATGGTTGATGGTGGGTAGTGGTTATGCTTTCACTTAAAAATGTTCTTATAACTTCTGTCAGAAACATCTATGTTCACTGCCCACGTTTATAACTAGAAATCTGCCTTGTCTTGCAATTTTTCGTAAAGCTCTAACACCACAGATAATATCAAAAAACTCGTCAGTTGAATACTCCACAAATATTGTTATTTATACATTTTTTTAAAGGTTAAGTGTATATCAACACATGGACATTAGGATAGCAACGAATAAGTAGCGATTTCAACAAGTACACGATCTAAAAGTTTTGTGAGTGATAATCTGTTAACGTTATTATTAGGTTAACAGTATTCATAGAAGTACGTATTAACTTATTCAATGCAGTTATCGTGGTAGATTGTTTAAATTGATACTTATTTGTTGCTATCCCAATGTCCATGTATTGGTATACACTTAACCTTTAGAAAAAATGTATAAATAACAGTGTTTGTACAGTATTCAGTTTGTGAGTCCTACTGATATTTATGAATTGATTGAAGACTGCTTGCGTTAAATTCACTACAGGAAAGAAATATCTTCAACGTGCGTCGGTGGCACAGTGGTTAGGACTTTCACCGACCACGCACATGGTCCGACGTTCGATCCCCTGCCGACGCACACCTGATATCTATGGTCGGCCTGGAAAATTTGGGCTACCGATATCCATGCTGAAAATTCTATACCTGTACCAAAAATACAGTGTGGAATCAAGCTGTAATCAAAAATAAAATAATGTCAATATTGGCAAAGTTATTAAATCAACTGTATATTGAAAAAACAAACAAAGACTGAACATAACCGAGAGATGACTTACCTCCCAATTGCTCTAATCTATCAACTAGGTAAGACAGTAAGATAAATCCAAAATGTGATGTTTTATTTGGTTGTGAGAGTAAGTGTAATGCAACATTAGTATATGATGGACTGCGACTGCACCAAACAACATACTCCTAGAAAGAGATCAATATAAGAATAAAAAGATTGTTTGATTAAATCTTCAGTAACACTGGACTGACACTGTGATATTGAAATTACACGATACTGCTTAGTGACAACTTTTAATAAAACTATATAATAATAAAGGTAAAAGAATTTGGCTAGTGATTTTTGGATGCGAGGTGACTCAAAATCATTTAGTATTATGCAGATGTATTGAGTCTTCATCGTTTTAACAAGTTTGAACATTTCAACTAGTTGTCGTACAATTATCTTCTTTCATGCATTTACATTCACTGATTTTCGTATCACTCAATTCTAATTCTCTTCCTCTTTTTTGTATGACTGGTTAATTTACTGAGGGATCAGCAAGATAAGTGTTTCATCTAAGAGACACAGGAGCAAGAACAACGAAGACAATGTTCGTGCACAAACTTTCAAAAAAAAAAAAAAAGAACTTGAAAGAGGAGTTAAAAACGATTTTTAACAAAGAAAAATAACTACCTCTGGGAGTATTTAGATAAGAATTCTAGCTATTTGCAGCATTTTACTGTTTTCCGACGTGAAGACAAGAAAAACTCACGACGTTCGGATCAAAATTTAGTCAGAAACTATAAAATTTTGTGAATCAAGAAGAGCAAAATGTTAAAAACGACAAGTTTTAGAAACCGAAAAAATGTGTGTGCGTGTTAGCATTAGGATTTCGGCAGTATGTTTGACGTTTGAGTCCTCTCAACCTACTTTAACCTGGACGATTGAATGAGATAATTGTGATCCGTAAGTTGTTATACGCAAAATTAGATCAGGATAACCGGGTTGTAATTAACTATGAAATACTGAAAAATGTTTCGTAAAATGTGTGTAGGTCTGCAGTTTTGTCCTGACTTTACTTATGATCAGTCTACGAGCTATTTAGAACCGTCTGTCGTCCCTCAGTAGGGTTATTCCCCTTGCACTATTTTGTTTTCATTTTCTTTTGAATGAGTTGTAGGAGAAATTTTGAAGACTAATCAAAAACGGACATTTAGACGGTATCGTTCAGATATCGACTACTCAAAGCACTATAAAAAGGTCTTCTTACTGTTGAACTTTGGATTAGGAAGACATTAGTCAGTAAAAAATGTTGTTTTCTCTGAATCGTCTTCCTCTGGCATTAATTTATTCAAAGAAACCTAAAGGAAAGATTGTCGCTTTTGACTAGAAGCTCTCTCTGTCAGATTAATATACGTATAAAATTTGGACACTGTGATAGTATTTAATTGCATACTGATTTGTCTACTAGATACGTCACACAGTGAAACTGTATTATTTACCGGACGATATTTCGAACACAATTTATTGTTCATAATCATATTAATTATAACTACACAACTTAGAAACTTTAGTTTTATAGTTTTCTTTCTTCCTTCCTATTCATAGTACTATGAGAATTTTTCAACACCTACAGGTGTTGAATCATTAGTACTCCTTGTGTGTGGTTATCTCTTTTATGTAGCTGATTATATTGATTGAAATAGATGCACCATTTATGGACGTACTACTGGATAACATTCTGCTCAGCTATTTACAGTGGACCAACACAGGTTAATCCTTGAACACCGTCAGCATTAAGTAGTAGTAGTAGTATATATATAAATTAAATACTGGTAATCACTATTATACTGAACTGCACTCATCTTTTATTTCAGTTAACATTGTCTGTCTGGATTCAACATAGAACTTGGCACCGAAGTGCAGCAGTTCGAGTTGCCACGTTCCAAATAGCACACAGAGGTAGACAAGAAGATGAGTGAAGAGAATCAATACAGTCTGACAAGTATAAGAGTGAAACAGAATGGGTAATGGTAGTTAACAGTTAAAATTAGTTAACATCAGTTAACATTAGAATTAAAAAGGAGAATAAAGACTTACATGAATTTTGCATGAAAAAATCTCTTGAAATGAAATTGGGTTCAGTTGAGCAAATGTTAAAGCAAATGTCTCAATAAGAAGACGTTCATCAGGCGATTTTGAACTTGGTTGGCTATGATGAAGTGGAAATAGATGAGTGAATAAACAATAATTGAGTGAACTATTTAGTATTGACTTAAACTAAATGTTAGTTATTCAATTAATTTTTTTTCTCACCTTCTTAAATGTAACCGACCATCTCGGTTAACAAACTGTACAATATCTATTATACGCATACCATAGGTGAAATATTCTGTTAATACAACCAACTCATCTGGACTGAGCATTCGGGAAGCAAGAGACGGTTTCGATGCTGTTGAAGAACTTGCAGTAACACTGTTTGGTTGAGAAGTATCATGTGGGCACTGAATCATGCTTGTTACCATAGTACGAATGCCACTAATAAGCGCTTTGACTAGCGTACGAATATCTGTATAACTAAGTTGTGTTCTGGCTAGAGGTTCAACGACGCGAGGCTTCACATCAAAATTACAAAAGTGCAATAGAATAAAGATATTTGAAAAATTAATCACAAGACATAAATTAGTATAAGTGAGCAAGATTTAATAAATGTATGTATAAACTTAAGGGTCACATGAACTACAGATTTGTGCATAGGGCAACAATGATTCAGGAAGTTTCATCAAATTACAATTAAGCAGTTCGCAAAACTACAACTTTCATAAGAATATTGATTCATAATATTCACATTCTCAATACTCTCATTGTATTCGATACTAGCACTGGTCAGTAAGTAAATAACCACATCTAGGAATAACAGTATTATTATTGCTCCCTTGGGTTCCTAGTGGAACATAGGGCTTCAACTGCACGTCTCCATTTGCTTCTGTCTTCTGCTGTACTTTTCGCCTGCATCCATGTTAGTCCATATTCTTTCAACTCCTCTTCACACGATCTCCTCCATGTCACCCTTCACTGACGTCCCACACGCCGCTTCCCTTTCGGGTTCCACTCGAGGGCTTGACGCGCGATGTCACCCAGCGGTCTCCTCAGCGAGTGTCCGATCCATCTCCACTTTCTCCTGCATATTTGTTGGGCGATTGGTTCTTGCTTTGTTTGTTCCCATAATTCCTTGTTGGTGATTCTTTCCGGCCCGGCCATCTGATCTTCAGTATAGAGCGAAGACAGTTGTTAATAAAGGTCTGCAGCCTTTTGGAAATATTCTTTGTGACCCGCCCACCAAGTTTCTGATCCGTATAGAAGAACTGACTTTACGTTTGTATTGAAAATCCGACGAATTTTGTTGTTGATGCTGAGTGACGAAGATTTCCAGATTGATTTCAGGTTGATGAATGTGTTTCTCGCCTTCCCGATTCTCGCTCGATTTGACATCCTCGTCCGCTCCTCCTGTAGTTGAGACAATGCTCCCTAGATAAGTGAATGAAGTAACCTCTTTCAAATCCCTCCCGTTGATGGTGATTGACGTTGGATGTTGTTGCTGTTGTTGGTTGGTTATTTTCATAACCTCCGTCTTGTCTATGTTTACCTGGAGTCCTGTCTTTGCTGCTTCTTCGACCAGTTTGTCGGTTTTCGCTTGTAAGTCTTCGATTGTGTGTGACATCAAACATAAATCATCCACGCGCGAAATCCAGGTCTTCTAGGTTCTTCACGTCGGTCCAGGATATTCCTGTCTTCTCGTTTCCCACTGTCTGACGCATAATCCAGTCAGTCCACCACAATTAGGAATATCATTGGTGATAGTAAGCACCCTTGTCTGACTCCTGTGTTTACTCCAAACGCCTCGCTGAGTTTTCCGTTGTGGATCACTTGACATGTGCCGTTGTCGTACAGCTGTTGAATAAGGTTGATGAATATTTGGGGTACGCCGTAGTACTCGAGTAATTTCCAAATTACTTCACGATCAACGCTGTCGAAGGCCTTCTCAAAGTCTATAAAGTTGAGGTAGAGGTTTGATTGCCATTCCATGCTTTGTTCGTGATGATGATGCGTAGAGTTGCAATTTGGTCAGTACATGATTTGCCTTTCCTGAATCCAGCTTGTTCTGGTCGGAGTTCTGTCTCCAGTGCGTCCTTTAATCTCTCCAGGATGATGCGACTCAGGATTTTACTTGGCGTCGATAGGAGCATGATTCCTCGCCAGTTCTTGCAGAGTCCTAAGTCGCCCTTCTTTGGTAGTTTCACGAGGTAACCTTTCCTCCAGTCAGTAGGCACCTTTCCCTCCTTCCAGACCTTTTGCAATAATGGAGTCAGCATGTCTGCTGTAGTCTCTGGGTCCGCTTTCAGTGCTTCAGGGGGTATTCCATCTGGTCCGGCTGCTTTTCCAGCTTTCAGAAGCTTGATTGCGTTCAAGACTTCAGCTCTCGTTGGAGGATTGGTGTCAACTTGCAGTTGTGTGCGCGCTGTTGTTGGTATTTCTGGACGGGTTGCAGGTGATGGTCGGTTCAAGAGTCCTTTGAAGTGATCCGCCCATTGTTTAATCTGTTTTTCTTCCTTGGTAATTGGGTTCCCTTGGCTGTCTTTTATAGGTTTCGCTTGTGTTGGTCTCTTCCCGGATAGAGATTTGGTTATCTGATATAGTGTCCTCAGGTCCCTTTTGCCTGCTGCCTTCTCAGCTTCAGTGGCCAGGTTGTCGTAGAATCGTCTTTTGTCCTTCCTAGCACTCTTCTTCACTTCTTTGTCCAGTGCTTTGTAAGTTGAGCTCATCGTCTCCTTCTCCTGTCCGTCCTTGCATTGAATCATTTTCTCTTTCACCATTCTCCTCTCTTCTATTAATTTCCAAGTGTCCGTTGAGAGCCATTCCTTGTCTTGTCTCTTCTTTCTTCCTAGAACCGTTGAACACGTTTCGTTGAGAATCGCCTTCAGAGACTTCCAATGTTCTTCCACGCATGATTCTTCAGTGATGTCGCGTAGTGTTTCCTGCTTTGCTCTGACAGTTGCAGTGAAAGTGTCTTTTGTGGTTGTGTCCTTCAGTAATTGAGTGTTGAACTTGCATTGTGGCCTATCCCCAGCTATCCTCGAGGCTTTTAGTTTCACCTTGAAAGTCCCTTCTACTAGATAGTGGTCTGAACCCACATCTGCTCCTCTCCTTGACCTTGTGTCCAGTAGGCTCCGTCTCCACTTTCTTGAAATTGAGATGAAGTCTATTTGGTTCTTGGTGTTTCCATCTGGTGAAATCCATGTCGTCTTGTGTATATCCTTGTGTTTGAACACACTACCACCAATCACCAAATCATTGAAGGCGCAGAAGTCTGAGAAGAGTTCACCATTGTCGTTCATTTCGCCGAGGGCCTCACGACCCATGGTGAGTTCTCTTCCTGTGTTGTCTCCTCCCAGCTTCGCATTCATGTCGCCCATCAGGATTTTGATATCGCCATTTGGGACGTTGTCCATTATTGCTTGTAGTTGTCTGTAGAACGCCTCCTTCTTCTCTTGTTCTGAGACGTTTGTAGGCGCATAACATTGAATGACTGTAACTTTCCTTCCTTTTGAGTTGAACCTGGCTGTCATTATCCTGGAGGAGATTGGTTCCCACTGCATGAGAGCTTTGGTTGCTGTTGGTGACATCATGATGGCCACTCCCTCGGTGTGCTCATGGTTGTCCTCTGGGTGGCCGGAATAGATTACTGTCTCTCCAGTAGGTAGTTGGCACCTTCCAGTTCCGTTCCATCTGCTCTCGCAGATTCCCAACACTTCTATTCTGTACCTTCTCATTTCAGCGGCTATCTGGGCAGCCTTTCCAGTTTCGTACATTGTACGAACATTCCAGGTACCCATCCTTACTTTTGCTTTCATCGAAAGAAGGCACATCGGCTGACTGGCTTCCCGAAGGCTTTCACCAGCCTGCGTCATTTCACTTCCCCGATTCCAGCGAAAAGTAAGGCTATTGCTTATGTTTTTAGAATTTTTAATATATTTATTCGTTGAAGTTTCTGTAGCGATTTGGTTGTTTTACAGGGGTGGAGTTGCTAGCACCACGCCCCAACCCTCCCTCTTTACCCGGGCTTGGGACCGGCGAGAAAACTAGTAAGCTAGTAGCCTAGCAAGCTAGTATCTGGCGAGGAATAACAGTACACAAAGGAATATGTGCTTATTCACAGGTTCGGAATTAGTACTGTAGAAGTTGAGGAACAACCCAGATTTCTTCAATAGGCAGTGCCACATACATTGTTGCTATCAACTTGATTTACAGCTACGATCGCCAACTTGAACCATTTTACAGTAATATTTGGTTCTATGTTGATCGTGTACCTCTACTACTCGTAATCGTCACGGATTCTTTTCTTTAATTTCGTATCACACTGATGAAGGTCTGTATCTGAGTATTATATGCAATTCCGTCAGACAACACCTCTTGAATTACTACCCTATAACCAACTGCATTACTGTACAGAATTACACAGTTATCGAATGTAGTCGAAGCATTAATCATCAGGAGAATTCAGTGAAAATTAGTTCCTAACATAAAATTTGGTCAAAAACCTGATGATGTAAAGCCCAAAAGAATAAAAAGATGAAAGATTTCCACTGAAATTGTTCGACAAATGACTTAACAACAGGCGAACGTTCAATACTTACACAAATTAACAGAATTTATAATGCAGTAAGTTATACATCAAAATCAGACCAACTCTGAAATCTTTCCCAGAAAAAGTTTAATAACTTAGAACCAGAAGAACATAATGTGGTTTGAATAGTGGAAAAGTGCATACAGAGAGAGAGTAGAACTCTTGTTACTTTTCCAAAAAAGTATGAAGTTTACGACTGACTGATTTTTTAATGACTGACTGAATTTCAACATACAACTTCGGATGAAAGTAAAAGAGTTCAAGTTGCCACATTCCATGTAGTACACAAAGTTAGACAACAGAAAAAAAACAGAAAGATATTCAAAGCAACTAGAATGAACAGATATGCCAAGTAGGAAGAACGGAACGATCTAGTAGAAATCGGAGATCACAAACAGTCAATACATATACACCATGGAGGCAGGTTTTCAGGGATATTACCAACAGTCTCAAAACACTGCTTCTTAGCAGGCTAACGATCACAAACAGCGAGACAGACAGTCTACACCTATCTCTACATGGCTCAAACAAACTCTCAAAGACTTCATGGATTGGTGGTGACAGGTCAAAATTTCACCAGTCTTAACTCTTTCCCAACCCAATCCTTTGCCAGCTTACATTGCCCGACGAGGAATATGATACCTCCTCAGTATGACCAATACGTGTCTTAGCTATCTCAACTCGTGTAACTTCACAACCTCATCAGTCAACTTTCGTTCCTCACCTAGCTAACACTCTACGTCCCAATATTGCTCATCATATAACACCATTTGTTGAAATCATAAGTATCAACACTTCATGAGATATAAAAGAATACATGGTTTACAAAAAACAAATACTATGTCCTAGTTCCTAAAAGTGAACTGGACATACCAGTGACAAACACGAACACCTGTTCAGGTACAAATTCAATTGTAAAGAAACCAAGACATACCTCATTTGTGTATGTATAACACCATTCAAAGTGACCACAGTGGTTTTTTATCAAGGATAAGATAGTAGTAGTTTTCCTGATATATCAGATGTGTAAGAATCTCCTAATAATGAATTCAGATGATGTCCGTATCTCAAATGGTGGTTCGTCGTTCTGACTTAAAGATGACATCAAAACGTCTCTCCAACTATTGACTTCGAGGTGTTATGAAGTATCAGTACGTAGGTGACTTTTGTTGAACCACCTCAGAATCCTTCACAAGATGCAGTACAAAATATATTTTTATGTATTCGTCATGATGACTCTGAACACCACGAATTTTCAATCAGTTGCTTTCTTTTCCTTCACTATATCTCTCTATTTCTGTAGTAATATATCTGTTGCCTTATTTCTCGTAATGATTAGAAATGTGTCGACTAGAGCTAATGCACTTTTCTGCACTGGTGTTAAACTAACTACATCTGTGTCTTGATAAAAAACCAACCTCACCTAGCACTCTACGCCTAAGTTCAATATTTTAAACCTTAGTATGCCATTTAACATGGGGGAAAGAAGGCAAACATATGTGGTTAGAGAAAGCTGTCCTTTCCGTATCTTCCATTTTCAATGGCCATGTGTCACGGACATATAGATGGACAGAGTGAAGTGCTGCATAGTACATACATCATTTCATCGATTGGTGGATATCACTTCTGGCCAGAGATGACTTTAATTGTCAAATATTATACTAAACAAGTCATTTACTGATATCTGGAATATTTGCAGCACTATTGATTGAAATCCATTGAGATATAGTATCTCATTAATAGAGATACAGTTTGTCATGATTTATTGGAATTTCCATTATAAGGACTCATAGATCCAACTATTTACGCCACGATAACAAACATAGGAACTGTTGCTCAGGCTGGATTAGGCGATAGACTTCCAACCACTGGACCGCGGGTTCGAATCTTACCAAAACTACTGAGGTTTGGATAGCCACGTAATATAATAAACCCTTTCTTAGTAGGTGTTGTCTTTTGCAGAGTGCGAAGAAATGCGAGTGTTTGTAGGATATTACTAACAAACGACTAGTAGTTTTTACCATTCACCTCTTTTTTTTCGTTGAATATTTTACTGAAGATCTGCACTACCAGATACATACGTCAATTTTTTTCATAATACAATGAGTAAAAACGAATGAATCTATATTCTCAGTGCAACCACAATATTCAACTTACAAAGAATAAAAGTGGTACAGCATCAGTTATGAAAAAAATTTAACTAACTTCTTGAGCTTTTGATACATCGGTGCTCGAAATGGGAACATTTGTAAAATCTGAAGCAGAAGGATTTTTGTCATTAAATGCCCCAACATCGTTAACTTCACTGGAGAAGGAAGGTAGATTGGCAAATAGATATGCGTGTATGGACCTTGGTCGGTGTTTTGCAGGATTGGATGTAGCATCTTCACTAGTTTCTGGCACACTATTACAAACAAATATATAGTTTTTATTCTTTATGTATAGTCTTAAATGCGATTACGAAATTATGGAAACGGATGTTCTATTCATCAAGTTACTGGAATACATATATATATATATATATATATATATATATATATATATATATATATATATATCCACGTCACTTTTAATGCAAATAACGTTAGTTTGCTTGCTGAACGTGAAACTCTACCGGACATACGCAACAGGACTATTAAATAATTTGTTTGACGTTGAAACACCACCCAAACTACGTAGGTTCAGATAGCTGGGTAGTATATACGAAAACCCCAATCACGACTTAGACTACACAGCTCACATTGTTTAAAACTAACCTAATCTGGTTTGTTAAAAACTACAAGAACAACAAAATTTAGATGCCTTTAAAATTAAGCAGTGAATTAAGTTTCACTATTGGAAAACTACTTCATTAAATCCTATTCACGATATGATTTCGGCGAGAAAGTAAGCAAAAACCAACTTCAATGACACCCAGTTTTTACTCAATAAGTTGGTGGAACAATGGACTCATGAAGTTGGACAATTGATGGCTGGAGAAAGAATGTCAATCAAATCAACTATTTCCAGTGAAAGAATTCCACTGAGGACAACTTCGTACAAATTAGATTAGCTAATCAAAACACCACTAACTTGGTTTATTATTAATCTTTAAAGTGGAAGGTGAAACTTACCATGTAGATTCCAGAGCAGGTATGCAGTGATCTGCTACAACTTTAGCCTTGAGTACACACAAGCGTAATGCTTGCAAAAGCAATCGTCTTTCTGACCCAATAAAATGTGCATCTTCCGCATTATTGTTGTTTGCTGCCGATGCTCCCTGATTAGAAGACGTTGAAGAAACTGCTCGGTGTTTAATGCACTCAACCAAATTCAGTATCAAACGTAAACTCATTTGCTGAATAGAAAATGGGAGCGTATTATCATGCATATTTCGACCATAGACATCAATCGCACGAGCAATTTTCGAAAGACTAAGGTGACTCCTTATATGATGAGTAAGATCCGCCAATGTACTATAGGCTAATGGCCTAAAAGATAAATCAAATTAACGTAGGTTTATAAACTCAATGACTTCAGTAAGACTGAAAAAAAATATGTAAGTGAAAGTCGTCACTTTTCTATGGGCAAATGGTTTAACATCTAAAACAATGTGTTTCTAAGATAATACTGCTGGTCGTGTGGATCATATTCAACTTGAAAACACCAAATTTGCAAATCAAACTTTATTAATTGGATAAGAATGCATAAGCAGTGTTGGTTGTGGAAATTTTACCAGCTAAATTTACTAATTATTTTGAAACCAAAATGGATGCCATATTCACTGTTGGAAGGATTATTTAGATCACATAAATCTAAGAATAAAAAGACAATAACACGGTATAGTGGTACACAGTACACTTATTATGTGTGTAAACCTAGTCATTACATACTACAGTCGGTATCACTGTTGCATCAGTGACACTATTTCTCAACTCACAATATGACTGACTGACTGACTAACTGAATTCCAACATCACAAAAAGGAAACATAATATAACTTGATACAGGTTTCGCACTATTACAAGAAAGGTTATATCACAGTTGTAGGATTTGACAACGAAACTGTCAAACAACTTCGCTAAGAAAGACTCAGTTACCTATTAATCTTTACATCATCATCTTCCATGAAAATTTTATTATCACCATATCATATGCTTTTGGAAAAAATACGAGTCCTTTTTTAATCAAGCTGGCCATTAGTATACAAATTAGTACACAAATATTATGAATAAAAAGAACTGTAAAAGTTATCACCTTAAAGAATCACGAATTGTATACCCTTGTCCAATTAGAATCTCTTCATCCATTAAATCATCCAGAACTTGCAGGAATTCTAAATATAGAAACAGGGAATGCAGAACTGGTTAGCAGCGAAAATGTTTCATACGATACTTAGACTATTAAGTAAATGAATAGAAACTTCGAACAACTGAGTCACTAGCTAATAGTGTTAAGCGATAGAAACAACTTCAGAAGACATTAGATTTTAGATTTTATTCATAACCGTTCGCACCATGAGTTATTTAGCTACTGAAAAAGAAAAATTAATGATACATAGATTCATGAATTGTGTTTCAAAGTGAGCTTTTAGGATTTCGTTTGGTGAGGCGGTGTTACTCAGGCCAGAACAACTGATTGTGCATTTGAAGAAAAAAGTCTAATAACAGGTTCGCTGGACGAAATGTTCCCTGCCCTTATTTACTCGTGAGAAGAGGACGGCTGAAGAGATATATGAATTTTCTAGGCATAAAGATACTTTTCTAAGATAAAACCTGTTCGAATAATTCCAAGTAAACCATCTCCTTTTAAATATGCACTAACATGTAGTAGGCAAGTGGCATTTTTCTTGCAAATACCTATTAAGAACGTTACGTACTGCTCAATTTTAAGATCATAGAGATTTATAATAAATAACAATAGCAATCAAATCAGAAATGTGAGAAATAGTAAACAAATAGTAGCTATGCACATATCTTCATCAAACCGTTCTACAAATCAGAACTCTGCGGGGTGAAGTCCTCACACCAACATTTATAATAATAAAATGACTTACTTGGACGTATTTCTTGTGCACTTAGAATGTGACGTGCAGCAATGAAAAATTCCTTACGCATATTAGTTACTGAAGGTGGACAATTGGCTAACAAGTTCATCATGCCTTGCACAAGAGTAGCAGAATGACGTTCGACTGAATCCTAAAACACAGAGAAATTAAAGCAATTATCCCAGATACCAAAACCCTATATAGTCACTCAATATTTTCTATATGCATCATAATAAAAAGAAAAATTAGCAAGGAAACAACAATACAAAGATAATGAATAAAAGAGGTTGTCGACGTTACACAATTCCATTTTTTAACAAAAAAAGGTCACATACAACTTACACACAAAACCAGTTAAATTAATGTATAATAGTTGACATACTTGGTATATTTTAATGACATAGGCAAGGAATGACAAGGTTTTCACTTGAGCAGCCATGAAATCAATAAACACCTCTTGAGAAAAATTAACACTTCCCCTAAAAAATTAAAAAGAACTTTTATCTTCGGAAATATGAACAGTTTGATTACTTATAAAGTGGCTTTAAAGAATGATGAACAGAAGGCTCTGTGAGGCTGAAAATATTTACTAAATATGTTAATATGAAGTGAACAAGACTACTGAGGCCAGAAATAAAGTATATAGTGAAAAAACACAATGTACATTAAAAAATTCAAAAGCCTTACACTGATGGTACAATTTATAAATGATAATATCTTTTTGTCTGAGTGTTGTCACCACCTCTTTCTTTATTGATAAACAAAACACTATCTGAAAAAATCAATGTAATAGATGTCTATTTGTAAGTAGGCCGCATCATAAGTCTACTGTAAGACCACTGGGTGTATTCGTAGCACTATCCACATATGATGACAACTATGCCAATTATAATTACTAATGATAGACAAGTCAGACAAATAGGTTTTAGACTAGCAATGACCTACGTGTTTATGCAGGTTTCATGCATACCTATTCGAGATAAGATTTAAAGTGCAGTAGGACTTAAAAGCTAAAACTTACAGATGGGAAGTGAGAAAAATGAAAAATGTTCACCAGGACATTAAACAGAAAAAACATCTTTTCAGTAAATTCATTTTGATATATATATATATATATATATATATATATATATATATATATATATATATATATATATATATATGTAGAGAGAGAGAGAGCTCAATTTAACACAGTAACGTAGGAAGATGAAAAGAAATAATTCTCAATATGATATGAAACTTTGGATATGTAACGGAATATGAATATAAGTCACAAGAGGCACAGAAACCAAAATAATAACAAAATAACTGTGTAATATATTAACTATTTTTCATGGAGTCAGAGGCAAAAAGGATGACCATAGAAAAAGTGAATATGGAAAGTATAAAGTGAACGAGTAACCAAAAAAAAGAGAAGCAACAGGTAAGAAACCTAATACTCATAGCAACTTTATACCTTAAAACAGCTTTATCTGAACATTGACTTCTCAAAGCACCTTGCGAGATCTCATATAGTTCATAGGTCGAGTGAATTCCGTTTCAGTTTTTGAGTGAGTAAGTGGTAAGTCAGTTCAGATACGGCGACAAGGGATGAGATAATTAATTAGCGCGTCTGACTGAAGCAGTTACCTTTCTGCAGCCAAGCTGGGTAGTGTTCTCAAACACGTTTTGAAGGAATGCGCATAGAATGACTTAGAGACGTAGCTCCACTATTGTGTACGCGCTTATACATATGCACACTGAAGTAGTCACACTTTGGAGTTTTTTCCTCAAGCTGATGAAGAGCATTGGGTGACCAGAGAATATCACTCAGCATCGCTAAAAAGTCTAGGTTCATGTATCACTTTTTATGGCAAGGAACTGACTTGTTTTTGGCTATGGGGTTAATAGTCATTCGAAACAAGCCAGAGATGAAAAATAAATACAGACCTCAGTTACAGGTGGCGGCTTATTAATTATATCAATACTGTGAGATAGGTTTTGCTTCACACCTATGTTGCGAATGTTCAAGAGGTTAATGTAAGCAGCTAGAAGCACCGCTACTTCTTTAGTCATCTGGTAACTAAAAATAGTGATAAGGACTGCACAAAAAACCTACGATTGAGTCATTCGTATATATATATATATATATATATATATATATATATATATATCATTAGCAAATCATACACAATCTATGGGGTTACTAAGTACACTTATAGATTCATGATATAAAAACATTACAAAAAGTGACTTACTTTTGTTCCTCTGTCGGTTTGATGTTGATGAAATCCATTATCAGTGGTATAAAATCTGAAACATTCTGATGAATATGTTGCTTGAACAACTGGTACATTAGGACAACAAGAATAGGAATTTCTTGCATAACTTTAAGGGAAAATCGTGATTTTGGCAGAATATGATACTAAAAATGTTACTTAATTAACTTTGCCACTTACAATCATTAAAGAACCGTCAGGTTTAAGTTCCTGAGTGTATACGTTAGTAACAGTAAACGCATTTAGAACCTCTGCTTCAATATCCACATCAGTGATGGAAGGAACTTCTATTTTCATTTTAGGCTCGAAAATATCAAGCGCTCGGAGCTTTAGATCACGATAAACTTCTTTAACAAACTCCAAAAATCGAGAAACCTAAAAATATCAAGAACTATATTGATTACTAACATCATTTGAGAACGACGGTCGGTAGAATTTATGGATATCAATTATTGATTTGATACACATTAACACATTATCCTCATTTTCAACCTGTAGGTGCTGGATTAAATAAAAGATCTATACCTCAACCAGTTTGAACATCGTTTCAAGAATAGATCGAGCTAATGGTCTTAAATGGTCACTATTAGGAATCTTCTGAATAATTTCTAGGCATATACGACGTAAGTGCTGAGCGTCAGACTCTTGAAGATTCACCGGCCTCGTTGACAATAAAAAGTTCTGAATCTTGTCATGAATGATAAAGCTGAGGTCATGGACCTCTCTCTCAGATGAGACATTCTAAAACTTTACTAACGTGAATGAAAACTTACAACTAAGCATTCACATATTTCCTGGCCAATTTGTAACTTTTCTTCCAGTGCTACAGAAAAATATACCGTTACGTAGTTCAACAAACCAATGTTTTCATTGAACAGACTTTCAAGCCACTCTTTTAGTACTGTGCATACATTGCCAGGGCTCATCGGTGTGACAACACCGAAGAACAGTACCTCACGTGCTGAATTTCCCGCGCGTGAACTAAAAAGTGAATATACTCTTTGCTTTATCACGTGACTGTGGTCTCTCCTTCGATTTCATCTGATATTCCGTAGGTGCAATGTAACTTGAAAAATTTGATAAGGGCCTATTATTTCAGCACGCTACATCAGCTGAATTACATAAAACTCTCATTTATCTGATTTTTCTAACCAGGAAGTTGTGAAACTTACGGTAATTCGTTTACCTACGAACACTGAAACTGTGGATATAATCTTGTTGGCCATCAATGCTCACAACTAAAGGTTTGGCACTTTGTGATTGTTTAACGCTGACTAATATCTATAAATGTATGTGTTATTGGGTTTACATGCCCAGTTTACCCAAGTCAGTGTGTCCATGGATTTGACACTATTTTTGTTAACTGTATTTGACAGCGATATTACCACAATGGCTTTTGTTGTTGCTGTTGTCACTGCCTTTCCTGTTCCGTTTACTGTTGATGTTTTTATTGCTGTATTACTTGTCTTATGGATTCTAAAGGGAGAAAACCACAAAATCGATTCTCTGTAATCTACGTATTTATGTAACGACTCCCTTCTAAGGAAGGAGGCTAGAAACCCCAGCCTGTATACAAAACTCAAACAGAAACTTCAGTACACTGTGTATAAAGAGAAGTCTTCCACTTCATTGCCTACTGAAGCTGGTGTCCCTCAAGGAGCTGTCCTTTCCCCTTTTCCTTTTTCTTTCTTCTTACATGACTTGCCTCACTGTGATGAAATAAACTTTCTGAAGTACGCTGATTTAACAGTTTCAATGGATGTTAACTCCCAGCTAGATTGTGCCAAAATAAATAGCTTACTGTCGGCAGTCAGTAAACGGGCTGACTGTAACGGTCTTAAACTGAATCCTTCTAAATGTCAAACTGTTAATTTCAGCTTAAGATGTGAAAGACAGTTAAAAGGAGTCATCGATTCTCATGACAATTGTAAGATTTACGACAATGATATAGGAATCAAATCAGAAATTAAGTATCTTGGACTCATTTTCTCTTCTGATCTCTCCTGGTCTTCCATGTCTCAGCGATCTCCTGTAAAATATTCCACCTGACATTTTATATTAAGAAGTCAAGGCACTCGGGTATAACTCAACCCCTCCTCTTACAGTTCATAAACTCTTATATCCTACCTATTCTTCTTTATTGTTCACCCTTATTCTATCCTGGTTTGCTTAAAAGGGCTATGTCACAATTCTTAGAATGCTGAAGACGGTCAGTAGGGTGAGTGGTGTCCCAGTGGACCACACGGTTAGTGTTGTTATCGATAGGCACTTGACTTCGTGCAATAAATTCGCTAGAGGGATTTTGTCTGACTTGGAGCATCCGCTTTACCCTCAGCTTTCACCTTGCATCTCCCCAGGCAGAACAAGAGGTAACTTCAGAAAACTGTATGCTCGCATCCATCCATCCTTCTGTACCTTCAAGTTTTACTTTTACTATTTCTATTATACTTATGGTCCTGTTGCTTCTTTGTTTTACTCTCATAATTGCAAACACCGACTTATCTCTATGACTGCTGTAATTTTTGTTTTTCCCCTCACCATATCATGTAAAGCTAACGTTATATCAAATATTTTGAGACATGCTAGGATTTCTATACCTCGTTGACAATACTGTGTGAAACAAGCCGACGGAAGTTTTCACTCGTATTATTATTATTACCCCAGCTGTTATCATTATTATTATTTCCATTTTATATGCTGCATGTTTTTGACATCTCAAATGTAAATATGGAAAATTTTCTGTGTGATTAATTTTATTTATGATTTGAGGAAATTAGATGCAATATTGTGATTAATGCTGAAAATTCCATTCTGTATCACAAATACTGTTTTTGGAATAAAGTAAACCATTATTATTATGTTTAACTTAGCAATTTACAACCAGAAGTTTATATCGTGTAAAAATGCGTCTAATATGTGGAAACTTTTTAAAGAAATTACTGGTGGTAAGCAGATGAATAGTATTCCTTATTCCTTTGATGTTTGCACACTAAACAAGTCTTTCATATCTTCTCCCACAAATGCCAAACTTTCTAGTGTTACAAGTGCTAATGAAACCTGCTTCCCTCGTTTCAATACAAATGATGTTCAAAAATATCTCCAGTCTCTGAACCCTTCTTGTAGCCTGGACCCAGATGGTTTGCCTAGTGTTATTCTTAAAAAATGTGCAGACATCCTGTGATATCCTCTTATGGACATATTTAACGAATCTTTCTCCAGAAATCTCGTGCCAACCGTTTGGAAGGACATCAAAATTGTACCTATCCCTAAGTTGCCTACTGGAGCATGTTTCAAATTTAGACCTATTGCTATTACGTCTCCTTTTCTAAAAGCTATGGAAAAGTTACTCTTACTTAATCTTCAACCTTCACTTAAAGCCTTTAACGATCCTAAACAATTCGCTTATAAACACAGCAGAAGTACTTTAGATGCTGTTGCAGTCTTGTACAACAACATTGTCTCCAGCTTAGTCAAGGGGGCTAAATTTGTTCGCTGCACCTTCCTAGATTACACATCTGCTTTCGACTCAGTACCTAGGGACATTTTGTCAAACAAGCTGGCCGAAACTCAAACTGACTGTTGGGATGTCAAATGGCTGAATTCTTATTTCTCAGGAAGAAAGCAGTACACCGTATGTCAGGGAAAGTCGTCCACTTCATTGCCTACTGAGGCTGGTGTCCCTCAAGGTGATGTCCTTTCTCCTTTCCTGTTTTCTTTCTTTTTGCATGATTTGCCTCACTCTGATGAAATGAACTTTGTTAAGTGTGCCGATGATCTAGCTATTTCAACGTCTGTTAACTCCCAGCTTGACTGTGCCAAGATGAACAGCTTTCTATCAGGAATTAGCAAATGGTCCTCGTGTAACGGCCCAAAACTAAATCCTTCCAAATGCCAGACTATTAATTTCAGTTTCCGATGTAAACGAAAGTTAAATGAAGTTGTTGGTTCTTATGACCCCTGCGAAATTGATGACACTGATTGTCAATCACGTCTCACAAACCGTTAATGCCCAGCTCTCGCTACGCTCGAGCCCACGCTGTTCTTCGAAGATTTCGGAAACGCTTAGTTATAACGGACGAGAAAACCAAAACACCGATCTGCCGCTTGAGATTTGTTTATTGTTACACCAACATATAAAAGGAATAAGCGAACTAAGGTTTCTGACGATGTTTCACTCTTCTTTCTGAACAGCGACCGATGAGACGATGACTGTCGTATTGATGCCTCCGCGAAAATCGGAGAAGTTGATTTTGAGCAAACAACCAAGAATTGATCGTTCAATCTTCAACTCCATTGACACTGATATAGAAATGAAGTCTGAAGTTAAGCATCTTGGATTAGTTCTTTCTTCTAACCTATCCTGGTCCTCCCATGTTTTAGCGATTTCTAAAGGATTATTTCGTCTGACTTTTTACATTAAGAAGTTAAGGCATTCAGGCATAACCCAACCCCTCCTCTTACAGTTTGTCAACTCGCGTATTTTACCTATTCTTCTTTACTGTTCACCCTTATTCCTTCCTGGATTGCTTAAAAAGATTATGTCGTACTTCGTAGAACTCTGAAGACTGTCAGTAGGACGAGTGGTATCCTATTGGGCCATATCGTTGACATTGTCACTGAAAGGCACTTGATGTCATGCAACAAATTTGCCAAAGGAATTTTGTCAGACTCTGAGCACCCACTCTACCCGCAGCTCCAACCTTGTGTCTCCTCAGGTAAAACAAGGAGTCTTTTCAGAAGAATTTACGCACGTACGTCTAAGTACAAAAATTCCAGTATACCATATTTGGCACGTACTTTATGTGATGAAAACAGTGTCAGGCATGAACTAACTAACCTTCTTCACACTACTAAATAAACCATTTCTTCCACCCTTACAGTACCAAACTTGATTGTTATTGTATTTCTGATATTTGCAATCCTATCAATTTTTTGATTTTATTTATTTATTTTTCATAATTGTGAACATTAACAGAATATTAGATTCAATATTTTATAGTAACATGCTAAAATTTTCAAACTAAATAGAAACAAACTAACTCTTGTTATTATTATTACGGTGGTACGTTCTAAATTGGTGACATTTTTGCACGTGTTTGCTCTGAAATTTATTTACTGCTTATTGTCATATAATTCTTGAAATTATGGTCCAAATCTCTAAAAAACGTGTTCGTAGAAACACAATTGTTTTAGATAGTGGCTCAAATTCGGTTATAACTGCATTACCGCCTGGTAATACAGTATCAACTACTAGCTCTCAAAATGGTTTGAGTGCAGATCTCACTCCTGTGATACAGGTGAAAGATGTTCTGTTAGAGAACTCTGAGTTCTGTAAACTAAACCTCCTTTTGAAAGATATGCAGAGGCAAGTAAGTGAAATTCAGAAAAAATTAGATCAGTTTGATAGTATGTCACTGCCAATCTCAAATACCACGGAGAGCCGTTCTGATATTGGCCAGGTTAAGTCTTTACTGGATGTAACTCAAAATAAGCTTTTGAATTTAGACCCAATAGCCTGTCTTTTAGAAAAGCATCCTAAAATATCTCCAGACAACCTAAATAAAGCTGAAAATCTGATTGACTGCTTGGCTACGGAGGTGATGAAGCGTATAACCTCTTCTCACCAAGCTATAGTTTACAACGTCCCAGATTCTCTGCCCCTGAAAACTGTAAGACACAAAATCCTGATTTGTTGCGGCATGGCTAGTGTTCCATGTGAATGCAAACGACTTCGTAAAAAGTCTAACCAGGCTAATTGCCCAATCATTTTTAAATTCAGTAATTCCCTTGATGCTAGTAAGTTTACTAAATGTCAGGATCACTTAAGACTGAATAGCAGTTATAAGTCTATAACCGTAGCTCAGGATAAAACACCGTGTCAGCGCAGAATAATGCGTAGTAATAACCTGGTCACCTCCTCTAGCTT